GAATTTGCACCCAAAATACACCAAGTGGAAAAGTCCAGCATTCTACACAAACACCCCAACTTTGTAAACCCCAAAGTTCCTTACAAACATCTCACCTATCATATTTAAACAGACAGTGCGATAATATGAGCTTACATGCACACCAAGAGCCTGGCACACAATGGCATTTAGAGAGCATCTCACACAGTGCGACCACAAAGAAAATGTACACTACACACAATCCAGCTCCACTCGCTCTAGAAATCAATATACATGTTCCGAATACAGTAAACCGGGTTCTCAGTTATTACATTGTGTGCTAAAATTGGAAAAGGCACTCCATGCATATACACAAAATTGTGTCTGAGGCAGAGAACAAAGTATCTCAGTGTTCGGAAATAGCATAATTAATAGCAGTTTGTTTTCATATAACCAGTACCTGGGAGGGCTTGATGGGAGAGTCGGGAATTACTGTAACAGTGTAGCAGAAGAAATGAGCAGTGCAAATACACAGCGGTATATAGAGAGAGAGCTCAATCAGAAGATCCAACACTTCCTGTGAGTGAGGAAATGATGAGACAGAGGGGAGGAGGAGACAGCTGCTGGAGACAGCCCCTAGACCAATCCAGGCAGAATTAGACACTGCCCCTAGCAGCTTCATCTAGCTACGGAGGGCAGACACAGAGAAGGCTAACCCAGCTGTAGTTACAGGAGATGGGGACTTGGGACCACAGTGTCCTAGAGAGGTTATTAAAAAAAAAAGTGAGGAGAATCTAGAGTGACATTTCGACATGGGTCCCTCAGCCATAGACTGTATAAACTACAAGAAAACCCTGGAAGAAAAATGACAAGAGTGCAAGCTTTGAGGACAAGTGAGGTTTATTTCTAAATGTGCAGGGCAGGTATATGTAAGATTAGGGTGTGCACCCTGACAAAAACTGCTGTTTAAACGGAGCTGGGTATGTTGCCCATGGCCATAGGCACCAGTGGTGACTAGAAACAATATATGAGGGCACATGGGTCAAAATTGGTGGGGGTGGGGTTGGGGAGAAAAAGAGGGGGGCGGTGTTATGTGCTGCCATTGGCTGTCTAGCATCAGTTTGCTGTAGGTTGACTACAGACACCAGATTTGTACAGAATTCACACTAAACATTCAAAATTCTAGCTCTCACACCTCTTAATTTTGATCTTATAACTGTTTAGTAGATAACTCCCCTATTTGCTTTTTGTGGGATTGCCATATTTAAGGACACCAAATAAGGGTGTCATGATGTTATCCCTGGTGGTGCAGTAGAGCTGTGGAGGCCATTTCCTGGTTGTCTGGTGAGGGAGAATTGTGGTCTGAGTCTTTATTTGATCACTTTTGGAGCTCCCTCGTAGTCTGAGTCATAGAGAAGTGCCGGTGGGCCTGCAAGATCCACAATATTGGAGCAGACCACAATGCTCTCTTGGTGAACACAAAAAGGTTTGAAATGGCAGAGGATTGAGCTGCGAGACTGCAGAGCCATGGTAGATACACCAAAACTGTTTAATTAAGCTAAAGTTGTTTTCCCTTTAATTTGGCCTGTCAGACATTCCATACCACTCATTCACTCCTTGGTGGTCAGTTGACTTAGGGTCAGCAAACCTCTGTAGCTCAGCTCCTACATTCTGAACCAGTTAAACAGATTTTTGATACATTTCCCACATCCTAAACTGAACTAAGGTGGGATATGTTGTTCCTGGTTTCATGGATCATACCCTAAGCTGAAAGCACAATAATCATGTGGAGGACAACCACAAACAAACTCAGTGTATATTTTTGGAGACCCTGTTGGGTTAGCATCACATGTGAGCAACTAATTGAGTATCAGATATTGGCAACTAAAGGAGCATCAAGGCTGCCTGCGCTGAAGAACAGAATTTGGTAATATTATGGCCATGCACTTGTGCTTGACAGCTAACATATATAATATTGTAATAGAAATTCCTGTAAATGCCCACAGGAAATAGTTATACAGTTCAACTTACACCTTAGAATAGAGAAACAGGCAAAAGTACAGTGTTAGTAAGTCTGTAAAATACCCAGAGGGGAAACTGTGTCACGCAATATCAAATATATTGCTCATCTGTGTACTCATCGTCCAACACGGGTTGTTGTCTGCATATCTAATATGTATAGTATTATAATCTGTATAGACTCAAGTTCTGTGAGGAGTGGCCTGTAACAATACTATGAAACACAAATTAAAACGGTCTTCTGTTGTAAATACGGATAAACACAAATTGAAAAGGTCTTCTGTTGTAAATATGGATAATCTTGAAACTTTAGGAAAAGTTAGAGGCATTAGACAATTTTTTTTGTATTTCCGCTACATGATCTTTGTTATTTAAAACTACAGTAGCCCAGTCTTTGTCTGCAGGCTTAAAAAGTACCTAGATTTAGTCCCAACACTGCCCCTTTTTGCCCCGGCACCCCCGACCTCAACAATGTACAGGGTTTAAAAAAAAAAAAAATCATTCACTTTCCTAATTACAGCGCCGATGACCCTTGGCGCTAAGTTGTGCGCCGCCTCCTCTGGTGTCAGATGATGGGGGGAACTAATGCGCATGCGCGGCAAGCACCACATGCGCATAAGACCTTCCCTACAAGTAAGCATTGCCTCAATGCTTTCTTATGGGAATTTCCTTGATGCTGGATGTCATCATGCAAAGCGTGAGGACATCCAGCGTTGTTTCATGTTGTCAAACTCCGTGATGTGTCTGATAGGAAACCCTCTGTCAGTCTTAGTACGATATATATAAAAATTGGAGTTTCCCTAAAACTGCCAAGTTTTACATTGCAGCACTAAGGGGTACAGGGGCAGTGTATCCAGACCACTTCTATAAGATGAAGTGGTCTGAGTGCCTATAGTGTCCCTTTAATTGTTATATTTTTACTGGATTCCAAATTCTTAAGAGCCAACTCTTCTTCTGCAGGTAGGTTCTGTTTTGGAAACAGATCTGTTTTTTAATCCTACTGCCAGGAATAAAATGTTATGTTTTGAGAATGCCCATGGCAACAATTTTGTTATTTGCTCTTCTTCGCAGTCAGGGTTAATTTTGTAGGGATTGTTACCAATACAGAAACCTGTGACCTAAGGCTTACTGAAATGTATAACAAATTCCTCCACAGAGGTTATGCAAAAACATTTCTTTCTAGGGCGTTTGCGTGCCTTCCAGAATATCTAATGACATGGGAAGGTATACACCAAATAGTCATTTAGCACTTGGATGACCCTAGGATGTTTCCAATTCTTCTACGCTTAAAAAAACCCAAAACATTGGTACTAGGGTTGCTAGGTGAGACCAAAGGCTTCAGTCAAAAAATATTGTATATCATTATGCTGAGTGGGGATAATACCACTTCATGATAGTGTTAATATACAACCCCAATAAATTTGCAGCCGTAGTATATTTAGTATATGCAACTGAGATGATCTTTTTCTTTGACCTGAAAGGAAAGATAGCCCAGTTCCACCAAAACAAATGCACTGTTGCACTAGGTTTATAACTATTATGAATTGTGGAGTCGCTACTTCACATTTTCTAAGAGAAACAACAGCCTACCGTTTGCTTTTGCATTAGTGTTCTCCAACCACACTTGTGTTTCCGGTAAAGTAGTTAACCTTTAGATGGATTGCAGGCATGGGCATAATTGTAATGACATCCATGCTTGGTCCCTTTTTGACAATGTCATGAAAGGGAAAGGGCATAGTCATTATCACATAAAGCCAGGGTGAATAGCGTTTTCACAACTATGGTGTCAGGAATACAGGTTTGTATTCCTGACACTATAGTGTTCCTATATGCAAATTAAAGGAACATTCTGGTCACCATAACAACTTCATCTAAATTAAAATGCTAAGATGCCAGGAAGCCCCTGGGTGCTCTCTGTCCTTTAACCCCTTAAGGACCAAACTTCTGGAATAAAAGGGAATCATGACATGTCACACATGTCATGTGTCCTTAAGGGGTTAAAGTGTTAAACCGCTCTCAATTGGTTTAACCCCAAAGGCTTCCTCCAGCTCCAGATCTCCAGGCCGCTCAGTGGTATTCGGCTTCTGAGACGGTGTGTCAGGAAGTGCAGATTGACGTCAGACATGGGTGCCGCTGATTGGCTAGAGTGGTCAGTTGACGCTCTAAGCCAATTGTTAGTTCCCCGTTCATAAAAATGTTTAACTTTTTTATGAATGGAGAGCTACTGATTGGCTTAGAGTGCCAGCTGACTGCTCTAGCCAATCAGCGACATCCCTACCCAGCGGCACTCTGTGCTTCCTGACACTAAGTAAATAAAAGTGAACACATTAACACTGATATTTTTTTTTATCTGGGGAGATGAGAAGGTCCAAAGTTTCCCTGCCAGGCCCAGGTACCAAAGCCTTATGATGTGGTGTCCAGAATAAAGTGGAGGGTTCACTTCCTGATCTGTATGCTGCACCGCCTCATCTCTCACTTACCTAATCTACAGGCTGTCTCCCCTCCCCCTCCCTCACTTCCCTGATCTGTAGGCTGCCCCCCCCCATGCCTCACTTCCCTGATCTATAGGCTGCCCCCATGCCTCACTTCCCTGATCTATTGGCTGCTCCCCATGCCTCACTTCCCTGATCTATAGGCCCCATGCCTCACTTCCCTGATCTGTAGGCTGCCCCCCATCCCTCACTTACCTGATCTGTAGGCTGCCCCCCCATCCCTCACTGACCTGTAGGCTGCCCCCCATCCCTCACTTACCTGATCTGTAGGCTGTCTCTGCTGTCTGCATGTGCTGCTCCCCTGCGGTTTCAGTCAGCAGAGAGAAGCAGAGATAAGATATAGCTTCCTATCCCTGTCTTTCTCCATTCACATACCAGTATTGTACTGTATTTTCAATCTCACATGAAAAATAGCTGAACAAGCTGAAAAATCCAGCTTGTTTATGGTGAGATGACCGACTAGAGAGGAAAATTAGTCTGGCGGCAGCATTTATTACAGACTGTAGGGGGTAATACAGATTGGGAAGACCAATTAGGAGAGGGTTACAATATTCCATGCAGGAAATTACTAGAGCATGGACAAGATCCTTAGTAGCATCTTGTGTAAGAAAGGGGCGGATGTGGGCTATGTTTTTAAGATGGAATCTACAGGACTTGGTAACATGCTGGATGTGAGGCTCAAAGGTGAGGCCAGAATCGAGTATGACACCAAGACAGCACGCTTGCAAGGATGAACTGATGTGGATACCACTAACTTGAAGGGAGAGCGAAAGAGGAGGATTAGTATTAGGAGGAGGAGGAAAAACAAGGAGCTCAGTTTTAGAGAGATTTAGTTTCAGAAAGCGGGAGGACATCCAATCAGAGATGGAAGAAAGGCAAGCAGTGACACGTTGCAGGATGGCAGGGGAGAGGCCCAGGGAGGAGTGATATATTTGGGTGTCATCACCGTACAGATGGTAGTGGAATCCAAATGAGGTAATAAGTTTGCCAAGAGAGGCAGTGTAAAGAGAAAATAGAAGGGGACCAAGGACAGAGCCTTGGGGACTCCAACCGAGACAGTACGAGGGGAGGAGGTATCATTAGAAAATAAGACACTGAACGAGCGTTGGGAGAGAGAAGAGGAAAACCATGAGTCACAGAGACCAAGTGATTGAAGAGTTTGAAGAAGGAAAGCATGATCAATGGTGTCAAAGGCAGCAGACGTCAAGAAGAATTAGTATGGAGTAGTGGTCTTTGGATTTAGCTGCGATTAGGTCATTAGTACCTTTGATAAGAGGAGTCTCAGTAGAGTGGAGGGGGCATAAGCAAGATTGAAGAGGGTCAAGGAGAGAGTTGGAATTAAGGAAGTGACACATACAGGTAAAGACAAGTCTTTCCAGAAGCTTTGAAGAAAAAGGGAGCAGGGATATGGGACGATAGTTAGAGGTGGAGGACGGGTTGAGAGGTGTTTTTTTCATGGTAGGTAACACAGTGGCATGTTTAAGATCAGCAGAGACAATGCCAGAAGAGAGAGAAAGAGAGTAGTTGAAAATGTGTGTTAAGGAAGGCACAAGACAATGGGAGAGAGATCTGATAAGGTAAGATGGGACAGGATCAAGCAGGCAAGTGGTGAGGTGAGAGTAAAGGAGAAGCACAGCAACCTCTTGTTCAGTAGCCGGGGAGAAAGTCTGAAGGGTATGATCTACGTGTGGTTGAGAAAGCTGTTCAATCCTGTCGGTAAAGTACCATGCAAAGCTATCGGCTGTAAGGTTCGTTTGAGGGGTGGCCACAGCAGGGCGAAAAAGAGAGTTAAAGGTGTCAAAGAGATGCCTGGGATTGCGGGACCATGAACTAATGAGAGAGGAAAAGTATGACTGGTTAGGGCAATGGCTGCGCTGTATGAATATAACATGAATCTATAATGGAAAAAGTCTGACTGGGTGCTAGACTTCCTCCAGGAGCGTTCAGCACAACGGAGCATCTTTGCAGGTAGCGTGTTGATTTAGTATGCCACAGTTAGGGCATGTCAAGGCAAAGGTGAGGGTAGTATTATATGTGGAGTGAGGGACAGGAGAGGGAAGGGATGGATAGGAGGTGTGAATCAATATAACAGCTCCCTGATGCCCAGCCCAAGTTGGCTCTTCTGGCAGGCTGGCTGTGGCTGGCAGACTGGTGTGGTTGATGAACATGCATCTTACTTCCCCGAGACCCTTTGTGTATCTGTTTCTCTCCCATCCACTTTGTGTGTCTCTTTTGTCTTTACCCCTCTGTGTCTCTTCCCCCAGCCCCTCTGTGTGTATCTTTGTCCTCCAACTCCTTTGTGTGTCTCTTTTTTTTCTTTCCCCCATTCTTCTGTATGCCTCTTTGTCCCCCTCCAGCAGCTTTGTGTGTCTCATTTTCCCTCAGTGCTTCAGTGTGTCTTCTTGTCCCCCTCCAGCACTGATTGATGTTTAATTGAGATTGAAAATTATAGTAGTGTATGTTTATTTGATAGCTTGATAAAGACCTTTGAATAAATTGCCTGCTTGAACCTGGAGTGTCTAAACATCTCTCTGTTTTCTGTACACACACAGTTACAGTCACCCACAGGCAGTAAGGCGCGCGTGTGCGCACGGGCACACACACACACTCCCCCCCTTAACACTCCCCTCCTCCACCCCCCCTCTTTCCATTATGGGCCGGAAGGGAGGAGAGGAGGCAGTTGAGGGAAGTTAGGGAAGCAGGAACTAGCACCGTGCTTAGATTTGCCCCCACTGCCATTTTTAGCTTTGCCTCCTGTGATCAATAGCCGCTTGATAAGCCACATCCCAGCCATTTGGTGACCCGCACCCACACTGCCATGTGTTTTTTGTGATAGTCCCAGGTGGAGAAAAATGAAATTCTCCACCCGGTTATGAAGTGCACTCACTTCACATCCGGCCATGCACAACCAACCCTAAGGTCGGCCCTGGTTGCCACAATGTATCCTAGGCAAGTGGTTACCACCGTTCCATTGGTGTACTACGTATTGCATGTTACCAACTTATATTGATCAACAGTATCTAATCATTTTGATTCTAAATGTTTTTTCATAAAGTGTACTATTTATAGTATTTTTTGATCTGTTATTGTATGTCTTGATGTATAATTATAATTAGTAGATGGCACAATTTCTATGGCTCATCCTTGATATTATTTCACTACTGTCTGAATGATGTGCTCCTACTTGCCTTCCCCTTCATTAATGATTCTGATTTGTGTTCTTGGTTTCTATCTCTCTTGCAATTTATCATTATTGTATAAAAAATGAATTTGTAGTGTAAGGTGCAGACACAATTTCTCCCAGTTAAGGGTCTGATATTTGCTTTATGTAGAGCTCTCCAATCCCTCTACTAGGCTCTGCTTTTTTTTTTTTTTTTTTACAGGTACATATTGTTTACCTGTAACAACAGGTAAGTAGATCACGAGGCAAGATGAAGCAGTGAGAATTATGTCATTAGCAGTTGCATACTTCCAGAGAACTATTGGATTGTCCTCTAATATATGTATTTGTGTTCTCCATAGCATCCCACCTGCTGACATGTGTCTTATTTCTTATGGGAAATTGTTTGGTATTAGCCTAGACATGTAAATAACAAACACGATAACCAGACCTACAAAGAAACACATTTTAATGGTCATTAATTCCTACCTGACACAATATTTATCCATGTTATTGCCTATATTTGAATACCATGGGGATTTGGAGTACAATTTATTTGTCTGAACATTTAGTTACATAATTGTCTAGGTTGAAAAAAAGACTAAAGTCCGTCATGTTCGACCTTGAAACCCATTATTTTATGCTGTTGATTGGAAAAGAAGGCAAATAAGAAAAAACAACTGTAGTTATTTCCAATTATGCCACAAAAAAGTAAACAATTCCTTCTTGACTCCATAATGGCGATTTCTACTCGGATCAGCAACATACATATCAGTTATATCCTTAAATATTCTGTTAATGCAAAAAAGCATACAGACCTTTTTAAAAAGAATACGTGTATATATATATATATATATATATATATATAAAATCTGATTAGACAACCTCTTTAGGGACAGGTGTCCCAGAAAAACCCCACAAACTTTGAATAGTGTAAAGACAACATGGTATAGGAAGTTCAGCAACAAATATTAACTTGAAAGAGTGTGTGCCCTACTGGGATAGTGGCATCTTAGTGACAAGTACCAGGTTGAGGAGTGCGTGACCTTGGGATAGAGGAACCCCACAATGAACTGAACTTATTGACCTATGAAACTGGTGGCTCAGTAACATCTACTGACCACCTCTGACAGATGCCAAAATTTTATGAGTTCATGAACTCTTGTAAGAGAGGAAGCTCAGAAACAATATTACATTGATGAGTGCGTGAGCTCTATGACAGGTGAAGCTCATTAGCAATAATTAGAAAGAGCGCATGACCTCTGTGCTAGACGAAACTCTGTAACAAAAACCCATTAAGATGACCCATTGTGATAGAGGCAGCTCAGTAACTAATATCGAATAAGATGCACGATTGACCTCTTGTGAGAAAGGAAGCTCAGTCGCAAAATTATGTATAATGTAGAGTAGCTATAAATATAAAATAACATGGGTCAAAATGAAAAACTGACTATTGGGAATGGCTAAACGCAGGGCAAATGATATGTGCTTTATTCCCAAAGCGTGTGGCATGGCCAAACACTAGCCAAATTAGATGTGTTGTTCTCCCCCCAAAAAAATATGTAACATGGCCAGACACAGGCCGAATTAGAATTACTGTGCTCCCAAACAAAATGTGTAGCGTGGCTGAACGCTGGCCGAATTAGATGTGTTGTGCTCCAAACAAAATAATGTGTAGTATGGCTAAACTCAGACCACAACTACAAGCCTAATGGCCTGACCATATATACTAAAGTGCCAACTGGCACACACTCTTACTGGATCATACATGGTTACAATTTCAGAAATAATGTTACAAATACAAACATACACTGCTACAAATATACACAATCTTTCTTATGCTAAATTAGAATACTGTAAAGTGCTTATGTATATAATAAGTGCAATTATCATTCAATTTAAAGTGCAAAACCTTTTATATAATTATTTTAAAGTGCTTCTTATTTTTGCAAAAAAAACTAGTATGAACAGTGTTAAACCATTAAAAAAGTTATGCAGAATTATACACAATTATCATAATGTGTATAGTGCAACATGTAAGGAATATAGTAATGAAACACGGTGGAATTGCATGTAATGCAAAAATAATACTTTACAAGATGCGTCTTTGAAGTGTAAGTAAAACCTCAAAAACAAAATCACACAAAAATAGTGCAGACAATCTGAGATATTAAATGGAACTTAATGTAACATCTGGGTTAAATGGGCTCGGTATGCAGAGAAAGAACAAAGCAAATTAACTTAATGGAAAGTCTCTGCATTATCCTGCCTACTGTGACTCATTGTTCAGAGGCATGGTCATACAGCAAAGGTCCAGGACCAGGAAGCAAACAGAAAGTCCTGAGCAGGATAATCTAAGCAGGATCAGACAGGCAAATGTTAAAGTCAGGCAACCGGATTCAGGATCAGGAAACAGGTTTGGAGTCCTGAACAGAATAATCCAAGACAGGATCAGGTATGCAAGGGTTAAGCCAGACAACAGGATTCAGGATCAGTAAACAAGTTTTAGAATACTTTGAAATTACAGGCAGAGCAGGTTTGTAACCTCTAGGAAGCTCACAGGACATTTGAGCAATTAACCTAGGGTGACCTGAGTTTAAATAGGGGAGAGAAAGGGGAAACCCTCTCATTAGAATAGGAACCTATTAAAGTAGATGGCCCCCTCAGAGAGAAGGTGTCCATGCCCGCTTTGTGGGAAGGACACTGTGCCAGATTGCCAGCTCATCTTTCTGTTCCATATATACTGCGTTGGATCCCCTAGGGATCTGACACCCTGGGTGGATCCTGGAACAGCGTGGGGAGCAGCAAACGTGGACCCATACAGAATCCCCACCAGAGTGGAGGCATGCCGGTGGACAGACATTGCGTACCTCCCATCCTCTGCATGCCACAACCTACGTGGAGCATATGCAGTGGCCAGTGGGTTAAGAGCAAGCACAGTGTGTCGTACATTCTCAGGACCTACAGACTTGTGACTAAGGAGCAGGCACAGTGCGCCTCTCACTCCCGGGACCCTAAGGCCCACGTAAAGCCTCTGCTGCGATCAGAGCCCATTGAGTGAGTATGGTGCGTCTGCCCCTCACAACGCACCATGACACATATTTAGGACACTTGTAAAAGTACCAACTCACAAGTGTGAAACCCAATATGTGGCTCAGTTTCTGTAGGCTTTGGAGTCTTTTGTGATGGAAATGTCTCCATTTTATGGACAGTCTCCTCTTTAGGTTGTGATGGTATATGTGAATGACAGGGAAATACAAATATAATGTAGTATGTGTTTAAATGATATTATAAAAAATAAAAGAAAGTGTTACACTAAATTGTGTAAGATCCTTTGTCTTCTAGTCTATTTGTTTTAAGCCGGTTATCTCTCTCTGATGGTCACTCTACCCTTTGGTGATAAAAGATATCCTTCTCTTTGTAGATTTTAAATAAAGTCAATACAATTAATTTAAAAAATTATATTGGACTGATATTAAAACATAAAATGAAAACTTATGTTATTAGTTATATAGCGCCAACAAATTCCGTATCGCTTTACAATGGGTGGACGAAGAGACATGTAGTTGTAACCAGACAAGTTGGACACACAGGAACAGAGGAGTTATATTAAAATCAAATTCAAAACACAGCAGGGCTTTCTAATTTCATAACCGCTAATAGCTTCTTCTGTCAGTATTTCTGCCTGTAAAGTATAGATTTTATATAAATAATAATATTAATATACCTACACAGTAACTGATAAAAGGTTCCTACTGTTGCTGGTCAAGTTCAGCGTGCATTCCACACCTCCTGTTGGTGTTTGAGTGTGGAGCTCCATATGGACTTGTTTATGTTGGTAAAATTATAAAGTCTGATATCCACATTAAGACACTGGTAAAAACCAGTACAAGCTTATTTTGCAAACATGAACATCCAGTGTCACAGTTGAAGTGGCCAGTTATTGGCCATGTACCCATTCAGACATGCAGAGGCGACGGTCAAAAAAACACACTTATTTATGGATGCTCGTTTTGTATTTGTTTCAATTATTTGAGGCATATTTTTAAAACCTAGTTTTAAAGTTATTCCTATGCAATAACAGGACATAGCTCTCTAGATTAAGTGACTGAGTAGAGCCTGCTTACAAACATTATTTTGCTCTCGGTCACAGCAACTACATCACAAGGTAGGAATATAGGTATGGAGTAGGAAATGCCACATCAATACAGATGCTAAACCCCTGGTGAGTCAGCAGGCCAAGGGCCATCTTTGGGAAAGAGTGTTTTAAAGAAGCAGTCAAAGATTTACAAGTCAAAATAGGGATTTTGTTTTATGTATTTTCCCTATGCTTGACAATGTTTGAGCTACCACTGGCTACCACTGTCAAGCTTTGTCAATCCACAAACAGAGACTAGCGATGGATGTGGGAAAAATACAAGCAATGACTGTGGGGAAAAATACATTGTCTAATGAGGCTCCCACAGTCTTGCGGAATACTCCAGAGACATAAGTGTTGTACTCATGCATACATTGGAGTACAGCATTGAGATGGACTTCTAGCAGATGAGTTGCCAGGAGGTGAAGATGAGCAAGTGGAAGAAGATAGCAAGTGTAGGGACAGCTACAGTAACTTAAAGCCAACTTTTTCCTGCACCCCCAGGCGCTGCAAGCTGAAAAGTCATTATCAGGGGACATCAAGGACTCCAGAAGGTGACAGCTGCTTTAACCTTATGGTTCAGGCATAAGATTTCTTAAAAGCAATTGACTAAATCGATGTAATATTTATTAAGAGCAACTGGCCAATCGAAATGTATTGAATAGTAACACCTAGTATCAATTATATCGTGATAGTAAGTTTTTATATCAGTGTATATCAATATGTTAAACCTTTTTTTGTTGTTGATGGAAAAAAACACAGATGATTGAATAAAACATTTTAATGAATATCAACGGTGATTTGATACACATCAAAAGAGGGGGAGCAAAGACAAACAGGGTCAAATATGAGATAATACCCTTCACTTACTTCTGATCCTCGCTCCCCCTCTATTGTTGTATATTAATCCTGTAGGGGTTACCCCCATTAAGGAGAGTTGAATCAACCACATTCAATTTTCTTTAATTGATCAACAGTGATTTGACCTCTACAGGTCCTCAAAAAGTGGGATGTCAATTCAAATTTCTCTTAGAGGGGGAAATGTCACTTTCCATGACTTTTACATTATACCTTAAATCCAACAAACATTTGTGAGTTGTGAAAGATAACATTCTCTGGAGAAATCCACACCTCTTTATTCTGCAACTGGACGCTTCTTTATTAGCTTCCTGTCAAGCATACACACAAGAGAAACAATATCATTATTTCTTCTGATTTACAATGTTTGCTCTGTCTTTGTCTTATCTGAACTGGATTATGTTATTTGCCATTATATTTTTATATAAAACCAGAGCATCTTATAAAAAAAAGTTAACACAAGTTATAGGCAAAATTTCAAGAAGAGATGGTTCTCCTTTAAAATAGTACCTGAATAATGCATATCTGAGACTGTGTCCTAACAGTTCTAAGTATATACCACCATGGACCACCAATTTAATAAGATGAAAATGTTTGTACCAAAGTTTGCTATATTTTTTTAACCTACATAATATTGAAATAAATAAAACCATGCCATATTATACATCTGAATTTCAGACTTTAGATATTCTTTATTCTCAGTCACAACTTGAAATACGAATAATACAAACAGAGACAGGTGTTTCACTGCATCAGTTTTACACATAGTAAAATAAATAGAAATAAAAAGGATTTCTTAGTGGCAGACGCCAAAAAAATTAAAATAATAAAAATAAATAAACATACACAAGAATATTTTTTGGGGGAAATATCACTGCATATATTAAATTAAAGTTTGGCAAAAACATCTAAACCTCCTAATAGACCTTGCATTACATTCCCCTCCAGCAGTGAGAGTAGACCATTGCATTGCATTATATCTGTAAATTGTGAAGGTTATATTAAATATTTTGTAGCATTGCATATCTTATATATATATATATATATATTACATTTCCAGAGATGTTGCTACGAACAGCACGTGGCCCAAATGTCGCTAGCAGAGGCTATAAAAATACAAGAATGGGTTAAAAGCTTTCACTAATACACTGGCAGAGAGGGCAGTTTTGTATTATGTTTCTGCCCCATTTCTTTATATTTGTAATTTGCAGTTAATATTATGTTGCCCTCTAAAGTTTTGAAATTTCCCATTGTGCTGTCAGAAATTAACCCCTTAAGTGCTGGGAGGGTACGCAACACATTCCTCTCTGATTTGTTGATTAATCAACTACTGGAATATTAGAGACAACCTAAATTCCAAAGGACAAAAAATTATATCAGGAGGCAAAGGGAGTTTTATTTGCCAAACTATACTCGGTCCAATTTCACCCCTCCCCCCAATAGATTAATTTAGCAGCAAATCTGAAATACAAGATAAAACCACATTAAAATAAAAATCTCCACTAATAAATATAACTATGGAATGCTATACATCCCACAGCGTTTTTGAAAGGAATGATAATGATCGTAACTAGATAGAATCTTTTACTTATTTCACTGTTCATGTTACAGAACAGAGATGGTTTAAAGAAAACTACTGGAATATCTGTACTTAACCCTGAAGACTCCGAAGCATTACATGTGTCTTCTTCTCTATCGATAATCATGAAGGAAAATAATTTGGTACCTGTTAGGTAATGCATTGACTGTATTGTCACAGACCAGTGACATTTGCACAGTAACAGTCCTAAGCAATGTAGCTTATTTAAACGTCCTGTTGTAATCCTCTGCTTAGGTATGGTATGCAGAATATCTAATTTTGTGCAGCACTATTAAAAGCAATAATACATATATTGTCCTTTAAATGCTTTGCCTCTATGACAACTAGTGCAGATCTACTAGGTGTTGGCCAGTTCAATCTATTAGCAGTGATGCTCCAGTGTGAGGTAAGTCGATATTTTTCCATGAAAAAGGACGAGCAGGCATAGTGTATACATTTCTGTTACCAATATAGGATTGTCACTTATTGGTGAGAGAAGATATATTGATCCAGTTCAGTCTTCCTTGTGAATCTCACCTACGCTGCATTGTTACTCTGAAGCCTGCCCTCATTTGTTATATATGGTATATATCTTTTTTATTTTTTCGATGTACAATACGTTTTGTTTTTTTTGTCTTTCCAACTGTTGGGTGGCATATCCGAAAATAAGTACGTACGTATTCAGGATTGTTCCAAAAATGTTGGATTCCCTTCCAGTTGAAAGTTTTCATCAAACAAAGATGGTGCATGAAGTCATGATAAAACCCAAGAGATTTGTGCATGTAGAATGTCCAGAGACTTGTGCAAGACAGATGCTTGCATTAAAATGTAAATTGAGATCAACCTCAAAAACACAAAAAACATTTCCGATCAGAGTCCAAAAAAACCCCAATGGTAAGATGATAAAAAGATTCAAATACAAGTGGCGATATTCTTTGGTATGCGTTTCTATAGGCAATATTATTGTATTGTAATACAGCTCTTGGTTGGTACGATTCATGTAGATTGGGAGGGCTGTTAATTCTAATTATTTATATTTATACCACTGGGAAAGAATTGACCTCTAGTTTAAGATGGCAACAGATCTCACTGAGAGCCTTTTAATAGACAACAAAACAAAACAAACAAAAACAAAAACTGTAGAAGAGAAATAGAGAAATCACACATGGTGCAGATACTGTAGAATATGTTAACAAATGTAAAAAATGTGCTAAATTCTATCAACATTTAAGATTTAAATAAATAAATCTTAAAGAGTAAGGAGTTGTAAGTATTTAGAACATGGAGACCAGGTATTGTTTCCCCCCAATAGCTCATCCTAAGAGCCACCAACCTAGACATTTGTGTAATAGAAACAAAATTATCCAAAATATACACATTCTCTACTTAAAAAAATACATATAAAACTAATATAAAACAGAAAACTGAAATTCTGCAAAGAACTTCTATTTGGCTTTTTTGCTAGCTACTAAAAGAAGTGTAGACTTTAAACACCTTCTGTAAAATTATACTACTTAAAATCTTTACTGCCAGAGGATCTACTAACTTCTGCTCTGCAATATGTTGAAGGTCCAACTAGCAGCAAAGTGGATAAAAATGTATGTGACTATGATGAGATCTTGGTATTAAACCATGGATTTTTTTTTTAATGCAAGGTCTGTAATGAGTGAAAAACCCTATGCCTACAGTGTTCATTCCTACAGTTATGTACCCATATATTTTAATACTTCCAACTTTGGATATTAAGGGCCAACAGCCCATTCATTTTCCATACATTCTAAGCTTGGCCTTCAAGAACCAACAAAAAACTTTCAAAAGATTGAAAAGCACAAATCAATTTAAAATCCCACTGATCCATAAATTCGATGTGGTGTGTATGTTTCATGTAATACTGTACGCAAGAATACAAATCCAATATACAACAGATGATATATGTACATACATATACACACTTAAGTCTAACTTGTAAATGATGTTAACATCCCCCCATTTTGACCTTGACCATCATGTTCCCTATGAAGATAAAACAGTCTAGCAATAAAGAGAAAATCTTTAAAATTATGAACACCTGATTAAAAGAAAATATATGTAGATTTTTTTTTTCACAGCAACATATACATTAGTGTACTGAATACAGAATATTTGTGCAAGAGCAGCATATACAGAAACTTCTACTGAGTTGTGGTTTACAGACTTGATATGTTGGAAACATTATATATCCCCTTTCTGCTGCTGTAGGGGATCGAGACTTGGGTAAGTCTAAAGCTATGTGCAGTCCCCTCCAGCAGTTTGAGAGGTAGACCAGGAAACATTGGCTCATTTGACAAACAGAAGCAAATTTGGTGTAACCACTTTTCACTGGAACAAAGAACCAGCCAATGGACTTTCCATTTATTCTTTGAGGTTTTTGTTTTTTGGTTTTTTTTCATTTCTCCCCTCATTCACAATTTTTGTTACCTTCCAGAGGGAAAAAAAGGAAATTAGCTATCAAACTTGTCCATAAATTTTGCCGTTGAGGGTGGAATCATCCAATTAGCATAAACACAGTCATTGGCATATCTTGAAAAAACAGACTTATTGGCATCGAATCTTGGGATTGGAACGGGGCTTTCTTCAGGCCAGTTCGGATAGGACATGCCTAAAAATGAAAAGAGATAATTTGTTCTGCACTGAAGAATTAAAAAAAAAATGATATAATAATAGCTTCACGTGCAGACAGTAAGGCCCTTGGCAAAACTCCCTTTTTATACTAATAGATAAGCCATTGGTGTTGCTAGAGACAAACAAGCAAACCGACAGACGCATAGCCTACCATTCATCTCTTGATAATGTGTGTGGACAATAGGCAAACTGTGACAACTTCTTAATTAAATTCACTTATTAATTAACTACTTCCAATTACTTAGCCAAAAAAAAGGATATTGCCGATTTTGTTTTAGAGAGTTTGAGGTTGTAATTAACGGTTACAAAAACAGAGATATTGTAAAATAATTTTATATATATTATATATATATTAAAAACTCAACTCTTGCACTATAATAAACCTTTTATATGTTTTGCATTCTCAGAGAACGTGAAATTGCTCAGTTCCTAAAAATAATTCACACATACAGAAAAGTCATAGGAAACTGGTTTAGATAAAAGAACATACAGCGTTAGGAATACAAACATGTATTCCAAACATTATAGTTTTAATCGAATGATTTAGGTTCCCCACCCCCGCGAGGGTTTGAAAGGTGAAAATTACTTACCTTTCAGCCTTCACTGCACTAGTCTATGTACTACCACTCCACTTCCTTGGCTGGGATCATAAAGATTGATGATCTCAACCAATTTAACGTTTTCCCATAGGCTAGCTTTGAGAGGCTAGTTGGCAACTCTGAGCAGCATTTGATGTGGAACAGACTTTTACTCCGTTCTCACAGTGGAAGCTTGTCTAATGACAGTCTGGAAGACAGCCACTAGAGGCGTTTTAACCCTGCAATAGAAAAATGCAGTTTCTATAAAGCTGCAATGATTTACGTTAAAGGTTCAGGGCCACTGGACCCAGACCACTTCATTGAAATGAAGTGATCTGGGTACCTCTAGTGGTCCTTTAACCCCTTAAGGGCCAAACTTCTGGAATAAAAGGGAATCATGACATGTCCTGTGTCCTTAAGGGGTTAAAAGGATACTCCAGACCCCTAAAAGTTCTTTAGCTTGCGTAAGTGCTTTATGTGTGAAGATTGTGTCATATTTTTTCCTTTTGCAAAATGTGCAGATTTCCATAAAAATCAGCACTATTATATGTTAACCTTGTTACAACACTGGCATGTCAGACAACCAGTTCTGTCACCTCCTGGTTGTTTCACTCAGTGGAGCTAAACCATGAGATACATAAAACAGCTTTTGCAAGTAGTTTTATTTATACGATTATTAAATGCATGCATTTTTCATTTGGTGTATATCTACTAAACAATGTTTTTTATTATGTTATTTGGGCAGTGGGGTGTCATGTGATGTATTTAGGACATTAAACTGCTAAGGATAGCCTATCTATTGAGAAGAATTAATAGCCACCTTTAGGGTGCAGAAAAGGGTAGATGTCATGCCAGTCCAAACTCAAGAGGAGCAAGTTAACATCATGGTATCCCTGAAGCCATTGATAAACTGATTTTAAAGATGGTTTTGAGGGAGATATATTTGTTAGTCTTGTTTTTTGCTTACCAAATAAATCAGACTTGCTGCCCGTTGTGTTTACTAAAGGAACAAAATATATATATATATATATATATATATATATATATATATGTTTTAGATATTTTTAAAAAACTTCTAAAATATTTATTTGTATGCAAGGGATCTTCACTGAAACCAGTTTCAGGTAGATATCCTGGCAACGTTATTTGAAAACAATCCTAATCAAGATCATTTAATTCTGTTGTTACACTCTGTATTCAATTCAAAGTGCATTTTGATTTTGTAATAAAATAAATACCAGGTACGTAAAAGCCATAACTGCATTGCATGTGTTTAGAAAGGCAAAATAAATCATGTGATATATTTACAGATACACAAAAAAAGGTGTTGCTATTGGGATTGTATATTTCGTGTTTTGCAGATTTAGTTTCCATGGCAACATCAATGGCTAATCCCCTAAAAAAAAAAAAAGGTAAAGTATTTTTTTTTTTTTTAATGTAGTACGTTAATTAGGATATACTAACAGGAAGTCCACCACACTATAGCATTGCAGGCCACTTTACAATCAGTTAATGCCAGTCTTATTTTTTTAATTTTATTATAAGTTTGTTTGTAAAATGTGAGTCATTTGACAATTATGCTATGTTTTGTAAAGCCATGGAAAAATACATGATTTTTTCCAAGCATTTACCAGACTGGTTCCTTTAATTTTGACATCTATACATACGTTTGAAAACACAGAATAATGGAAAATCCTAGGTCTGTTTCTTTCATCATGTGAAAAAAAACAAAAAACTTCAGGTAAAAAAAATAATTAAAAAAATAAAATAAAAGGAGTTTTGGCAAGAACTGTTCTTACTGTCTCATTACACCACCACCACAATAGACATTTATACGACAGACTGACATCTAGAGAGACAATATGGCAGAACAGGAATACTAAAATAAGTTAGAATACACAAAAACAAACCGCAAGGTTGTCAGCTGACTTTGAAAGATTGTGAGATAATTTATAAGTCCAGAAGTCACGATTACATATGATAAAAATCTAGGGAGACTGGCCCTTAAAATGCTGCTTCCACCTTAGAAGTGGTATTTGAAACGGTTACTTAAATTTTAATGAAACATATGGGGAAATGTAAAAAAAAACATCAAAAACTAACGCTGTTATATAGTAGAATTTTGAGGCCATTATTATTGGACTATAAAGTTTTGGCATCATAAAAGGTACATCTATTTAGGAAACCGTTTTTAAGATTGTAATAATAAATGGCTTGTTCTTCCCATTTTTTATGTTTATTGATAATCTCTCTTCCCTCTTAAGTATATCTTTATATTGAACAAATCTCAAAATGTCAAATAATGCCAATACTAAATGGCTATATGATGCTCAATTACACAAACTTTATGATTTAATAAATTACAACTTTAAAGTAAATTTGATAAGGGCAGGTGTTTTAGTTCACAACCATTAGTCCTAATTTTAATAAATGATAGAGAAGAAACTTGTCAAATTATTTCACTACAGATTTAACAAGGAACATAAACCCTTTCTGCAAAAGGCCTATAGCCTGGCGATAAATGTCTAAGCAATCATGCACAGCAATACGGATTCCATTCATATATGTCAGATTGCTATAAGTATTAAGGCATATAGTCTAAAGGGTAGAATATGGGTAAACAATATTTTAACCACAGTCTAATTTTAACCATTTACATTCTTCATCACTACATGTTGCATTCTTTATGGTAAATGCTCATTGCACACTTTCTATCTTAAAAAAGGTCTACAAAAAGGCTGCCTAGTCATTAATGGGAACACAACCAGGCTATAGGGCTTGGGCACCAATGAAATCCCTTTACAAAAAAATGGGAGTGAATATTAGGTATTTGAATTGATATGGTCCTATGTTTAATGAGTTGGTATCCTTTCAAAATTATTTTGGCCAGAGAAAAATCGTAACCTTATAGGGTGAGAAACCAAACAGACTTGAATGCATTTGATGGATGCAGATAGAAGAAATAGATCCAGGCATTAAGTCCAACTACACAAATGTTCTGCATAATAGAATTTATTCACTAGACACCTATTTGTAGTTAATTGAAACCAAACTTGAAAATCACGCTAAAATTCTAATCAAGTTGTGACCATGGCCTAGTTGGAAAATTTAGCAACCTTTTTTGCAATTTGCTGTATTGTTCTGTACAACGTGTCTGTGGTGGTCAAGATAAAAGACACACTGGTCTCATTAATGATTCCCATGAATAAAAAAAACTCACTTGATCACATGCCACTTGCAAATTCACCTTGTGAGCTCAGATAAGAGGTATATCAACTCTTTGTAGCATTTGTAAATTGAGACTTTTTGAAAAATCTGGTGTAGGAACATATTTTCAAGGTTGCCTAGTGTGTTAAAAAATTAAAACAAAAGTCTAAAAAAAAAAAAAAATTACAAAACAAGCCAAAAAAAAAAAATGCAACTGAAAGTGGTGAGAGTATAAATAAATTGTGAACTATGCAAAGTATATGCTGACACTAAAAGATTAATAGCACTGTTCAGATCATCCAATATAATAAGTATAATATCAAAAACTCATGTAAGACAGGGGTATTCATGTTAAGGCCAAAATTGGAGGGTATATGCAATAACTTTATGAGGAACCAGACAACCAGAATGAATAAGAAATAATCTGGACAGAATCTTGTTAAAATGCAAGATAATAAATACATTTTGAATAAATTTAGTCAAGTTGAGAGTTCAATAAATGGGTTGCGGTTAGTAGTGGATGGTATTGATGAGGGTTGAAGTAAGCTCACAGATGAAGTTAGTGCATATAAATGTAAAAAAAAAGTGTGAACAGTAAACAGCAAAGCACAGGGAAGGAAGGTAAATACAGGTGTAAATGTGGAGAAAAAAAATAAAATAAATGAAGACAAGCGTTATCAAGAACCACAATGGGAAAAAAAAGAGGAACAACTATTAAAAGAAAATAGGCAAAGACTAAACGGGGAAACAAAGTGATGATAAAAGGCAAAAAATTGCTTAATGAGGAGAAGGGATGTATTAAAGCATTGGGGGAAGAGACAAATATCATATGAAGTGTTGAGGAAAAGAAAATAAGTACTCCGCACCAGGGCTGTGGAATTGGTACACACAACCTTCGACTCCGACTCTTTATATTATTACAGTGCTATGGGTCAGAGGTACCATAAATTGATGATTCTGATTTGGACTCGAAGGTTTTGTAGACCAATTCCACTGCCACGATCAGTACCATAAGGACAAGGACTCTGTGAAGTTAGAGAAATGAACAAAAGGGAGCCTGAAAAGGAAATTACAGAAATGGTCAAATGGAGAGTGGGAAGATCTGAAAAACAGAATGGTAAGAGAAAACGAAAATAAAGAGGGAACTTGATCAGGAATTGAGGGTAAATTGGCAAAACTTGCTATTCTAGGGACTGAAAATATGGGGGATGGAAAGATCTCAATAGATATGTTACCTGAATTTTCTGACAGTGGTTATGCCTCATGGTTATAGTAATTATGTGATTGCAGCCAATAAGGAGTTGAGCCTACTGTCTACATTCATAGGCTGTTTTTTCCTTCACTTATGAAGATAAGTAATCAGGAGCTCAGATCCAAAAAAAGGTTCTTTCTACCTGTTTTTGTCTCTATGTAAATAATGTATTAATTTTTACAGCTAAAAAAAAGAAACTGGCAAACATTCAACTTATCTGTGCGGAAAATGAACACTAAAAAAAAATCCAGAAAAGATACCATTAACTTATACAATAAACTATATAAAAAAATAAATAAATAAATAAAAAAAGGTATTCAATGAATCCAAACAATCCAGTTAAACTCAACAAAAATATCAAACAATTCTTGCACAAGTTTCAAGGCCAAAACGAAATGCCAATATGTTAAACACACATGTAAACATGGGTTGAAGACCCTCTAGTGCATGAACCTAAACTACTTTCTTCGTATTTATGTCAATCTTAGACGATCGGTGTGAACTTCAATATAAATGTTAAGTGTACGTCAGCTACAGATTTTAGTTGGTATGGAAAAAAGTTATAGAAAGTAAAGAAAAAAATCTGTAGCAATTATTACACCTAAACTAAATAAAATGTTAAAATTTTCAGATATGCTAGATGAATATTTTTCCCAAATGTCACATTTTATGTAGTTGTGGGATTATCCCCAAAACTCTTTCACGCTACTACAGAAGATATACAGGTTAGGTGCTCCTGTTCATGCCATAAAATAGCAAATTTAACTAGCAAGAGTCCTGCCAATGTCTCCATTAATTCCATTCCTTGGTTATGCTGTTGTGACTGTTTGTTTCTTGGTTTATAGTTGTGTATACATTTTTGTTTTTATTATATTTGCTTCTTTTCAACAGCAGCAAAAATATCTGGGAACATAGGCAGTTAAATATGCAAAAGAATAAAAAAATATTTTTTTGTTTACATAAAATAAACACAGCTTTTCAAGCAACGTTTTGATTGGTTTCATTCAGGCCCAAGCCCCTGGGGGGAAGGAAGCAAAGAGCTATTGGTGTGCAGCAAGAAATCACACTTGCGCAACTTGATAGTGCAGCTAGAATCTAGTAAACGCATGGGAAATTCTACCATAAAGTTTGTTTTCAATCCAGGTGGAGGGGAGCGTTCGAGGAAGTGGGGCATTATTACAGTCCACCAGAGGGGTCTCTTCTTCAGAAAGACCATCATCGTAGAGCATGGAGTCTGCAGGTGTAGAAGCAGCCAAGTCCAAATAATCCTGATAACATATGAAAGAAGAATTGCCATTTTGTTAACACTGCTGCCAACTATACATATAAATAATATTTAATATAAATAAATAACATTTTATTGCATATTTAACAGTGAGGGAAAGGAAACTGTTATAATCTTTGGAGGGATGACTGTTCAAATATTATAAATTATACAATAAAAAAATAAGACTTGTGACAAAATTCTCTCTCTCTCTCTCTCTATATATATATATATATATATATATATATATATATATATATATATATATATATATATATATATATATTCTCTCTCTCATATATATATATATATATTCTCTCTCTCTCATATATATATATATATATTCTCTCTCTCTCATATATATATATATATATATATATATATATATATATATATATTTGAAAGGATAAATTACACCTTGCATGCCAGAGCATAAATATCAAATCATCCTATAATGGAGCACTGTGACTGTACTTTATTTTGCATTTAAAACAAGACATCACACTTACTCTGCTTTTCACCATCATCTTCTCTAGTTCTTTGCTGATCTCCCCAAATGTTGATCGCTTGTCCGGTTCCTGTTTCCAGCATTTCAACATCAGGTTGTACCTGAAATTTGGAGACAGTCAGTAATGGAATAATAAACTTAAAATGGAAAGCACATAAGGCACTATAACAATTTCATCTCAATACATTTGTCATAGTGTCTACAGTATTCCGGCACTGTCCCTTCATTCATATTAAACCATTTTTGAGTAGTTTAACATTAAATAATAGCCGAGGGCTACCCACCTGGCCCCTACTAGACTACTAGAATTATAGCAAAGGCTTAGATTATGTTATTCCTTAGCCATGCCAATTCATGCCAGCAATGGATTGTGACAGACAAACTGGTCAGCTGACATTATCATCCAATTACATGCTCATGCTATGGCTTCCTTATTAGTATGAGCAGCACAAAGAGATTGGGCTACTGGAAACTCTCTGTTACCATTAGACTATTAAAAACTGTTTAACACGGAATAGAAGGATGGAGTCAGGGGATTCCAGATTCTACAACCTCCTCAATTTAATGAATCTATTACATTTCCTACAGTGTCCTTTTAAATCTTGTATACAACATGACAAATCCTTTTAGATTGGAGCAGACAAAGAGATAAAAAAATGTATTTATTTATTGATCTATTTAATAGTGCAATATATATATAAATACATACATACATACATACATACATACACACACACACACACATACATATATATATATACACACACGCACACACATTTTTTAAATTGTTTAATTTTAAGTGTTGGAAATAAATTATTTTGCACTCTGTGCATACATCCTACATTTTGGTTCCTGATTCTACACAAAGTAGGTAGTGTGACCCTCAGCCACACAAGACACAGAAAGTGAGCTGAATTTAAAGGCTCCTCACTTGTGAGTACCCAGTTTTATATTTGATACATATATTTTTGCATTGCAATACTACCCTATGTATATACCCCTTTGAGTTACTTCATAGAATTATCCGTGAGGATACCAAGGAGGGGAAGGGTCGCCTTTATGGACGCCACAGCGAATTAACATAGGAACATAGAATGTGACTGCAGATAAGAAAGATTCGGCCCATCTAATCTGCCCAATTTTCTAAATACTTTCATTAGTCCCTGGTCTTATCTTATAGCTAGGATAGCCTTATGCCTATCCCACGCATGCTTAAAGAACACAAACATGTATTCCTGACCCTATAGTGTTTAACCCACCATTTAGGTGGCTTGCCCTCCCTTAGCCCCCCTATAAAAGTTTAAAACTCACCTTATTTTCAACGCCACGTGGGTCTGCCGTTGCTGGCTCATCGTCCTTTGGAACAATCGAAATGGCAGATTTTTAGCCAATCCATAGAAAAAGCACTGGATTGGATAAAATCGGCACTGGGGCAGGGCCGAATGCCGTTTTGGCCAATCATGATCTCATAGAGATGCATTAAATCAATGCATCTCTATGAGGAAAATTCAGCGTCTCCATTTTCGGCAGCACTGACCCAGGAAGCACCTCCAGTGGCCATCTAAGGAGTGGCCACTTGGAGGTGTCCCTAGAGGAAAAGTAAACACTGCCTTTTCTCTGAAAAGGCAGTGTTTGCATGAAAAATAGCCTGAAGGGAACTATCATACTATAGTGTCCCTTTAAACTCCTTCACTGTGTTAACCTCTTTCACTTCAGCTGGAAGACCATGCATCCACTATCCCTCTCAGTAAAGTAATAATTCCTGATATTATTTTTAAACCTTTGTCCCTCTAATTTAAGACTATGTCCTCTTGTTGTGGTAGTTTTTCTTCTTTTAAATATGGTCTCCTCCTTTACTGTGTTGATTCCCTTTATGTATTTAAATGTTTCTATCATATCCCCCCTGTCTCGTCTTTCCTCCAAGCTAAACATGTTAAGATCCTTTAACCTTTCCTTGAATTATACCAGAGTGTACCTTAATAAAAGGGTTTACACTATCAAGTTTTTAATCTCTCCTACCCCAAGGATATTGGGACATTTGAAATATCCTTATTTTATACTTATAAGGTATAAATTGAAATATCTACATATTCATCAAGATCACTATAATAAGCGCTCCACTAATATATATATATATATATAATCTTTATGACCTAGATGACTGTCCACGAGGAGACCATTCTCAATAAATACAAGCTTCTGTTCAGTTAGACAAATTGTGACCTAATGACTCCAATTAAAGTTTTGCTAATAGCCATATGTGCAACAGGAGAGGGAGAGGGATGCCCTAAATAATGTTATTTCCAGGGAGGTGAGAAGGGCCTGTCCTCCCATTCCTAATGATCTTTTATGCGTTAATGAAGGTTTTTTCTCCACTGATTTGGTGTAAACTAGATGGTTAGGTCAATTTGTTCCTGGGGTTATTTTCTAAATAATATTTTTGTCAGTTGAGTTATTGTGAGGCACATATTTTACACCATTAACTATGGTACATGAATGGCCACCCATAACTGGTATGGTTGTGTACACATACTTTACAGATAGTGTGGCACTAAGTAGTAGTAGAATCCTACAACCTCTCTGTGGTGCAAGACTGTAATGGATGTATTCTCTTTTTAAGAGGGTATTGCATTTTCTTGGTAAATGACTGCCCACAGAGGGCATTTTTCCATTATGTAAAGTCTGCCAAGAATAATCAGCCCTACTACAAACAAATCTCTTTTTTCTTACAGTAAAATAAAATATATATTATACTACACACACACACACACACACACACACACACACACACACTTGAAGAAGAAGAAGAAGGGCACTCAATGGTCTTCTTAATGTGCAAGCTTTATTCATAAATGTTCAGTAATGTTACAGTATCATCAACATTTAAGTTCTCAACAGGACTTCCATCAGGATTCTGAGTAAAATCCCGATGAGGACTGAAACGTTGATAATACTGTACAGTCACTGAACATTTGTAAATAAAAAGTTTGCAAATTGAAAAGACCAGTGAGTGCCCTTCTTCGAGTGTATGTATTGTTAAAAGGCTGGAGGAGCACCTTGGCAATCAAAACTGAAGTATGAGTGGAGGAGTGTATGTATATACACATATATATATATATATATATATATATATATATATATATATATATATATATATATATACACACACACACACACACACACACACACACACACACACACACACACATACATTGATACATACATACATACATACATACACACAGGTACACACAATATTTAGTGATTTGTGTTGGTGGAACAGCATTAAGTATTTTATCGTTACAGAAAAAAAAAAACCCTGCTTACATTTCATCACTGCAGTTCTCAGGCTTCTCCATCCTGTAGCCAGTTTTAAGAAGGTTGAAGAGCCGCTCTGGAGCAATTCCTGGGTATGGATTTCCTCCCAAAGTCACAATCTCCCACAAAAGCACCCCAAAGGACCACCTGGTAAGAAGACAATGAATTATAATTGGAAGCGCAAAGCATATGATGATTATAAATTATATAGTGCCACATCGCTTTATAATTTGACATATAAGACACTATTGTATTGTAACAATGTAGCAACACAACATGAAAGTTGAGGGTAAGAGATTATGTAGTCGGTCATACACCCCTGTTGCTCCTGTGGAACCATGAGCAGAACTAATTGAAAAGACTATGCTGTTATTACAGGATCCAAAGAGAATCTTTATTCTATCTGATACCACTAATTTTGGAACTAGTTCTAGTCTACTCACAATGTGCAGCACTGACAATTAGCATCTCCACGATCTTCATGGAGGTCTTGAATTTTCCCCATAGAGATGCACTGATTCAATACATCTCTATGAGGATTGGCACCTAGAGGCGTTTTACAGTGCATGCACATTAGCCTTTAAATGCTTTTCTATGGAAAAGCATTGGATAGACTGAGATTGTCAGTTCTGATAATCTCAGCTAGAAGGGGTGGGACAAGGGTGGAGCTAGGACTTGTGGCGCTGAAATAAAGGTACATTTTTACTCTTTTTAATGAGGACAAGGGGGCAGGTGGTTAGTAAACTTTCCCCAACTAGTCCACTTAATCAATATTAGAACATCTGTGGAGTCAAAAGGTTGTAATGGTAGTAGGAGATTCTGCTATTAAGAGGTAATATACTGATCACCTGAAGATGTACGTGTCTTAACAGCTTGTAACAGACATCCTAAAACAAGTTTAAGTCATTACAAAGGCAAAAAGGAAAACAAATTCCTTTTTTATTTAACAAAGTAATTCTGTGTAATAAGAGAGAGTCTAAGGTCAGCTTTATCTTCAGTCATAAACGGTTAGGGCCACTAAATATGTTGTGACATTACACCGCAGAAGATACAAAAATATTACTTTGTAATAAATATACTTTGAGGTAAAAATTTAAACACAATCAATTTGTAAAGATATATTGAACATAAAATGTTTAAAGACATTTTTTAAACTAATCAAGTAAAATGCAAATCTGGTAATAAAAGCAAAGGATCTCATCTATTCGTGCATATATGGATCAATGTAAAAACATAATATATATATTGTGTCTGTTGGGAACCACAATTACTACCTGTTTATTGGTGCTCAGTTGTGACGGCAATCTGTTCTTTTATTATTTAGTTAACAATTGTAGAGGTTGTTAAAGCAGTTAAAAAAAAAAATCATAAATTCTAATTCAGAAATTCCTGGTATTATTATATGCTATTTCCCTACATGTTATTGGGAGCAATAAATCAGAAATGTATAGCTTATTCTCTTAATACTTTAACAGTAAACAGGAACATTGCATCTGAAAATTAAATAATGTTTATTCAAAAGGGCAAAAAAAAAAAGCACAGCTTGCAAAGAACGTTTGCCAATGCAAAATAAAAATTTTAAAAAAATCAGCAACTTATTATCGTATTTCCTTATGACTGCTTATTATGCTCGTGATGGGGAGATAAGTACATGTATATTTTTATTTCCTGATTACTACACAGGTCATGCATTCTTCTCTAACTCTTTGCTCATAAGTGAAGAAGGTTAAAAAATGAAGACCATCTTATAACAAGTCATTTACATAATGTAAATGTCCAAAAATATATAAATGTTGGTTTACAAATATTTTATATTTCTGATATTTTTTCTCTTGATGGTCCATATGACCTTTTAAAGGGAGACTCCACTTCACAAATACAAAATAAATAAAAATCACTGTTTAGCAGATATAACCTGTACACCCCATTGAAATTTGCACGTATTTAATTATGCATTTTTTTCCTTGGAGTTATATCTAAAACCAGCTTGCAAAAACTGCAGATCTCTTGTCTGCTGCCTTTGAAAGCCCTCCTCTTCTAACTCCTCCCAGACTTTCTGTGGCTGTCCAATTACAGACTTCCCAATGCAGCTCAATGAGCTTTGCAAGGCAGGTGCTCTGGGCAATTGCTGCCTCATGAGTTGAGTGCAATTAAGCTAACAAAAAAAAATAAGTAACAGGACCTGTTCGCTGTTTGAAAAGCCAGGTGGGTGCAACTAGTGTAATTTATAAAAGTGTAAATTTCTATTGAATTCTACACTTTTTCCAAAATGAGAAAAATGGGACCCACTATTCACACATAAAGCTTTTCAGCAAGCTAAAGTGCTTTAAAGATCTGGATTGTCCTCTTAAATGTATATCATATGTGTTTTCAATGACTTTATGAGTGCAACTTAAATCTCCTATAAATGATTAAACTTTAGGCCAACATCTTAAACAATGCAAAATTATATTAAATAACACAACAATCTATTTGAAGATGGGACATATTAGGAAAACTGTTTTCTCGATGATCTGCATCGATCACAATAAAATTTAGCAATGAACGTTGTGCTGGCATGCAATAAAATTTGATGGAATTTTTAAAAATATTCTTTTACATTGAAAAGACAAAGAAAAACAAAACAAAACACAACTTACACATCACTTTGTGTTGTATAGATGTGATCAAACAGAGATTCTATAGCCATCCACTTAACTGGTATTCTCCCCTAAAAAGTCAACAAAATTAGAATTTAAAATTAGTGTGGTGAATGTGTTGATTGTTTGTTTTAGCCATATTGTATTCTTTAAATCCTTAAATGTAGTAGTTGATAATCTCATCTGTTGATTTTTGAGTAGGAAAGACAAGGCACTGTTGAAAATCACCCAACAGATTTAACACGGGTTTAATCAAATCTGATTCAAAATAAAGCTATAACTTGCTAAGCGGTCAAGACAAGTACATTGTGCACCAAATATTAATGTAATTACTTTACACCAGAGGGCATATGCACTCCTTTCTGCAATAATGAGTGATAAGTCGAGTCCGTTGACCTTTCATTTCCATTTCAAAAAAACACTATAATTATAAAATCCATGTTGCTGTTGAAGGTGAATGGTTTATGTGATAAAACGATCAAAGTGTTAAAAATATTTGAGTGGCCCTAAATGCAGGCCTTTCCAACCTACGCCCCCCTAGATGTTGCTGAACTACAGCTCCCATGATGCTTTCAATAAAACAGCCAGGGAATCATGGGAGTTGCAGTTCAGCAACATCCAGGGTTGTGGGGGGGAGGGGGGAGGGAAGGGGAAGGCAGGGTGCAGGTTGGACAGGCCTGCACTAAAGTTTAAGTGTAACCATTCTGTGGAAATTTGTGAAATAAAGTCCAATCGCCACGGAAGCCAAAAGTATGTCTACATTTAGCACTTTCCATCCAAATTCGCAACTGTCTTGTCTTGATAAGTATCCTCATGGAGTTTTATCTGCCTGGGTCATTCATTAAGAATGATTAATTGATATTTCAGAAACTATACAAATGTAAAGTAAAAATAACTTGAAGCATTATTGTATCTTTAAATTCCCCCCAATTACATTAAAGTGCAATGAAATGCTTTGCATGGTCTTTTTAAGTACAGGTAAAGATCTCTAAATGATTTAGGGCCAGTATATATTACCTTGCTTCTTTTTACATAAGAGTCCTCTTCATACACATCTCTGGAAAGACCAAAGTCTGATATTTTCATTTTACGTCCTTCAGCTACAAGTACATTTCTGGCCGCCAAGTCTCGATGGACAAGCTAGAGACCGGTAAGAAAATAATAAACACCAAATCATATAAAATAAAAGATATGTGTTTCTCAAAATGCAATATTCTAAAAAGTGCAAAGACATTTAAAGAAGACAATAACTTTACAAAAAAAACATTATACCAATAGACAAAACATCAAAAATAAACTAACTTCTGGTGATTTTTTTTAATTGTTATTTTTAATTTAGATTAAAGATTTAACAATTTTACATCCCAACCTGCTTTGGATTATGCATGTCCAAGGCACATGTTGCATTGCAGAATAAACCGAAATATTGTCGGAATGTATGAAAGTGTTCTTTTCTAAAAATTGTTGAGTCCTACACTTTAACATTTTTACACTTAAAGGAGTGTTCTGTTTGTTTCACTGGTTTCTATGATGATTGCCCCATTTTTAGTACTCTAAGTGACAGTTGTCCTTTAAACTAAGGGAATGCGATTATACATTGCACATCAAGTATTTGTTTTAATCAAATCTTTTCACAACATTTACTTAATTCCAAATAATGCACACAATTGAATCTTATTTAAAAAGAGGACCAGCTGAACAGTCCAAATATGGTACTAAAGACATCATTAAGTATTGTTCAGATGTTTAGATCAAGAATTTTGTGGAAATTAAATAGTAATGAATCCCTTACCTTCATTTCTGCTAAATATTGCATGCCTCTGGATATCTGCCATGCAAATGATATGAGGTCACCCATAGTAAGTGCTCTTTCATCAGGATTGTCCAGGTAGCTGGAATTACGGTTGGTGTCACCTCCTATTGAGCTTGGTCCCACCTTGCGACTTTCTCTCAAGAAACTCCTCAAGGAGCCATATTTTGCATATTCCACAATAAGGTGCAAGGGTCCTAAATACAAATGTAAAACATACAGAAGTTATGATAATTTATCCGCATACGCTATTGCCAACATGTACTTTTACAAATCAATTGTATCACTTTTTATAGGCTACACTATCCATCTTTACCCCTCTAGTTTTGTTTCTTCTTCTTACATGTAGATCTGGTTTTACAAACACGGAGTGCCATTGAGACCCATCTTGCACGTGATATAATGAGAAAACACAAAACCAATGAAAATAAGAAAATTATGTTTTTTCTTTTAAGGATTAGTAATATATCTTTACAGAATTTACTTTATTATATTTTTATTCTCTAGTTCTCTTCTTCCTATTTGAGAGCACCTCAAAAGCCCTCATGTGTATTCTGAAAAAAGCAACCAGGCTGACTATGTTATTGAATCAAAATGGATCTCGTGAAAACCTTATTTCTTAAGGACACATTTGTGACTTCCCAGAACAATTTGGGGAAATATTTCAGAAGTTCTTTGCAAAATTATATAACCACTTCACTCAATGCCAGACTGAACTGGGATAGAGGGGAGTGGTTATATAATTATGAAATTTGGATAAGATGACACAACAACTTACTTGGGTATTCCGTAACACCCTGAAGCTTCCAACTTTGACAACGGCAGCCAAAAAAACATTGGTTGTGGAGGTCACTGGGGACGAGCTGGCTGTGGCCCTTGGTTTGGCCTGGACCAGATAGATTTGCTGCCCTATACTACAAGGTCTTCAACTCTCACTTACTGAGACACTATGTGCATTGTTTAATGCCTTATAGCGGGGAGATAAACTCCCGGCAGAAATGGTTACTGCTAATATCTGCCTCCTTCCAAAGACAGATCAGACTCACGATGATAAGGGGCAATTCCGCCCAATCTCACTTCTGAACCTGGATCTTAAACTCATGACCAAATTAATGTCCAATAGTATCAATTCGCACCTTGACTCTTTAATTCACCCAGACCAGGTAGGATTAATTCAAAATAGGCAAGCAGTAGGAAACACACATCAAGCCATAGACATCATATGGTTTGCTCAACCTTCTTGATGCTGAGAAAGTGTTTAATCACCTTCTCTGGCCCTTTCTGTTTGGAACACTCATCCAATTTGGATTCCCACCCAAATTTATATCTTTTCTCAAAGCCACCTACCAACCACTTCAGGGAGCATTACTCCTACGCAACACCTCCCTGATTTTTAATTTTGAACATAATGAAACATGGATGTCCACTAACCCCCTTTTTGTTTGCGTTGCTTAGAACCATTGCTGGAGTCTATAAGGTCCAGCCTTTGAATAGAGGGAGTCACCATTAGAGGACAACTTTTTAAAGTCTCAGTGTATGCCGATGATGTCCTCCTCACATTAATAAACCCAGCTCCCTCTATTGAGGTCCTACTATACTTGATAAAATCCTACTCTGAGATTTCAGGATACAAACTGAATCTTGCAAAGTTTGAACTTCTCCCGATCCACCTAGATAATAATAGTCTTACTCAACTTCAAAATAAATTCCCATTGAGCATATGTGAATCTTTCATTGCGTACTTAGGGTATACAATTAACCAATGAATTGGCCTCTCTATATCAAGAAAGCTATTTCCATCTACTGAATAAGGCAAACATAAATCTTAAAAATTGGGGGATACTGGAGATTTATGTGCATCGGTCGTTTTACCTCTATCAAATAAACCTCTTCCCTAGATTTTTGTATATCTTCCAAGCCCTCCCTGTCCCGTTCCATAAAGCTGACTTTATCGCACTACCATCTGCAGTCAACAGATTTGTTTGAAATGGAACCAAGCCCAGAGTCAGACAGGATTCACTTTATGTCCCAAGAAAATCTGGTGGCCTAGGCTTATCAAATTTATTACATTGCTTATAAGCAGTCCACTTAGCACAGGTACAGCGGGGCACCTTCTGCCTAACAAGAGAAGATTGGTAGACATAGGCCATTCTATCTTTGGGAGAGAGGCTCACCCTTCCTTGTATATGTGGATATCTAGGCTATTTAGGCAACAACTGTGCCACCAACTGCACCCACAATTACCCATTCACTGGACCTATGGGACAAATTACATGTTAAATTTGACTTCTCCTCATACCTGTCATTAACCCCTATTCTAAGAAATAGACTGTTCACACTGGGATTCGCAGTTAAACATTTTGCCCCAGTTTGAGAAGAGAAATCACACGACTCTGAAACCTGTACATTAATGACCAAATAATAAACTACATTGACATTCCAGATAATGCCTCCCTACCCACATTTGACTACTTCGGGTACATGTAACTCCTCTGCAGTTATACCCATCATCTAACAGGCAGGTAAGGTCTCACTCACTACATTTTAAAGAGATTGCATAATCTCTCTGACCAGGAAAGGACAAATATCTGATGAATACATAATATTAGCAATACACTCCACACAGATTTCTTTGCCATATATCACGGCTTGGGAAGTAGACTTAAGACCACCCGATGAGGCATCAGACTGGCCGGACATATTCCCTTGCAATGTGTGTGACCCATAAGGAACAGGCGTACAAAATGTTATTCCAATGGTACCTGGCTTTTGTCAATCATGCACTGCTCACCAACTAACTTCTGTTGGAAGCTGTAGAGTAAAACAGGAACATTTTACCATTTCTGGTGGACCTTCACTAAATTGAAACCACTCTGGCAGTTGATTACATCAATCCTAACCAGAATCTTGACCAAACCCTGCTGCTGGATCCATCGGCTCTACTACTTTCCAAACCCTTGGATTCCTTCACAAGCACTAAAGATAACGTGAAAGCACGAGAAGATCTTACCACTCACAGGGCAATTGGAGAGGTCTGGTTAACAACATGCACTGGCTGAACTAATGAACTAATGCGATCGCAGGGGTAGCAGCTGCGACCGGGCCCGGCACTCCAGGGGGCCCGGCCGCCCTGCAACTGGGTGCCCACTTCCATGTGTTGCGGCCCCAGCCCCTGCAATTAATATCCAGGGGGCCGGTCAGCGCTGTGGCACTTTAACAGCACGACCAGGCCCCCTGTGATGACGTCAGCCGCTGGGAGGAAGTGACAACCCCGGGCACTCCTCCCAGCAATCAAACAGAGTCCGCGCGGGAGAAAGGAGTCAGAGTTCCCATCAAGCTGAGCCTCCACTGGACCCCAGGGAAGTCAAAACATTTTGTACATGTGTTTAAATGTGTGTCTGTATGAATGTGTGTCTGTCTGTGTCTGTATGAATGTATGTCTGTCTATCTATGTGTCTGTATATGTGTGTCTCTGTGTGTTTGTATGAGTGTCTGTATGCATGTATGTGTGTCTCTCTATATATGTGTGTGTCTCTATGTGCGTGTCTGCATGTGTATTGGTTTGTCTTCATGTGTGGGGAAGGAACGTATGAAAGGGGGAGGATAGTGATATGGGGTGTTGCAGGGGGGGTGGACATATTGAAGGGAGAGGATAGACATATGGAGAGATGGCAAGGGGTAGACATATGGGGGTGGGGGGCCCCTGGGCAACTTTTGCACAGGGGCCCCATGGTTTTTAGTTACGCCTCTTACAACACTGATAGCCACACAGAGTCCAAACATAGATATGATAGATTGATATAATTAGTCTCATGTCACAGACTTACAACACACCTAAAACATTCCATAAGGTCTGGGCATCCTTGGTTGGACGGAAACACGTCCCTACCGTTGTAATCAATTGCTCAACTCATTTGTCTGTCCTCAAAGGATTCTAGAGCACTTATATATTACCCAGTGGCCAGTGGCACTTCTTCTATTACCCCTTTTCCTCCACAGAACTCAGTCGCTCTCCCCCCACCCCTTCCACACCACAGGCTCCAGCATTTGGAATCACCTTTGGTCTATCATTTCATCGCTCTACATAATTCGGTCTTCACGTATTCATTCTTCTCCTCCACCTGTTTCTTATTTCAGCCCTTCTTACTTTTTAACCTTCTCCTGTTCTCCTCTCAAGCTTCAAGCTCAGACACAGGACAATACTTAAAATCCCAGTCTTAAAATTATATTGTACTCCAGCTTCAGACAGATATTGGAGGCACCTAGCACTACGACTGGACACTTGACTTCCCAACCATGACATACTTTATAGTACTTGACTATGTCGGTTTTTTTTTTTTAAGGGCTCCCCATGAGGTCTATAGAAATATGGTTTCCTAGACCTAACACATAGGCTCTGTTATATATATTTCGAATGTTGAGACAGAAGAAAGGGAAATCCAGCCCAACAAATGCAATATTAACTTCATGGACAAAATATTCCAATTAGTTTGTTGTACAGAATCCTGTATCTTTTTATTATTGTTATGGTGGTTTACTGACACTGGATGCCACATAACTCTTTGTACATTTGTGGAACTCCAATGATGTTCTCTTGTTCACAAGTGCTGCATACTTGAGGCCTATACTGTTCTGTACTGTTCTACACCATTATATACTGTACTATCTTTATTGTTATATTTATTAAACTTTAAAGCTGGAAGAAAAAAAAAAAAAAAAAAGACTGTACACCAACAATAAAATTATACTGAATTAACATTTTGACTTTAAGAATGTCAGGGATCTTTAAGAACCAGTGATGGGTAGAAAGGATTACATAGGACAACAGTGACACTACTGTTTGCACTTACATGTAGAATGTTCATTGTTTGATGATGTGTATGCAATGTATGTTCTTTACCTATATTCAAACTGCTTTAGCTGTATTTTGTAGAGAAATGCTGATGCCTATGTATAATATAAATATTTATAATGAATGATCATACATTACATAAGCCTGCCACAACACCAATGTACCCCAGTATTGGCAGGTCCTATCCTAGACACCTTTAACTTGGAAAATACTTCCTCCTGAGGCTCTCTGCTGGCAAGCTTAAAGTAGTTATTTCACTTATTGCTGATGGTTTCTTGTTTAGACTGTACACATACTTTTACTACAAAAAAAGTTATTTACTAAAATGAATACCAAATGCCAAAATCGAGGAAAACAAACTATTTGAGATGAGAAGAGCCTTGCTGGAACATTGGCTGAGTAGGAGATTTTTCTCAGATTAGCAATTTTTGCCTCCAGTTTTTCCCATTTGGATTTAATTTGAGAAATTTTGAACTTCAGTGCTTGTGTGCAGTGGTGACTGGTGAAGCTTTAAGGTAATGGGGCACCTGACTCCTCCCCCCATAATTTTAGTCCTTCTGACACAGTACAGAGATACTCTTACTCTTAATTCACAGAGCTGAGGATAATATAGAGATACTTAAACAATAAAACAAGCTGGGCACACCATAAACATATCTATACAATACATAGATAAGAGTATAACCCCCCATTGTGCAGTGCTATGGATTTTACTGGTGCTATATAAATAATAAAATAATACAAATAATAATAACCCAGAGATAACCATACCACAAACAGAGCTGAGAAAAAAAACCCAGAGAAATAACACACATAGCTTGGCACAATAATGAGATACCCATAATTATCTTACACAACCAGGATCACTGAAATGGATTACACAGAGCTGTAATACAGAGATCCCTACACAGAAGACAGTGTGCACATGGTTAAATCATCAAGATACTGCTAGACTCCAACCATTTTAGCTACTCATGACTCACTATTATCTCTCAGCACACTGTGTATGCAAGGTTAAAGCAGCAGGACACTGAAATAATCATTATTACCTTTGCAGATGGCAATATAATAAATCTTCAGTGGTAATATGGAGCCAAAAAGTAGCTGACATGGTTAACAGAGTTAACAATTATTACATATAAAAATAGATTGAAATCAGAATCAGATCAGTCCTCAGGGTCACAGCCCTAGTCGCGAAGGTTGAAGCTTTACAACATTTCAGCTAGCCACAGCATGAGTGTCTCAGGTCTCAGCTGTAGAGTGACTGAGAACTTTAACCCCTTAAGGACCAAACTTCTGAAATAAAAGGGAATCATGACATGTCACACATGTCATGTGTCCTTAAGGGGTTAAAGAAGATGTGCAGTAGGAGTTATTAAAACTATTAGTGGCAGGCAGTACAGTGCTTGTGTCATACATTGGCCAATTCTCTGGCAATCCCAGTGCTTACCTGGCTCTATATAATAATTATATACTTGAGTAAATTTAATTGCTTAATCAGCTCTCAGGCTATTGGGAGCATAGAAAAAGATAATATTATAACCATAGTTTTGGCAGGGGCCAGGAGCTGCTGCTGAATGCTCTCTTTGTGTTACCTTCAATATGGCTTCCTTCTTGCTTCTCTTTACTGTATGCACTGTAACCCCACCCCCTGGTGCTATTAGTCAATGATTTCTCCTTCAAAGAGAGGCAAAAAGCATGCCTCCATCACGGGCAGCTGGATCTATTGCACAAATGGTAACTCAATGGAATTTCCTAAAATTCCCTCCTAAAGGACACTAGGTATATGCAAAACCTGCTGAAACCAACAGATTTCAAACTAGCCCAATTTGTTTATATGGCCAGATGCTCTCAAGTAAACTCTGAAGAGCTACCAATGAAGAGAGAGGCCATGCGGAACTGAAACCTATGACAGAATTAAAGACACTAATTTTATTCCATATTTCTTTGACTTAGTGTTACTAAACTACTGTAAATCTTTTTTTTTTCAGTTTGTCTTTCCATACAGGCAGGGTATTACTCCTCAAAGTCAGATTGCCCTTTAGTGTTGATTTACAAATAGTGGCTTGCATGAACTTCTCGCATGTGACTTTTCAATTTCTCCTCCAAACTCTTGATAAAACCTTCCACATCTGGATGCATTCTCTCTCCAGGTGCAATCCCATGCAATCCTAGCCTCCAATGTGTTATATTTTAATCATTGAAAAGTTTGGAAGCCTCTAAGAGGAGCATAGGATTGGACTGTTTACATGACTGGTTGACTGTTATGACAGTCATTGCTGATGTCAATAGGTAATAGAAAAACCCAAAGAGGCGCCAATTTTTTATGCAGGTAACCTTTCAATATCACTGTACCGTCCAGGGGCACATATCTGGAGCTGAGTATAGGCAATTCCTTTTCCTTCATTTACCATCACTTAAGATCTCAACATACTACACTATATCCTTGTCTTTTTCCTTCCCTCCTCCATATCGCTCTGAGCGTGGGAATTCCATCACAGGTGCTGCTCCCTGATCCTACTATTTACATCCATCGTACCACCAGAAAAAAAAGAGACTCTGGTTTTTGGGAAGTTTTAGCAGCCACATACTATAATTACAAGTACTGATATTCCACCTACCCCTCTATTAACCTTTCAATATCAGTTTATCAAGAATGACCTGGTTAGGTCTGGCTTTAACACATAAATATTTTCAGATTTTATAGGCATTTTCATATAAATTGTTTAAATAATTTGTATTCTGATCGCTTTGATAACTCTTATGTCATACTTGATAAAACTCAAAAAATCTTGTCAACTGCTTACTAAACTGCTTACTAAAGCCAGATTGTAAATGCCTATCTAGCTACCAGAAGTGGTAAAACATTAGATCTTTCTGTAAAACAGCTTAAATATAACTAAAGTCTTGAATACAGTCTGCCTTAAACTGATTGGTGGAAAATTAGCACAATTTGCAATGGACTCCTCTCATCAAACACTCAGATGTTTGTATTACATCGTATGGTTCTTACGAATGAATGACAGTCCCTAGACCAAATAACGGTATGCCGGAGATCAAGACAACTGTAATGTAATGAATGGTATATATGGACTCCACATTTAAGTTTGAAACATCCAGGTGTACTTACCATCCTGTGTACAGGCCCCATAAAGTTTGATTACATGCGGATGGTTAACCTGCTTCAGAAGGTTAAATTCAGAGAGAAGATCCCGAAGTTCACTCTGGGAAGCACTTTCTGTGAAAATAAAATAAATATTAATCTCAACTATCAGCTCAAACATTCTTTTAGAACAGAATTTGGGTATAACATAATGTAGAACAGTTACCAAGCACACACGGATATTCTCATTGGCCTATATGTAAAGTCATGCTGTGAACTACCTACACTCTCATATTCGTAAGGCATTATGCACATCATCTCTCCATGGCAATGTTTATGTGGAAAACGGTAATACTAGTTGAAAAAAAGCTTTAAGCCTCTGATTAAACATTTCACACATTCTTATTGCTGTTGTTAATCCAGATGAATCAGTTCTACAATTTATTTTGGGGGAATTGGTACAAGATAAATAAAGAATGCAATAAATCAAATTTTAACGCAAAAACACAACTATTCTCCTGGACGAGAACCCCAACAATAAAACCTTTTTACAAACTTGACATGACTTTAGAAGCTTTCATCTAACTATATTTTCTGAGAACCTTAGAGGGAACCCTTGCCCGGAGTCCACCAAATTTCAGGTCTAGCTTACATCATGCAAGATTCATATTTGATGATCAGTGCTCACCTTTCAACATCTTTACAGCCACGGTGGTGTAACCAGCCTTTCCTTTCAGTCTAAATGCTGTTGCCTTAACCACTTTCCCAAACTCCCCTTCACCAAGTGTTTTTCCCAAAACCAGGTTTTTCCTTGGAAATTCCCATTTTGGATCCTCCTTTTAAGCAACAACAAAAAAAAAGAAAGTATTTAAGTATTTAAAGAAAATAAAAATATTGTGATATGTAAATACATGTATATATATATATATATCCTTCTTAATGGAAGTCTGAAATCAAAATTGTATTTTTGCGAACAGGTAACCAATTGGGAACATTGTTTGCTTTTCTCACCAATTTGTTTAATGTATTACTGTATAGATTGAATATTGCACTACATTTTCTAAAAAAAATATTAAAATTTTCTTCTAACCCATTTAATGTTAGATGCTGTGGTAGGCAGTCATCATAAAATTGGATTTTACCAAGACCTACGAGCAGTTTCCATGAGGTAATGCTTAAGGCATCTTCCACCAGCTAGCAATGGTGTATGGCAGGGGTAGGCAACCTTCGGCACTCCAGATGTGATTTAAATCTTCCGTAATGCTCTTACAGCCATAATGTTGGCAAAGCATCAGGGGAGATGTAGTCCATAATCTTTGGAGTGCCGAAGGTTGTCTACCCTTGGTGTAATGGCTATATCCATTGCTTCTTTATTGTATGTTTTAGATTTTGCATATCCCTGTGTCTTGAGACTTTTAATACAAAGATTGCAGCTACAGTGCTCTGCTAGAAATATCCTTTTTTCCAACTTTAAATTTTTTGAAATAGTCTTATGTCACCACCATTACCCATGAACACAGTTGCGCTTTTAATGTGATGTTAAACAAACTAGGTTGCTTATGTGGTGGGATTAGACCAGGAAGTAAAACCTCAAAACAGATGCATATGCATCTAGAAACAGATCTATAATTACAAATGTTCTAATGATACTTATTAAAAACAAACAAAACCTTACAGGTATTTTAAACGAATCCACTGAAACTTGATTTTCCATAGAATCCAGTGAAGGCCGCCGAGCATTGGTAGAAGAGTAGCTGACTGGGTAAGATTGAGCAGGTCTTCGAAAAGTCATCTCAGCAGAGGCAATAGGAGGCTTGGGAGAGTTTTTATGATAACGGTGAATGAAAAATGATGATAGCAGCACAGAGATTATGAATGAGAGGAAGACTCCACATGCAATTACAGTCTTGCAGGTGTCATCACACAGTGGAGCTGCAATGTGAAAAGATATATATATATATTATATTGTGGCAATATAAAATAACTAAAATCACTGGCCTGAAATCCCCCACTTCCAATTCTCAATAAATATATAGTTATATTTTCATAATAGTGAGGGTTATATATATATATTCCTCACTATTCTGAAAATAAATAATTTCACCTGGTTAATATGCTGCCAGATGGATAATAATGTATCTAAATTAACGTGTAAATTTTTTTAAAATACCAGTGTAATTGTATAACTAAGAGAAGAGAATAAAAAAGCCAGAAAGGGAATAGATAGATCTAAACACTTCCCCTTCAAGCTTTAAAAATATTAGAGCAACCCCATCTACACTAGTAGAAATGAAATAGAATAACATAACTTTTACTTGTCTTGGTGTCTTGGGTTAGAACCCCTATATATCATTATGAAAAGTGAAAGAAAACCAGGGGAAAAAAGCAAACAAAAGGAGATAAATTCTAAACAGTACTACCCCTGTCAGGTAATAGTACCCATGGCACGGGGATTTCCAAAATAAATAAAATAAAGAGATAGTTTCAGTATACCAAAAACCTCAGTTAGGTAACTAATCCCCCAACTCTATACCTTAACTTTATACCATTTTTCTTCCTCGGAACTAATTATTCCAACAGAAATATAGACTGAATTTCACATATACAGGTTAGTTTGCATTAAGCATCATTACCCACAGGTGAAAAATGTTCGCTATATTAATTTAGAAGACTTAGAATCTCCTGTTATTTAACACTAGCATATATTCTCTCTTTATCAGTTACAGTTGACATGAGTTCAACACTAACAACTTTTTGTTACAAATGATTATAAATCATTACGAGTACTGTCTATGACATTCTAAGCTGAACTCCTCTCGGCAAACATTTGAGACACAAATTATCACATTCCACAGTGTTTGTCCGAGAAAGGCTGAACACAGCCTTATTTTTTTAAATTCTTTATTTTTGTTTGTGCGTGAAATAACAGTCTGGCTTGCTACGCCACAATAACGGTAGCCAACCATTCAATAACATGGTATGACATGGCATGAAATATACTGTGCACTTTTTTAAATAGTATAAGAATTGACAAGATTAACACTGCAGACATGTAATGTAAACAGATTATAGTGTAAAACTCTAGGCTAATGAGGATTATTGATTCTATATGTACAGGTTTAGGTATAGTTTAACACATGCAGGATCACTATGTGATTGTGTGATATGGTAAGGTAGTTTAAGCTGGTAGGTGAGCCGTTGAGCTAGTAGACATTGCTTAATACTGTTCCACTAAGACATGTGCCTTGATGGTTATGATTAAGTAGGCAATGAAATTTGCGTTGCGCCTTAGTCTGGAGCACAATACAAGGACATATAACATTTGCAGGAAAATATGCAGGGAAACATAGTGAAATAATCTGAAACTAGGTCGCATTTATAGGAGGATATGACAGTCCCTATAGGAAGGTAATCACCCATCTCCCTGTGTGGGCTTGAAGCAGGAGCTGTGTTTGTCGGGTTTACCTGAGGTTGTGGTTTTTGCAGTCTCTGAGTCCTCGCGGCTGCCTGATAATGATGTCATCAGACGATGCCTTGCGGGGTCTCGGTGGCACCCTGATGTGGAGATCTATGTTTCATTCTTGGAGATCCAGGAGCTCCGGCGAGGAGGTCTGTCTCATTCGTTGTTAAGACACAGTCCCGGTCATGGGTCCACCCTTTGGCTGTAGTTGCGGGCTGCTGTGGATCCGCTGCCAATGCTCTGGAGCTGCTGCCTCTTTTGACTTTATTGATTGGGTGCGGTGAGCTGTGCCTCTCTGGGGCCTGTGTTGTTTCATTGTTTGCAGGCGATGTGGCCTTTTGAAGGTAGCTGGTAGGCAACACCATGTTTTGGGTGGCTGCTTCCGTGTTGCATGTGCCCCCAGTGTGTCTCCGTGGTGTGGCTTTTGGGGCGGCCCCTCTCTGTTGTCTACCCATCTTGGGAGCGGAGTCTGGGGGGACTTCCCTACCCCTCTCTTTGGCCTCCCGTGTGCGACCTGTCATTGTGCTGTCTCATAAGTGCCTCCAATTTTTCCCAGAATGAGCCGAAGATTTGGTTGAGTCTGAGCTCCGTTTCTCTATCGGCATTGCATGTGGCTGTAGTACTCGAGGTGTCCGCCATTATGTGTCCTTAGAGGCGTCCTCCAGGCTTTGTGTACGTTCTACTTGGGGACCGCTTGTCCAAGGGCTCAAGTGGGGTCAGCCCGGGATAACCCCCGCCGGGCCATAGGGGGGGAACGAGGGCTCCCGATCGGGTTCCCATCAGTCTTCGGTGGCAGGAGTGCGGCCGTCTCTCCCGTGTGTGCCATGCTTGGAGACCGTTCCAGGGTGTGTGTCTCATAGAATGTCGCTTAACTGTTATCTGTGTGATCTCCCTGATGTACTCTTGCGCCGGGTGACCTTTGTTTTTTGTTTTGTAGCAGTTTTTCCTATTAATTTTGCTTAATATGGTCCCATTCTGCCGGAGCTGTGGAGGCAAGCGTCCTCTCTGCTCCGCGGTCAGGCCCCACCCAACACACAGCCTTATTTCACTGCTTGCTTAGTCAATATTAAATACATACTTATAAGATTATATTTGTCTACTCTACTCAACTTTTACCTGGTTACAAGGGGTTATTATTCTTTGACAACACTTCAGCTTTCCTTCCCTCCAATCAGGCTGGTGGTATTACTATCCAATCGGCACGAAGGGCGGGAAATTTAAACTACCGATTAGTCTAGACCTGGTTCCCTTGGAATAGCCCATACTCGTCGAAACGCGCAACATTAGTAGCAGAGGGTGGCAGGGGTGACAGAGGATTATGCTGCAGCCTACATTTCTTTCCCGGATTAACCACCATGCTATATTATATTAACAGACTTTTTGATGTAGCTACAAGGTAGTTTCGGCTACATCTTTTGTTAGGGGGATAGGAGATTTTGATATTACATTGGAACTGGGTGATGGAAGTTGGGGGATTAGTTACCCAACTGAGGTTTTTGGTATACTGAAACCATCTCTTTATTTTATTTATTTTGGAAATCCCTGTGCCATAGGTACCAACACCTGACAGGGGTAGTACTGTTTAGCATTTATAGCCTTGTGTTTGTCCCTCCCACCCCCCGGTTTTCTTTCACTTTTCATAATGATATATAGGGATTTTAACAAGACAATTAAAAGTTATATTTTATTCTATTTAATTTCTACTAGTGTAGATGGGGTTGCTCTAATATTCTTAAAGCTTGAAGGGGAAGTGTTTAGATATATCTATTCCCTTTCTGGCTTTTTTGTTCTCTTCTCTTAGTTATATTCTACCTAGCGGTTACCCCCCATTAACCAACAGCAACCTGACACATTCTCTCTATACTTTCTTTAACTCACCAGTGTAGTTGTGCACAGGAAGTCCCTGACCACTTTATATTACAAATGTAAATATGATGGTCAAATGGTCTATGTTCCACCATGTAATGCAACAGTCTGCAGTTGAAACTTAACAGACTTCTTTTGATGCATGTTGATTTACATTACACGAGAAATGCTTTAAAAAAAATATTAATTATCTAGTTTCATTACACGGAGGAGTTGTTGATTAATAAATAAATTTCATTTATTTAGTTTCTAGCATACAGGGTGAAACACACAGGTGTATTGTTCCTCTTAATTTCCAGTCATGCAACCCTGGTCACTCTTGGGTAGCATGATGAAGTTCATGGATAAAGCTTTAAATATGTGAAATATGTTGAGTTAAAAAGACACATTCCAACACGTCAGGAAATGGATTTCACACAAGCATAGGGTGTGGATTAAAATTTCAGGTGTAAAGTCCATTATCACTCCATTTTAGCTGCCATTGGGGAAAAAGGCAGTGGGAAGGAGCTGGGAATAGGGCAGCGGGGAGTAAAAACATTGTAAAAAATGGCTTGGAAGCAAATCATTGGATTGCATGGCCATGTGGAGATATGACATTGTAAAGAGAAGTAGGACGTGAAAAAAAAAAATATTTCACAGAACAACCAAATATTTTCATGAATGTATATTTAAAAAAGTTACCAAAAACAACTAGCGTTCAGAATGAGAAGAAAAGATATATCTGTTCTTACCCTCAACAATATTCTTCTCACAGAAACATTTCTCAGATTGGAAACAGTAACAGGTGCCATAACCTGCCTTAATTCCCAAAGGAGTTCCTTTTTCATGTCCGCCAATAATATTATCCTCTGTGGGAAAAAAAGAAAGTCAGATTGTAAACAACTTCTTTAAAGTAAATTAGAACATACGACTTAATCCAGTTCACACATAGGTCCATGTTTTACTAATATCTCCATTAGGATAGAATTGGTTGGTTCTTGAACATCTAAAACCAAAGTCCTTGAGTTTCCAATGATTGAATTACAATGTTATCTAGTAATATAAATTTAGCATAACTAGTAAATCAATACAATAGAATCTATATTCTTCTATTTCTAAACTGGGGTGAGGCAACAATCCTTGATGGTCATGTATTCCTTGTGATTCTTTATTTTTACTCTGCCCAGAGAAAGGCTGTCCACCTCCAGATACCATCAAATATTTATTTTAAAAAGATTTTGTATGTATGAGTCTTATTGCCACCCCCTTGATTTGCTTTACTATACAGATGATATTTGGATTGGAATTGGCATCATCGGTCATCGAGAACATTATTGTACATATAGAATATTCCTACTTTAAAAATTCACTTTGTGCCATCCATAGGCTGTATGCGATAATATGGTTCTAAATACCAACAATAGACTAGCAATGTCTATTCTCTTTTAAACAATCCACCAAAGCCAATTTATGTAATTTAGGTCATTTCAAATATTTCCAAAGTACTGTAAACTATTTCTGAAAAATACGTTTAAATTGTAAATATTCATAACAGAACTTTAAAAACTTGTTTACTCAGTTTCACATCCAGTAGATAAAACGATGCATTACAAATTGACAAAGTACAAAATATGTTTTCTGTCCTTTGCTGGATGGCATGCTGAGCACTTGAGATGGTAAAATTAATAGATGTCTTGAATTATTAAATCTATCCAATAATCAGATTCTATCATTGCTTTTCCCAGTGCAGAATGAACCATACTTATGCAGTCTTGTGGACAGATTTTTCCACTTTTACGCTCCACAGCGTCACAGACCCCATCAGGACATGTCTTAATATCTGGTGTGCACGTAGAATAGTTTGTGGTGATTCCTTTTCCAAAAACAATATCCAATGTTCAATAGTAGGTGAGAGAGAGGGAGAGATAGAAAGATAGAGATGTTTATGATTGCCTAGTTAGTTTTAAGACAATTCATGATCAAACAGTAATGGCCTTGTACACGTGTGAACTTTACATCTATTTATTCTGCCTATGGCTCATTTATTTTGAGTTTCTCTCAAAGCAATGGTTTAGTGGTATGAGGTGTGAGCAATAAAACAATATTCACTGTTGGGACAATTTCTTCTACATTTGTGACCCTTGCATAACATTTTCGTGCATTGATATTAACCTTCTCCCTTTCACTCCTGCTTACCATATATTTTTTTTTCCTTGGATAGGATCAATCATTAACATTGAGAAATTGTCACAAGTGGTAAAATTGCTGTTTCTAAAGCTGATGTGGAAATCAATCTGATACAAATATGTTGGCTATTTTACAGTTGCATACACCATAATATGTTTATTATACACTTTATTATTTGTGTATTCAGGTTTTGATTCACATTTCTCGTTTTTCTGTGATGTCTATCTAATTCCCTTGTTTGCGGGTAGCACTGTTTTTTGCACCTTTGTCATTCTTGTCTATACTTTTAAAAGTAACATATAAATGTTTTATGATTGTTTGGGTTGGATATTTGCAAGTTTTCTCTTAATTATTCTAAAATTGTTTAACCTACCAATATACATTTCCAACTTGAAACACTTTCCCTAACCCATTGTGCTATTCAAGTATCTTGTAATTTACATTATTTTATGTTTAGAAAGCCAATAAATTAAGTACAAGTTACCTTCTCCATGACCTTGTCTCCACTGGCACCGTCCAGTCAAAGAACCTGTCCCACCACATTCCTCACATTCAGAACGCAGTTTGTTTTCGGAACAGGATACATCGCATTGCTCTTCATCTCTTCCAGCTGTGAGAGACAAAAATGGTCACACATCAAGGTCGCCTCCAGCCTGAGGAACAGCAGTTCCCATTTGATGGTTATAATCAATGATCAAGAATGCAGAGGACTTTGAACTCTAAGGACAAGTGAAAATGGTTCACTTCTGGAACCCAAAAGTTAAATTACATATTCAAGTCCAATGCAAACTGGCAGGCCACATATTAGCATTGACAAGTGACTGCACAGAAAACACTCAACAGATATCCTTGTTCTCTCTAACAAGATTCTGCACATTCTCAGAGTTGTAAATACATATCAATATGTGTATAAAAATATGTCTGACTCATTTTCACAATAATAGCATGGATATTAGAATTCCAAATCATAAGTCATAATTTTAGGGATGTCTATCCATATTCCTATCCTTGTTTCCTTAATGTATTCCAAGTCTTTTATCGCCATATTTACCATAAAAAGTACTAATAACATGAGGTGAGGGGGAGGGACATTAAATAATTACTACATGTTTGCACTACAAAAAAGGAAATATAATTTTTTTTTTATAACTATAACTGCGCAAGTATGTTCACAATCTGATCCATTTTAGATCACGTCATACAAAACACTGTAATGTGCTATTTCGACAGCCAATTTTGTGCATGTAATATTGACTGTGTTCATTTTTCAATATTTATCACAGTGGCACAAATTTTCAAAAGTTATTTTTGGAGCTCTAAGGCGCAAATGAAGAAGATCTGACAAAAATGTTCATTACTGGCATTTTTGTTTCCAATTTTTAAAATATTTTTGGCTTTTATGTGTGACACGTAATGCTAAAAGCCCAAATCAGCACTGGTTACATTATTTATCATTTGACATTTTTTTTTCAACAGGCATGGGAACCTAAAAACGACTGGCATATCTGTTGATTGCATTGTACACCGCAATCCGGACAAAATATTTGATCAGCAAAAACATTTCATGAAAAAATAATACTCACGTTTCCCTTCTAGTAATATGGTAATTGGAGTCTTCACTGACTTTTTGAGGTTAGGATTTGAAGCAACTATAGTGCCTTGTATCTCTTTACTTTCATGGTTCACTAAGGCAGATGAATGGTTGACAAAGAGAGTAGCAAACGATTCCTCTGGCCCCTGGACAAGGGCAACAGCACGGGTGCTATTTGCAATCTGTAGCTTGTAAGTTACATTTACCCCTTTGAACAACAAGTAGTTTTCAACATAGACTTTTCCTATCTGATGTTAAAATAAAACAAAAACAAACAAACACAAAACAAAATTATTAATAGCATACCTTCAAATAAATGAAAAAATGTTTTTATAATGCCAAAGGGTGCATAAGTGAAATATATTCATACGAAGTACTGTATCAATAATAATCTATTTCTATTAAAACATTCAGCTTTTTCATGAAAATAAAGCGCTTCAAATTAGAGGCATTTCTCTATTGCTGATGAGAGAGAGAGAGCGAGAGCGAGAGAGATTTAAATAAATAAATTGCTGGGGTCATTCTTTAAAAAAGTGTGAAATACTAATTTCAAATTGTACGCCAAAATAGTTAAAAAAGGGAAGTGATACGTGTATATATATATATTTACTATGTTACATAGTTACATAGCTGAAAAGAGACTTGCATCCATCAAGTTTAGCCTTCCTCACATTTGTTTTTTGCTGTTGATCCAAAAAGGCAAAAAAAAAAAAAAAACAGTTTGAACCACTTCAATTTTGCAACAAACTAAGGAAAAAAATTCCTTCTTGACCCCAGAATGGCAGTCAGATTAATCCTTGGATCAAGAAGCTAGTAGCCTACATTGAAAAATTATATCCTTGAATATTCTGTTTTTGCAAGTATGCATCTAGTTGGTGCCAAAGGAACACTCACGCTTTTTAGAGCTTTAAGTTCTATTTAAGGAGCTTGGATGGAAAAATCCATAGACAGGGATTATTCTGTCCAAGCTCCTTAAATAGAGCTTATAAAGCTCTAAAAAGCGTGTGTGTTCCTTTGGCACCATATACTATATTTATCATTATTACCATTGCATACTGCACCATTATTGTATTTTCCTTCTTTTTTTTTTTAAGATACGCTATTGTGGAAACTACTGCCATCTTTTGTATGTATGTACTTATATTTCGAGCGCGGTTTACCTATTTATTTGTTTTATTCTGAAGACAAAATAGTTGAATTGGAAAAATATTTTCCAAGTTCGCTATGTTTTCAATTTCAGATATTTTGGCTTAAAATTTGAAAATCATTTTGAATTCAAGACAACACCCACTTTGGTAAATATGAATATGTAAAGAATGAAAGAGGCCATTTTCATGCCAGCTGAATAAATATGGAGGAAAGTCAAAGCTTTGTATACATACTAGATTTTAAATAAATGGATGGCATTTCTGTGATATTTAAAAAAAACTAAAATAAATTTCATAGATTTGTTAAAAATGTTCAAAAGACAAAACTAAATAGTTGCACTGGCATCAGAACATATGTGCCATCATATAGTACGTTGATAAAGCATTTATACTGTGTGGTAGTTATTTCTAATCAATATTCTGTTTTCTTTAATTTTTTTGTTAAACAATCAAAAAATAAATACTTTTTGATTGGGCATACTGGGCACATAGCATCATTAGAATTTACTTAATGGTACGCTGATAGTCAAAGTGCATATTTTGCTATTAAACATACAATATAGAATGTTATTGCTAATTACCTGAGCATATTGGTAGGCGTGTCGGTTGAGCGTAAAGCGATACGTAATATTTGGGAATTTTATTTCAACCGGAAGGATTGTAACATTGAAGTGCAATGTCACCTCTGAATTTGGACCATTAAATTCTGTATCATTCACCTTAACGATAACATGATAGAATCCAGTCTTGCTAATGGTCACATTATTATTGAGTATTAACCCTGATATGGAGATAAGAATGACAAGACAGACGCAGATAAGAATCTAAACGTGATATGAAGATAACCTGAAAGCCAAAACACAGTCTGGACATGAATATTCTACCATCTTTATGTTTTACTATATCTTATTGTGGTAATTTACAAAGGCAATACACATTTTGTTTTTATTCAATGAACACTGAATTGCAATCACTTGAAAACAGATTGAGAATAATCAGCATAATTTAGACTAAATAACCTGACAATTTTTCTAAATTAGCACTTATTGCCTAAATTTAGCAATTTGTGATACAATTCAGTAAAATTCTATATTTAGAGAATAAATCCCTCAGTTTATTAAGACAAGTAAAATTGTGGACTTTATTCTCAACAATTTTACAAAAATAAATACACCATAAAAAAAAAAAAATGTAACGTATAAACAGAGTACAACAAAATACAAGGGTTCGTTATAGCCAAGGCTACTCTTGATTTTTGTTTTTCATAAAGATCGTAATCATAAACAAACTGGAATCGTGTTTTGCTGATCCAGCAACTTTTTTATTACATATAAATTATTTGCATAGACCAATTAGGCCCAACCGTGTAAGGTCAAATTTGGAGCATATAACATTTTTCTAAAATTCTTACTGTATTCATGCAGTGTCCCACGGATTAAGTTTCCTTTGGGCTTGAATTTCATCTCTTGAAAGCTATATTTTAAAGCAAAATTTTCCAGAATAAATGGGTCATTGCTGATAATTCTCCCCGTGTATTTTTCTGGACTATTTTTAAAAGGAAAGTTGGTTGTGGAATCAGCGTCACATACTGCTAGCACTCCGAGAACTGTACCCTGAGAAAAATAAATAGTCATACTGAGTTGAGCTAAAGTGACAAATCATTTATTGCAGTTAAGTGTGAATATCCCACAAAAAATTAAAGTGACAAAGTTCAATCGAGGATCTTCCATTATGGAGATCTATATTTATTTCTCTATATGCACACATCTACCTAGTCATCAACCAAAATAATTACAATCTTTTAACTAACTTTGCAGTGGTCCCTTATTTTGTTCCAAATCAGATCTTATCTGAATACGGTTATGCTTTATCCAAGTTAATTCAAATTGCCGACCTTTTCTTGATTTAAGCTTCGTATAGCCGTATATAAAATAAAATGCTCCTTTTTACCACTAGGTGGCAGAACACTCTAAAAAATAAGTGCTGGTATGACGCAGTTGAAGTCAAAAAGTGTTTTTAGATTAAGAATTTAAAAAAAAAAAAAAATTTTTTTTAAAAATCAGAAACCTAAATGTTATTGATTTTGTCTGCCTATAATTTTTGCCAACTCAGAGCAATGTTTAAACCACTAAATGCTGATTACTGGATGGCAATACAGAAGTTTTAAGAGGACTGATTACAAGTTGGCATTAGGAAAAATTTAATTTTAAGACTAGCATAAAATTGAATATGAATGGCAACGAATAACTTTTTGTTAACTGGTTACAATTTTTGTGCAAATGTATGGATTACAATATCTCACAATAGTAAGTACACCCCTCACATTTTTGTAAATATTTTATTATATCTTTTCATGTGACAACTCTGCTACAATGTAAAGTAGTAAGTGTACAGCCTGGATAACTTTGCTGTCCCCTCAAAATAACTCAACACACAGCCATTAATGTCTAAATCGGCAACAAAACGGAGTACACCCCTAAGTGGAAATGTCCAAATTGGGCCAAATTAGCCATTTACCATCCCCGGGGTCATATGACTCAGTGTTACAAGGTCTCAGGTGTGAATGGGGAGCAGGTGTGTTAAATTTGGTGTTATCGCTCTCACACTCTCTCATACTGGTCACTGGAAATTCTACATGGCACCTCATGGCAAAGAACTCTGAGGATCTGAAAAAAAAAGAATTGTTGCTCTACATAATGATGGCCTAGGCTATAAGAAGATTGCCAAGACCCTAAAACTGAGCTGCAGCACGGTGGGCAAGACCATACAATGGTTTCACAGGACAGGTTCCACTGAGAACAGGCCTCGCCATGGTCGACCAAAGAAGTTGAGTGCACGTGCTCAGCATCATATCCATAGGTTGGGAAATAGATGTATGAGTACTGCCAGCATTTCTGCAGAGGTTGAAGGGGGTCAGCCTGTCAGTGCTCAGGCCATACGACGCTCGCTGCATCAAATTGGTCTGCATGGCTGTCGTCCCAGAAGGAAGCCTCTTCTAAAGATGATGCACAAGAAAGCATGCAAACAGTTTGCTGATGACAAGGAGACTAAGGACATATATTACTGGAACCACGTCCTGTGGTCCGATGAGACCAAGATAAACTTATTTGGTTCAGATGGTGTCAAGCATGTGTGGTGGCAACCAGGTGAGGAATACAAAGACAAGTGTATCTTGCCTACAGTCAAGCATGGTGGTGGGAGTGTCATGGTCTGGGCCTGCATGAGTGCTGCTGGCACTGGAGAGCTACAGTTCATTGAGGGAACCATGAATGCCAACATGTACTGTGATATACTGAAGCAGAGCATGATCCCCTCCCTTCGGAGACAGGGCCGCAGGGCAGTATTCCAACATGATAACGATCCCAAACACACCTCCAAGACGACCACTGCCTTGCTAAAGAAGCTAAAGGTGATGGACTGGCCAAGCATGTCTCCAGACCTTAGCCCTATTGAGCATCTGTGGGGCATCCTCAAATGGAAGGTGGGGGGAGTGCAAGATCTCTAACATTCACCAGCTCCGTGATGTCGTCATGGAGGAGTGGAAGAGGACTCCAGTGGCAACCCGTGAAGCTCTGGTGAACTCCATGCCCATGAGGGTTAAGGCAGTGCTGGAAAATAATGGTGGCCACACAAAATATTGACACTTTGGGGTGTACTCACTTATGTTGCCAATGGTTTAGACATTAATGGCTGTGTGTGAAGTTATTTTTAGAGGACAGCACATTTACACTCTTCTACAATGTAAAGTAGTAAGTGCACAGCCTGTATAAGAGTGTAATTTTTTCAGTGTTGTCACATGAAAAGATATAAAATATTTACAAAAATGTGAGAGGTGTACTCACCTTTGTGAGATACCGTATATATCCTCTTCAGGGCTCCCTTGAAATTAAAAAATTCCAGTATTTTAGGTAAATATTTAAAGGAATGCTATAGATTTAGGAATAACAACATGTATTCCTAACGCTATAGTATTATAATATTTTAGATTATCAGGCTTCTCAGAATATGTAAAATGAAGGTTATTTACTTTATATCCATCGGAGTGCTGGTCTTGCTGAAAGCCATACTGATGATCTCAGCCAATCCAGTGCTTCCACATAAGGAAGCATGGAGGGGGGGTGGGAGGGCTAGTGTGCATGTGCAGCAATCGCCACTCTGCTCCAAACAGCGTCTTCTCATTCAGATGCTTTTAATCAATTAAACTCTATGGGGAGAGTTAAATGTCCCAATGTAGAGCGTGGAGACACTGAACATTGCACCTGCAATCTCTGCAGGGCTTAAGTCTCTCTAGTAGCTGTTGGAGTTATTGTATCATATCATGCATCTAGTAGATAATGCCAGTCAACCCAACTTTGTTTCATTACAGTTATCATGGCATATTTGATAGTTAATCACTATCTGCTCACTGTAAAGATGGATGCCGTTTTGTAGCTTGACTCAAACACAACCATGGCCGCCATTAAAAGTCTACATTCCATCACTTTTTTTGGTCCAATATACTGGATCCACCTGATTTTAGGTCACACTGCAAAAACATTTAAAATAAAAATAAAAAAATCAGCGAAAGCGAAGAAGGTAGAACATTTGATCACTCACTCACCCACCAGTGCTCAGAGATAAACCTACAAGTAACCACGCTTTAATTTTAAGGACATTTCTCACCTTTATTCTCTCATATTCCACAACAACATTTATGATGTCAGTCCCATTGAGAACAAATGGAGCAGAATCATCTTCATCATCCACCATGATCTGGAATGATTGTTCTACTTTTACTTCCACCTTAGAGTTTAAATCCCAAAGTATACACTTTGCCACAAGATCATAGTTCTCTCTTTGTTCTCGATCCAGAGACTGTAAGAGGCTTACTTCAGAAGTATCTGAGTTGTACCGGAATGGGAAACCATTCTCTATGTAAAAACAAATCAGAACATTTTAACATTGCAATTAGTTTGGCAAGCGCTACTACAAGTAGGAACATTTAGATTTAAAATGACTATCCATCAGCAATAAATTATGGATGTATATGTTTTTATTGAAAATTGCATCATCATAAATTTAGGGGGCTTGTTCAAATATACAATAACGGCCTAATCCTGGTTATTGGAAAGCATACAATATATTTCAAACAGTAAGGACTACTGCTAGACATTACAAAGATAACTCTTCCATAAGGTACTTTTTGAGGTTGTTTGTGGCAAAAAAGAGAGGGATCTGCACTCATCTGTATACCTTGGTGCACTGTACCTAGGGCTGGCAAACCTCTTATCCATACAGTAACAGTAAAGCAGTCCAGGCACTCAAGGTCTTCATACATCAGCAGATTTATTGGAAAAACAGGACAAATACAGCAACATTTCGGTCCCTTCAGGGATCTTTATCATGCTTCATAAGGATCCATGAAGGGATCAAAACGTTGCTGTATCTGTCCTGTTTTTCCAATAAATCTGCTGATGTATGAAGACCTTGAGTGCGTGGACTGCTTTGCTGTTACTATATAGACCAATGTATGGGAATGGTTGCATTTTACACTCTACCTAGCAGGGATAATTAATACAAAAATAATAATACATTTATAGAACATACCCAAATGGGAGCACATTGAACACACTATTACACTGAACCAAATAAACAACTAGTAAATGTATGTAAAAATTAACCATTCTGATGGCAGTTTTTCGGTTAGTCTTGAAAGGATCGGAAGCTAGATCAACCCAGTCTGGATTAAATCTTGCAACCCGGAGCTTTTAACAGGGTCTACTGTTGGTGTATTAGAAGAATTGTGATGTCTATGTGTAGAATTCCCCTACAAAGGCATTATTATTTGACTCTTTTTTCTCATGAATACATGTCATCTATCAGCAATCTGAAATTCAACTGTGTAAATGTATGTACATGATACCATAATTTTCAAAAGCAAACTTAATACATCACAATTCAAATTTCCATTACACCAATAATTGTAAGAGTGAATGATGGATCACTAAACACACTCCAGTTAATAAGAACCAAGGGGTACATTTCTAGCACTAGTGATTTGAGTAATGGAAGGCAGGCTGGAACAACCCAAACCAAAGCCTCTCTTGTCATCGTCAAAGAACGGACATATACAGATGGAGGGTGGAGCACCTTGAATGTACTCAGGAGTGTCCCAAATATGAAATGAAAGCAAATACACAAGTATTTGCTCTCATTTCATATTTGCCACACTCCTGAGGACCTTACTAGGTGCTGTTCCCTCCATCTGTATACATAAACTCCAGTTAATGTAGAAGTGATTGAAAGCAGAGAGGTATGAAGTCGTGTGGAGCAGTACAAAAGAGGAGCATGGAAGACGAGGAAGAACAAATTGAAGGAGAGATTGGAAAAAAGGTAAGAATAATTGAACAATAGGACAATGACAAGGGAAGAAAAGAGGGAGAAAATTGGTGGAAAAGATTGAGATACATGACAAAGTGAAATTTAATTCAAAGAATGCAAATATAGGGAGGATGGAAAATAGTAGGGGGATAAATGATGGAAAGGGTGAGGAACCCAGAGGAGGAGATCTAACAATGGAAAATGGGGGTGGAGGGAGAATTGAAGAAATAAGAGAAAAACTGAAAAGGAAATCTCTGTGGAAAAGAGGATGGACAGAAATGAAAAGAGAAAGAAAACATGAAAGCAATAAAAAACAAAACAAAACGGAAGCCATGATTAGTGGACACCATAATATAAGGTGTAATGTGGAATAAAATCAAAAAGGTTTTAAAAAAAAAAAGCTACTAGAAATGAATAAAATAAAAAAAATAGAAAACACAACGAAGAGAGCATCTTAAGCAAATTGTAATAAAGTCAAGTGAAATAATGTAGGAAGAATGTCCCTGCTACCTTCTTTTAGTTTCCTCAAAATGTCCTTTTCCCTTACCAGATATTAGCATGTAATTTACAGTAATGTTTGGACAGCGCTGCACAGCAGGGTCAGGGAAAAATTTGTAGAAGTTCCCAGGAGGTTTGTTTTCCTTGATGTGAAAGGAGAGTTCTGTGTCACTGAAACAAAAATGCCTGGGCTGTAACGAGGAGCAGCTTGGAGATGTGAGGTTATTGAGGATGAGACGGACCATGATGGAAGGAGCTCTGTCACAGTCATCTTCATCTTCAAATGGCCGTGGCAAGATGGACACCTTGAGATTAATCCTCTGAGAAGATGATATGCTCCCTTAAAAATGTACAGGAAAAGAAAAATCAAATACAACATATCATGCATTATGTAAACTTTTTTGTTTTTTCAACTCCCCACATAGGTTGATTAAATGCACGTGAGGTATAGGAGAAACAAAAATAAAATCTTCTCTCTTACAGTTGCCACTGGAAATATATATATAAATATCGTTGTTACAATACATTCTTAAATTACGGCATGTTCAATGACATGGTTGAGGTCAGTCTTCAGGTCAAGGCATTACCTTCAGATCTCAGTAACATACTTGGCATCAAGAGAGGTGTGAAAAAAATAGAAATATTTGTTAGGTGTGAAAAATAAAATTAAATGAGAAATCCACATTGCTTTATCTTGCAACTAGGCCCATACACCTTAGCTCCATGTCCATCATTGTTAAAAGCGAATAGAACACAGAGAGAATAGAATAAACCAAACAGTGTTTTTGTTTCACCCCCTCGTTTTCAATTAGTGCCCTGGCTTCGCTTGGAAAGAACTGGTTTATAATCATACATCTTAATATATATTTTTTACACAGTATCATATGAATAAAAGATTAACATAAGTTGTAAGTGATTTTCAGTGTTAAAAGTTGCATTTAGTGAGGTAGTTTTGCGGAGAAGTGATGATCACCCTCAATATATAAATCAAGAAATATGGAAAGTGATCGAGTAATTCACTAATGTCGCAGTTCACGTCAGTAATAAATTAAAAAGTATCTGACGATACATAGAACAGGTTAAACATAATACACATTGCATATCGGACTTACTGAAATGGTTGAAATCTATCCTTTCTAGACTACGGTTCAGATACAGAATCCCTGTCTGTTCTTCAATGTGGAAGAAATGGAAGTAAGGGTTAGAACTCATCAGAATTTGACAGAGCTGGAAGTGAGGAACCTCCTCTGGGGTGTCTTTCATGACATGGACCTGCAACAGACGTGTCCCTGCAGGCTGATCTATGTTTAGGTTTTCATGATAGTCCTTTCTCAGAAAGTAAAGTCCAGAAACAGCTGTAGGGATCACAAAACAGAGAACAGATGTGATTGAGGATATTTTTTTATGCTAATAAGACTTTAATAACAAAGAATATAAACAATGGACACTCTTAATAAAATGACTATTCAACACATAATTAAATGCATGCTTTCATTGGAGGTATATCTACTAAACAGAGTTTACTTTTTAGTATTTGGGCAGTATATTGTCCATATGTAATGTGGACAAGCATGAAAATGTGTGGTCTGGAGACGCCTGACAGATTGAGTTTTAAATTATCAGAAAGAATTAACTATAAAGTAATAAATGGACATATAGGTATGTTTTATAGGTGTAAATCCTAAATTGTCTGTAGATTTCATTTGCTCAACTCGGTATTTATTACCATTTAGTAGCTGTTTTGTTACTTATTTGTTTGTAGATATGATGCAAGAGAAGAAATAGATGGTATCTCAAGAGAAATGCATCAACAATGGCTTGACAGCTTTCGCCCCCAAAATCTGTATTTTAGAGAATTTGTTTCCAAGACTAATATTGTGATTTTTGGAATTCATGGTTTGTTGTATATTTTGACAAATAGAGAGGGATGGGCTGTTAAATGCATTAATAAAAACCAAAATCAATAATATACATTTCACAATGCATCAGCTACTACTTTAAGGTCAAAATAGCTGATCTGGAAAAAAAAAAAATCAGTAACGTTAGCTCAGTTTGGCTACTTTGGTCATAAATGTGAAATTCTCACTTTAAAATATGTTCTCACTTTAGTTACCAGCCCTGTAAGCTTTCCTTAACTACAAATATCCACAAGATGTCACTGTGCACATACTTCCATACAGGTCGGAGTGCATGCATTTCTGCTGAGTAAACAAGATATCTATATATGGGCTTTAAAAGTACCACAATTATATAATTTTATGCATTCAGTGATTGCTTCATTCTGTAAAAAATGTACCTCAGGTATAGGAAATAAATGTCGCACAGAAAATATAACGACTACAAAAAAACAAAAAAAAACAAGAGTGGATTATATATATATATATATATATATATATATATATATATATATATATATATATATATATATATATATATATATGTAAAAACATACACACACATATAATATATATATATTCCAATTCATTAGTGTATAAATAAGGTCTACTTGTTTATGGTTAATACACTTTGTAAAATCACATTTAATTTACATGCCAATAATTCATTGTCCTGTGGGGATTTGGAGTCCCTCGTTACAAATTTCAGTACCAGTAATATTTTTGTAACCAGCACTGATAGAAAAAGGGGGAAGTCAAGTAGAAGGGAGTGTTATGCACTGCCATGGCTAGGCCTCATTGTTGCAAAATAACATACCACTGGCTGTTTATATTTTGTGATGTAACTGAACACGTTTTGGATAATGTCCCCAAATCTTATTTGGGAAAAAAAATGCCTTTAACTTTGGCAAAGATTGGTAAATGTGTCTTTATTCTCATAGTTCATAATTTCCTTTTATTTGAGACCAAGGTGGAAACAGCCACTGACCATCACTTTCCGAGAGACAGATCATTAACCATCATATGACATAAAAACGCTTTACTATCCAATTGCCATGTATCCAGAAATTGACCTCTTGGCTGATTCCACCAGAGTCAAAATTTGATAAAGTTTATGATGTCTACATACACTCACTAATCTTTGTAAAAAGCTTGGAATACAAGACTCAATTAAAATTCCTTTTACAAGTTGCCATACACATGAAAATACTGTAAAAGACTGTTATACATAAAATATTTGACACCTTTTGAGCAATGTTCTAATGTCTCTATATTCAAAGAAGTGATACGGTCGGTTTACTATTGCCAATGTGGCCCCCCTAGTGGCCTCTCATTTTTAGGAATTCAACTAGTTAAGAAACCATGGCGAGGAAGTAACTTTATCCAACATTTAGGGAAAGAAGAAATGAAATGGGGTCACACATTAGATACCCTTGAACCTAAGGGTCTTAAAATTGAATTTGACTTGTACAACTTTTTTTAATTTTTCTATTTTATGTTTTTTTAATTTTGTATGCTGTCTTTTAACATTATTTTAAATTTATTTTTAGAATGATCTCATTTTAATATGATTATAATATTAATTACCCTCTTTTTCCTCCTTTATAGTAGGTGTTCCCCCCTTTTTCTATTATATATATATATATATATATATTTTCTTATACATTTCTTATCTGTTATTTTCTCTTATTAAGATGTCTCTGAGGAAAAATATATATGCAATATATCTGTTCTGTTATTTTATTATTGTTTTGAATATGATGTATGGACATTTATGAATTAGATGTCTCTGAGGAAGTGGATTAGCTTTTTGCTATTTTTAAATTTATTGTTGTACGTTTTATGGGACTTCCCAAATAAGACATTTAGGAGATCTACCCCAAATAAGACTATGGGAAGCCATTTAAATAATTGATGAGTACCACGCCCATAGTATGGACTTTAAAAGGCTGTACTTGATCTGAGGAAGCAGATTGGGCGAAACGCGTCATCACGTCAATTATGTCATCACACCATCACGTGATCGGACGGAACTCAGAGTTCCAGAAAGTGAAACCTGCAGTGCCGAAAATTGCCAAGGACTGGTAGATATCTTCTATATAGCACTGACATATGGTTATTAGACTTCTAATTGGAAATTTTGATCGTGGATTTTATTTTAAGAAATAAAGGCTGTTTACATTTTGAGCTGGCGTCCTGCTATCTTGCACCATCATTTAAGTCCTGGGTTGTGGAGTATGAGCTGGATCAGTTAGAGCAGGCTTTTACTGCTCTTTCTTTGTGAGTGATATTCCAATTTTAATATTTTTTCTGTAAATTATTTTGATATTGGTTTTTCACTATTCACTTGCAATTTTGCACATATGTTATATTGAGTGTATTTATATTGTGTATACACCTTTTTTTTGCACTATTCAATGCACTATTTGCACTTTTAATTTTTAAAGGTACAGCGCACCTTTTTATTTGTATTTTCTGTATGGTGTTTTGTGAGCTTGTACACTCTTAGGTGCTACTTTACCTTTATTATTTCAGTACTTTTAGCGCCTTTTTTGCTTGTTTGTTTTTAGTCTTTTTACTATTGGCAATGTGTTTTACTATGGTTAGATGCTTAGAGAACGATCTGCAATGGTTTTAGGTACCTGCACAGAGGATGCTGTAGACATTCTTATGGTCAGCGAGGTGTCTCCAGTATGTGTGTATACATATATATATTTATATTATATACACACACACACGTTACAGTTTAGTTAATAACCCGGATTTCACACGTTTTTCAGATAAGGATAAGGATTGCAGGAATAAGGCACAGTTATTCACAACAGTAGTTAGACTTCCACCAACTGGGTGAGAAAATGTTGTCGTCCCCAACCCCCAACCTAAATCTTTATGTAGTAAACTGTAGCATTTATTGCAAAATCCCAAAATAAATACAAAAATGACACATCAAACTAGGAAAGCGCACCATCACTCAGAGTATGATGTACCACTTGAGTACCTACTCAATGATAATAATGCAAAGTAGCCCACAGGGTAGAAAAGTTAGATGAGAGTGTGACTCTTGCTAGTTAAAAGTGACACATACCTCAGCAAAACACATCATACAAGGATAAAAATATGGGTTTACGCTCACAAGTCCTTACACGCTCAGTGACCAACACCCATGTCCTGAGCAAGATAAAGAAAATAAAAAAAAATAAAAAATCACTTACAGCTGCCTCACTCCCCCTTTCCACTGACAGAATGCATGGCGGAGGGAGAGAATCCAACTGTGGATAGTATTTTAATCAGCATAATTCCAGGCAAAAACCTCAAGAATGCAAGAATTTGGATGATGCTATGATATCGCTTCTTTTTGTCCGTGGTTATCACAATGTTTAAGTCAACTATCAATTTTTTTATAATATTTCCTGAATACTGTGATATCCCATCTATTTACCATAATTTTAATTAATGCTTCCAGGTCTGATCCAATTACCTACATGCTGCTCTGCCCTTTTTGCATGTGATGCATCCTTGATTGAGTTTTTATAGAGTTTATTAATTGTGTTTTTTTGTGTATTGATTTCTGACTGGCCTATTTTTAAAAAGAACAAACATTAAAAGTAAATACATTTGAATGTTTTTGGACCCAAAGGTTTAGATTATCCAGCTCACAATGTAAAATACATACATAAATAAATTTGCTAAAACATTTTTTTTCAAAAAATCGTTAGGCAGTCTAGGGGCGAGGCCTGCATGCCATCCTGAATGGCTGCAGAAAGCACAAGCTCCCGACTACACTTACCATAAAAGTGATTTAGAGGGCAAAATACCTTGTTTTTCCTCACTTTTGTCTGGCAAAGAGGTGACAACATTGAAGTGGGTTCCAGGCACACTATTCTTGCTAAGCAACGTTTGCGGCTTCTAGCTTGTTGAGGCATGGTGTTTCCCTGGTGGAATAAGAGGCCAATCTCTATGTCCAGGGTGGACCAGGCCTCCTTTCTTGTGGGTCTCCAGAGCTCTGCACTCACGTCCTTCCTCCCATCCCAGGCTGGCAGGGGTTATACCGGCCCCCACCAAGTGAGCAGTCACCTTTCTGCTACTCCTGGACAAAACCTTGAAAACAGCCTACACGCAGCCTTTCCAAGATGGCAGACAGCAATGCTACTCATGGGAAGCAGGCAGTCCTCAGATTCTGGTAACAGATTTTCTGCAAAGGTTTGATGCAGTGTGTCAGCAATCCTGGAGAAGCTGGGAGGCTTGGCAGAAGCTAATTACACTACCTACACCAAAGACACCACATCCAGCCAGAACTCCAGTTCGGCACACCCCTCCTAGGTGGGGAACCAAGAAGGTTAATGTCACCGTCCATGGTCCACGACCTGGAGTGAAACACCACCATCCGGGATCTCGAGGCTTTCTCCCAGTTAAGGTGGTGGAGGCCTCTGGATACTGGGAGTTGGTTCCCGATAACACCTGGGACCATGGTAATCCTGTACGATATGGCACCATTGGAGGCATGAATCTCTTACTTTGCCTGTCTGGATCTGATTGAAACAAGCATATATTGAGTGGACTATGTTCAAGGGTTCATCTGGTATGGGAAAGCATTCAGGCTCTATATAATGGTCTATGCTTCTCCCTAACTACTATCTGGAGCATCACTTTAGCTTGCCTGTCTTGTGCTCCTTCACCGAATACACACTTCAGGGCTGGCAATTGAGCTCAGTGTCTCAACTACTTGGTGGCTCCACTCTCAAGTATTCTACACTGTGTAGTCAGTTTCTTTAACTAGAAATATTTTCTCTAATTTTATTTAATATTCCAAAACGCTATTGTCTATGCTACTTTATTCTAATGACATATTTTGTGAACATGTTTATTTACAAAAAATGTGCACTTCACTCATTTGCCATGATCCAGTTTACACTCATATAGCCTGGTTTTCGCTGCTGTGGCACTCCAAGCCTGATTGCACATCTATGCACATATAAAAAAAAGACTGCAAAAAAAAACAAAAAAACATAGGCAGTCCCAAAATGTTTGGCAAAGCCAAATTGCCAATGGGCAGGCACTAGATGAATTCTGACTTCTTTATGTTAACCTTGCCATTTCTGACTGTCAATTCCAACGTTTGTCACGGTATAGACATATAGTGGCTTTGGTGCTTAGAGTACACGGCACCTTTACACAGTCACCACTACTGAAGGCATTAAGAAATCATCAGTGTTAGACTGATCCGATTTCTCAAGAAAACCATACCAGTAGTGACTATCTTTGAATACTGCCTTTTTTACAACACATTCAAACATAATGAAATTCTGTTAATATTTATAACTTGAGAGACTATATTAAATTTGTTCGCTATACTTATTGTTTGTATCCCAGTCAGAAGAATCTTTTGCCAATGACAAACAGAAAATGTAACAAAGTATCATTCTTCATATTAAGTATCAATCAATATATGCACTTCCCCTTATTAATTGTAAGCTGCACAGTTTGTATTTATTACAGTTCTACCTATTAGTTTGAGGACAGAAAGAACGAACAGTAAAAACGACCGCAGGCCCAGTGCTGGCTCGGGCTGTTGCTTTGCAATTGTATCTCGTCAGCATATAGATATGAGAGCTGGCATAATATCAATAAATAACATCCCCAGTGGGGAGGTATTGATTGAAAATAAGACTATCCAGCTAGGGATAGAAACATATACAGCAACACAGAAGAGGTCGCGTTGATGATGTCTCCACAGTTCAGAGCAAAGGTTTACAAATCGCACTACATACTGATAAAAGATGATAATGCTAAAGTCAATGCACACTCTCATCAGCAACACAAATCAAACCGTGTTCGTCGATTTGCTAATTTTAAAAAAAAATTAATACAGGAAAAAAAGCAGTAGAGTGTTAAGAGTGTCTTAATTGCATTAAACTATAGTTTTTGAAGGCGTCTGATTTTTCGAACAATGCTTCATCTTTACTTTTTTTTTTTTAATTCTACTACTTATTGATAATGGATTTTTCTATAACAGAAATTCAATACCAAATAAAGATGAGCAAATACCTATCCCTAAAAAAAAAAAACAGGCAAATACGCTTCTTTTGTGAATGTGGTAATGTATTTAAATATATGGTATTATAGACATCCTTTCCAACATGTCTGATGAGTAATGTGTAATACTAATAAATAAAATTAAAGTCTCGTTTTAACTCTTAATGTTTGAAAAAAACTAAAAAGCTCCAGCATAGAAGAGAAAAGGCACACCATATTTTATTGCGGTTTCACAGCAAGCAGCGAAGTTTGGCCTTCGTCATTTTTACCTCTGACATAAAAACTTTAGCCTCCAGTGCATCATGGCTTGTATTCACTTCTGCGAGGTCCATCCATTCTCATGGGTGTTTGTTTTATCTTTACCAAGTGTCCTTCACTTAAGTCAACCACTTAGTTAAAAAGAATGATTATATTTGCAGCTATTAATCTTCGTGATTAGGGACAGACGAGTTAAGAGCAAGTGTAGGCAAAAGTCTCATGAGCATAACCACCCAAAAAAACACATACAAAAAAAAACAAAAACTCATGAAAAACGTAACACAAAGATTCACCAGTTATGTCATGAAAATGTACAGTTAGAGAACACAGAAATGTTTATGATAGAATAGATGTTTTTCCAATAGCATGATTGCATAGCATTATTTTTTGCAGAATCACGTGTTATTGTATTTTAAAATGCAGAGATAATACATAGATAAAATTTCTAATAAAATAATGTGTATTTCGCTGCTGTCTTTTCTAATATGTGTTCAAAGTTCTCATCTAAAACTAATCTGCTTTGTGATATTTGCACATCTTTGTTTTTTGCTTTAACACAAAGAAAAATTGATAGAATCATCATTGCCCCAGATTAATCATTTAATTAATAAATGCCCATTGACTTACTTTACCCCGAGATAAAGCTGGTGACCTTTGGAAATTCCAAATATCACATTATAAAAATACATTTAGACAATAGTCAACTGCAAAGTTTATCTCTGGTTCTGAAAAAAATGAAGAAACATACAATTAGGTACAACGTCATGGTAGTGTAGTGTGGCTGAGTTGCGTTTCCATTTGTCTTAACTAGACAATCTGCAGATGTAAAGATGGATTTTGGGAATGAGGTCAAAACATTTATCACATTCAGTTGAGATTAAGTATGCAGAGGGAGGTCCTCCAGCTCTCATCATTGGACCTCCAACATCAGTGGCAGCAGGAACAATCCAAAGTCCACCGATATACGTAGGTTAGTTTAGGAAGGTGATTAAATCTAAAGCTTATTATGCCACAGGTTTAATTTGATTATTTTTCTTATCAGAGCACAAACAATTAAAGTTTTTTTTATTTTTAAATATAAAAACAGACAACGCACTCAGAACAATCTAACAAAATTAAATAAAAAATATTATTAACTGTGTAAAATAAAATTGTGCTCTGTACTGAGCGCAGTGAGTGAATTCAAAATAGACTTGGGAAGAAGTCATACAGTTGCAGATTTTGACAGCTGGGTTGAACAAGGTCACCTCCTGTGGGGAGCCAGATGTGGAAGATTTATGATGCGGAGATGTAACTATGCATTTGCTATGGTTATTTGTGATTTTTACATTTCTTTTTGGTGACATGATTGTCCAGAAGGACGAAAACAACAACCAAAAAGGTAAAGACTTATAATGCAGACTGCTCATTACGTCAGGAGTACTGGTAAATACACATCTGGCCTAAAAAAAAAAAATTACAACAAAAAACAAAAACAGCTCTATTATTTCTAACGTATATTCAAGCATTTCCTGGTCATATTTCTTTATATTAAATTGAGGTGAATATTCAAATGATTTACTGATATTGCATGTGAATTGATATCTACTTGGTGACATGTGGGATGGAAGTGACCCTGTAGAAAGTAGCTACAGCCCTGCCATTATACACAGATAGTAGAACAAACAAAAAAAACTAATTAAATATTTTATTTTTTTCTATTGTACATGCATATTCTGGATATACAAGCATGGCAAGAACCCACTCTCTTACTATACTTTTAGGTTCTATGTAATTTTACTCCTTTACCGTGGACTGCCTGCAAGACTGTCCTGGTCTCATTTTTCCGGGTGTATTTATTATTCACAAATTGTATGTTTAGTTTATCCATTGTACAGTACTGTGGAAGATATTGGCACTTTTTTAATATAAAGTACTAACATAAAACTTGCGTCTGGACCATATATAATGCCTCGGAATGGTAAATAGTCATCCGCAATGAACTTTGACACCATCAAAACATTACTGGAACATAAAGTGTTGTCAGAAAGGGCCTAAACAGCAGCATTAGTCCAATAAATGTGAATATTTACAGTTGTGTCACACCTTTATCACCGACTGATGAAGTCATTCATAATATACATTAGTCACTTAAGTGTGCTGCATATATAGTGACCATTGGGCCATTATTAATCATTAGCTGTCAATAGTTCATGAGTTCAGGGTGGCTAAAAACGGTTATGAGTGGATTACAAATCCAAGTTTAACACACATGAAATTTAAAATAGAAACAGTCATTTATAGGGCAGGAAAGCCTTAATACTGTCGAAGGGTTTCCCAAGCAAATCTTGTAAGTGCACTGTATATACTGGAATGTTCAATTGTAGAACCCGCCCACTCCCCTTCAACACCACACAGCATGTGAGAGTAGATAAGATATACCTTCAAATAAAAACAAGCAAGTATTATTTTGTCAGCGTTTTCTTTGGGGTATTTAAAAAACAAAACAAAACAAAAAATAGTTTGTAAAAGCTGCAGACATGCTCTATGCAGCCTTTGCAAGCCATCGTCTTCTTTTCAGTCACTGCTGGGGAATACTCATTGAGAAACCTCTGTGCTAGAGCGGCAATGGTGCCTTTCTTATGGTTCACTGAAAAGGAGAGAGGGCAGGCATGCCTGCTGCTTCATTAGCTCTGAGGAGAAAACAGAAATGGAAAAATACCTACCTAGCTGGCTGAAAGCCCAGGAAGAGACCCTGCCCCGCCCTCTCCCTCCAATTATAAAAAAGGCTGATTTCTACTAAAGCCAGCACCTTTATAAACAGTCAAGAAAATGACAGATTCCAGGCACATTAAGTGGTTTATGTCAGAGAAGATTTAAGACTCCACGGAGGCCTAGGCAGGTTACTAGTTTGGACCCCTCTTCATTGTTGCCATGATCCTCAGCCATTGTTTGGTACATGCATTTGGGTGGTAAGTCGTTTCAAGCCTTGGCTAGTAACTTCGATCATTAAATGAAGATCCCCAATGCAGTCTATTAATATCCAGATGGCCTGTTATGCAAACCTGAATTTTATCCAGACTGACGTTTATGATATTACCAGTTTCATATTAGGCAACCGTAACACTGCTATTGCTCCAACTTCATATTATGTGACTTCATTCCAGGGTATGTAATGGAGCCACAACATGAGACCAAGCACGTTTCATCACCTTCGTTCTTCTCTGTAGCATCCAGCCTTAAAAATAAAAACATTAAAATTCCCCTCCTAGCTTTAATTCTTCAAGCGTTAACAGCTGAGGAGATCTTTGCTTACCCTGGTTTTCAAAAGAGCTCAATCTGTTTTCTACTACAATTAAAAGTCATAATTTCAAAAACACTGCATCCTTTACTTGCAAAACTTTTCCACCATGTCCTTTGGAATAAACATTTTAAATAAAGACAATGAAAAAGGTCATAGATGCAGTTGGATTTATTACAGTCAAGTATTTCCAAGACACTGGGTATTATTTCATTAGGCTTCTGACTCATTTGCAGGCTTCTTTTTGGCAGTGTATAAATTAGCCAAACTACTAGAACTTTCTATCTCTGTTCTACTGTAGCTCTTAACAGATACCACTCCGTCCACACACAATACTCTCTTGCGGTTCCATTGATCTTTACTCTGTGAACTTTGACACATCACAACCATCTAACACCATTCAAGATCGACCTGCTTTCATATGTCTACTGCTTTTATACCCACCTTTCTCTCAGTTGACTAAAGACTGTTATCAGAGTTGTTGTTCATTCTCACCCATTCCATTGTGTCAAATAAAATAACGTGCTTCATGGAGCATATATATATATATATATATATATATATATATATACACACAAGTCATAAGCCATTACCCATTCCTAGTACGTCATTAATCTGGGTTCTCTCTAGTACTGCTTATACCATCTGTCTGGTTCATGCATACGGATGATTAATTTTGTTGTATGCAGCTAATAATTACAGTAGCGCTATTGTGGGTGATCCAGAGACTGTCTATTGCCTGGGCCTGAGGCTTATGCGATCTCTGTGCTTTGGCAAGGTGTAAAGGATGCCTATGTAGTCAAATCAGCAATTTATGTGATGTATGTAAATGGTCTAGCATCATGACCACTTCAGTGCCATTAAAGAGCTTGCTTTCCCACTATTAGAGTTATACTTGAAACACCAAAATAACCTGGGCTTAATGAAGCCGTTTTAGTGTATCATGCCCATTCGGTCTCACTGCTGAATTCTCTGCCATTTAGGATTTAAATCACCTTTGTTACTGTTTATGCTGTCCTAGCCACACCTCCAGTAACCTTGCCTTACACATATCCTTCGTGAAAAAAAATTAGATTTTTAATCCGATGTGTTTCATTTAGATTCTATTCTCTTCTGCTCTGCTAATTTAACGTTAAATCATACACAGGAGGCTCCTGAAGGCTATTAATGGAGCAATAGATAAAAATAATTCAAAATTAAATAGACTCTACAATAAAGGAAGTTTAAACATTAGTTCTGTCTTTACAGGAAGTGTGAAGGGAGACCATGTAGGTCACATGCAGGGGAGGTATGGCTAAAGCTGCATAAACAAAGTAATTGTAACTGTGAATCCAGCAGTGAGACTGCAGGGGCATTATATATACACCAAACCCACCCCATTAAGCTGAGGTTGTTTAGTGCTTGCAGTGTTCCTCTAAGTTCTCCTCAACATCTATTCCCATTAATTCTAGGTGATGCTGACATAAGTGCTACAACCTGTGTTTCTTGCTTACAAGACACCCGTACTCCTGATACACGTCTTTACGGTTAACTGTTTTCATAGCTTTTCAGCAGATTTTCTCACTCTCCTGCATACTTTATCCTGTTCTTAGGCTCTTACCAGGTCCTTTAAATCCTCTAATGGTCTCATTAACTTGCTAGCTGTGTATCCCAATATTCTTCAGCAACATTTTGCGTGTATGTATGTTTTGTGCTCCTCCAATATACCTCTCTAAGTTGTTGCACCTAGATTTCATGCTCCAGTCTACCTGGTTGGATAACTGTTATACACCTCCCTCCATTTATTCTACTGGTCCGGATCTCATTCTTCTATGGTCCTTCCTGGTTTCTAGATCTTCCCAACCCTTGGACTTCCAGCTGTCTGACCTGTCCTCTGATACATACTCACATCTAACCACTACCACCAAAATCACAGACTTCGATTATGTAAAAGATAAGTGTGTGAGTGGTTATTAATGAAGATGTATATACATATATATCATTGGATTGTATCTTCCTCATTTGGACACATTAATTCTGCATATAAACAATACAATGGCAAGCTGGCACTCTACCGAAAGATGGTGCAGGTATTGGGGTTACCCACTTAGACAACCACCCAAAAAAATGATGAAATATAAAGAAGGATACCACACTCAAAATAATGTTATGGAGAAAAGTTTAATAATTTTTTTTTTTTTTATAATTCTTATTATGCCATGAGGTTGGAAAGGGCAAGTGCTATATTGGGAGTTCGGGAACCACCTCCCCTTCTATAGTACTCCTTGAATGTCATGAATGCACATTAGTTGCTATTAACAGCTTTTGTAAACGGTCAGGCCAACCCACGGACTGAATAAGGAAGGGGGAACATGACTGCTGGCCGGAGTAGTTGTCATGGTAACACAAATTATTACAAGTTATGTTACAGGAGCTAAGTGCAAGGAACTCTGGGAGTACTCACCATTCTGCTATAGCACAGCCGAGGGATCCTGGTGGTGCTTTTTCCCACCCGCTCTCCCCTTTAGGTGGGATGGTAGGATGTATTATTATTGTTTGTTTGTGTTTGTTCGTCTGTTTTCTTCTTTTGTCACAGCTGCGGGTTTTCCTGCGCCAGCAAGGATTAAGGACATTGCCCGGACGGGCTTGGGGAGTCGCAGTCTGAGTTGGTGGATCACGATATAGACTGAAGAGGCTCTGGTTAAAGTTGGGTTATCTGTCTGCTGGGTAAAGCCAGCAGCTGACAGTAAGGTTACTGGTTGTAATGGAAATAAAGCTGTGGCCGTTGCCCTTACCCACTACTATGGTGTTGCGTTGTTTATTGGGGACAGGGTCAACGTGCTCATGTATATATATTATCACGGAGGTATCAACAGTCATGTATATTCCAACTACTACTACCCTTTAAATGCTAATTTCAATGCTAATTTAACCACATGGTAAGTTATTGAGTGAGGAACAAATTAAAAAAACTAAAGCAGTTTTAAAAGGGTCAAAGAATCCATCAAAAACCCTAGCCAAAAATAAATAAGCTATTTATTCAGCAAAACAAGACCATTTGAGTGTCCATATAAAAATAAATAATAATAATAATAATAATAATTCAATTACTCCCATTTTAAGCACTACTATTTTAATTTCTATATAAGAATGTCCTTGAAACTCTTGGAAAAGATAGTCAAAAGGATAGTGTTACTGGGATGTGGGATAAAACCCATTGCACATAATTAGCAGTGAGTATTACTGGAAGAAGAGAGAAAAAACTAAAATATGATCTGCATGTTATTAATGTAATTATATACCTATCACTTCCCTCTGGAAATCCAGGCATTTGTTAGGTGGACGAGCTAATGACATGAACAGACAACTATAGAAGTAATCTATTAATATTACGCCATATCCAAAGCAGCCTCGGATTTCAGTAATCAATTAAGTGTCTTATTAAGCAGAATGATACTAAAATGTGCATTTTAATCACAAAAAGGTTAACCAATTGGAGGCTGGAAATGTATGTAATGTCACAAATGGGTATAGGAATGTTTTTTGTGGGCAAAGAATGCATTTTGAAAGAGTTTGTTGCCTGCACAATTTAATTTTGTTATATAAACATTTTCAGGATAATTCAAACCCTGAATTGGCGTTTCTAGGTTCGTACTATCATAAAAACAACAACAACAACAAGACATACACAATATTTGAAACATGTATTTGTTTAACATGTCCTGATATACCAAAATCTACCACAAGAAAGTATTTTTTTTCTTTTACTAAATCATATATGTGGTAAATTTCAGGATAATTTAAAATCCCCAAAAATTGGAAATTTCAAGCCATATCAGCTAATTGAAAAATTGTTTGTCATTCACCTTTTGAGAAACAATTTTATCTTAGAATGAGATTTTACTGAGCATCACTTTGTTGTAAAAGAAAAAAATATGTTCTGCCTTGCAGCACTTTATTTTACAGATTGATGAGGGTTTTTTTTGTTTTTTTTGAATACATTATGATGCAATGGTACAGCAAGTACTGGACACTTCGTCCTGTGCCTCTTAAAGAAACATTCCTGACAACCATAACAACATAATAGGAATTAAGTTGTTATGGTGCCAGTTGGTACTGGGCATCAGCCTGCCTTTAGTTGTTAAACCATTCACAAATGGATTTACCTCAAAGTTTTGAAACCAGTGTCGCTTAGCTCAGCCCTTGTCCTTTCACTTCTATTAGATTCTTGAAAGAGGAAGCCTCAGATAGGTGTGCTGCTTATTGACAGAGAGCATGAGCTGACGCTATAAGCCAATTAGTAGCTCCCCATTTACAAAATGGTTTGAGAAATTTTCAGATTTTTCTCAAGCCATTTTTAAGAATGGTAAGCTATTGATTGGCTAAGATCATTAGATGCCGCTTTCAGCCTTTCAGCGGCACCCCGGTCCAAGGCTTCCTCTTTGAAGGATCTGAGAAGCAGAGCAGGGCTAAATGACGCTGGATTAATGACAGGCTAACGCCTGAAGGTAAGCCAGCGCCATAATAAATTAATTCCAATAAAGTTGTTAAGGGAACGGAGTGTTCCTTTAAGTCACAAGCACCACAAATCTGTACCCACAGAAAGCACACACCTCTATCATATTCCTGCATGGAGAGGCAGCCATCATATGAAACCATTCACTGGCATTTTGCTTCATTAAAGAAACATTAGAGGCAAGACATTTGGTAGCATGAGAAACACTGGCAACATTGGAACATGTTTCAAATTTGTTTGCACACTACTAAATTTATTCTAATCCTTGCCCCATTGGTATCCCTTTTGTTTGATCAAAGAGGCCTTGGGTACGGTTATACATTTTTCAAAAAGGAACGAGAAAAAAAATTGCACATTATTTGGTTTTATGCAAACATTTAAGAGACAATGGTTAAAAAAATTACGAAATGCAAGAGTTGAACCAAGTGTCTAATTTACTAAAGATTTAAAGAGCATAAGATCTATTTTCACAGAGCAAGAGTCAATTCTTGCACTATAAAACCAATTTCGAGAGCCTTCATATATTCTAGAAAATTGCACCCATACATGTAAAAACAATTATGCTAGAAGACACTAAATGTTATTCCCAAAATATAAATGTTGCTCTAACTTGCCTTTTAAGAACATCGTTAATTAAAGCCTAATTATTTCCTAAAATTAAATATTTCATGGTACTTGACCCGAAATTCTAAAGGATTGCAAAACAAGGGCTGGTCAGATTCCCACTAAGTATCATAAACAAAGATAGTCAAAAGCCACTTACAGAACAGCTGTGTTATGTTAGTCAACGTTTCTGATCCCTACGGAACCTTCTACCGTGTGTTTGCTTGGAATCTGCTTACTAAGTCTATACATGGCTCAAGTGTCAATTATCATGTTCTATAACTAGTCACAGTATCACATGATTATAGCCCCTTATTATTAACTAAAAGTATCAGATTGTTCGGAAAACATTTTTAAGGTTAATAATGAAATTCTCTCTCTTAAGTGCACATTTTAAATAATGCCTGACTACATGGTTAAATAATTACATTAAGCTAAATTTTACACAGGATACAAATTCAGTGTCTTGCATGGTTTCTGTTCTTCATTCATTAATGGGTGGAACGCTGTCTGTTATGCTGAAAATCATGATCATAAATAAGCAAAAAAAAAAATTGTATGGAGGAATATCTGTGGGAGACCTGAGAAATTCAGCAATAGTTTGCAAAGCAGGCTATTGTGTGTGCCTCAAAAAAGTACGGGCCATAAACAATAAGGGAAAAAAAGAGCCCTGCATGTACGAGAAAGCCATCACCAAATGATTATAACTGGAAATCCAGATAGATTACCTTTTCAAGGTATGCCATCATCATACACTAGAGTCTAGACAGACTCCCAACATTGTTTAGAGGTATGCATTCGGCTTACAGGAGCAGAGAAAAAGAATTTTACAAGGTCAATTTAATGATTATGTAAAAAAGGTAGAAAGCAGATGATGAAAACGTGGATTTAAATAAGACCAGGAGGAAACACACATGAGATGGCACAATGCATTGATGATGATAAAATGAGGAGATGTTTACTTTTTGGGTACTCTCTATGACCCTTAGTGGTCCCATCCTTCCCCCTCCCTTCTCCCTGTTTTGGTGGGGTTTTTTTTTTCTTTTTTTTCCGCTCTCTTTTTGTGTTCTGCATATTTCTTAGCTTCTAAGTTGCGCTCTGAATTTGGCATCTTCTTTTTATTGAGGTATATGTGAGATATATCAGACAATATATGAATTGACAGTTAACAATTGCCAGTAAGAAATGTGCATTCAAATCAGTCAAAATCATACCTCATTATTTAATTCTAATAATAAAATGAGTGTTTTTGGAACACTTGAAATGAAGCATAATAAAAGTATTAATGCAGTTCAATACAGGAACCTAAATGTCATAAAACAACTGTATGGAGCAATTCCCACTTTTTCTAAATGATTTAAAAGGAACACAAACCACTGGATATAATCTAGTACTTTGATAAGATTTAACAGTATTAATCGTGAACTAGTAGATAATAGCAAGCATGGAGTTTATAGCTATTGACATGTTTTGGACCCAAATATATAAACTTAAAGATTATTATGTGCCTGTGTAATCTTATTAACTGTTGTAAGGAATTTGGTTCAATGCTTGTATTGTATTTCGTCTCAAAGTGCCCTAGTGGGGCTATTGCATGGTAACTTAACCCAGATTAACAACATCTAACCAATGTGGTTCTCAGGCATGGGTGTCCGCAGGGGGGAGGGTGGGCAAGGAAGTGCTCACAGAGAGCACAGAACTGCTTCCAGTCAGTCCGGGTACAGGAACAGAAGCTCCTCTACCGCGGTCCGCCAGCTGAGCAGGTGAGAATGAGTGGGCACAGGGGAGGGAAGCTAAAGAAGGGAACATGTGGGGAGGGGAGCTAAATGATGCAAAGGTTGGCACAAAACGAGAAGGGGGACTGAAGAGGGAACAGGAGATAAGGGGACAAAAGAAGGGCACAGGAGAAGGAGAAAAGAAATGCACAGTAGGCAGTAAAATAACGGCACAAAAGGTGGGGCAAAAGGAAGGCAAAGAAGGGCATTGAGAGGGCCTAGGGGGTCACAAAAACACAGAGGTGCTGGGGAGGGGGGCAAAGAGGCACACAGAAAGGCTGTGGGGGAGAAACAGACACACAAAGGGAAAAAAAAGTCTGCCGGCCGCAGCAGCCAATCTGCTAGCCAACCTCAACAGCCTTCCAGCCACAGTAATTAAGATGACAAGAGCCAGAATGGGGTGAATGGACCCATTAGATTTCATTGTAGTCTCTAATGGGGCCTTGAGGGAAGTCTTTCTAACATGTAGTTTATACATTTGTGCAGTAAATATTTTTGAAAACATTAAATAAAACTGGACCAGCCATGGGTGTTTAATGCTCTAGGTGTGCCCCTGTGTGCTCGAGCACAACATAACAGATCACAAACCCCTCCCATGGGCTAGGTAAAATATTAAGGATATCAGGATGCTCGAAGAAAGAATTATTAGCTAAACATAAAAAAAAAACCAAAAAACAGCAATAACAAAAAAGTAAAAAAGTCTATAAACTGAAGAAGCTCAGGTCATGGTTTCTGATCTGACTCCTCACCTTGTAATCAAGAGTTACTCTCTCTGTGTCCCAGGCATGTGTAACTGCAGTCTGAGGCTTAAACGGAAACCCCAATGCCTGAAGGAACGATGTGGTCTCAGTCAAAGAGGATCTGGTAACAGTCAAGGATCTTGGTGCCAACCACCGATTCCCTACACCTGCCCAAAGTTGACAAGTTACTGGATCTAAAAATCTTTTAGTCCTGGAAAAGGTGAGCCGGAAAGATTCCCTGTACAACTGACAGAATATGATTTTTGCCTGAGATTGACACCAGATAATTACATCTTGGGAAGCTAATGAAGGAGCCTTTATTAAATTATTCATTTGAAATTTTTTTATCACACCTGATTTTTTGGCATGGATAGGTGGAGGGAGTAAAGTGGTGAGGCATTGGAGATGGCATGGTAATTCGGTCATATCAGTAGAATCCGGTGTATCCTTGATTTTGATGTTGGCTTGTTGGCTATGGTCATCCAGTAAGTCCATTTTCAGTGTTAAGGCAAACTGAGATAACTCACGTTACAGGGTTTCTCCCACAGCAGAGACATCTTGAAGTATTTCTAGGATATCTTTTTCAGAGGTCTGCATCCGAGCAATCACCACCTAAACATCTTCCTTGAGCAGGTATAGATTTGCTGCAAATAATGGTTTAAGATTCTGTAGGAGTTTGTGAATGTCCTGTTCAGTGCTTAAATGCCAGTCTCAGCTTGCACTGCCGGGGAGGAAAAGGCAAATAAAAGGCTAATAAGATAATTGGTTAAATAGGGCATGGTCTACATCTCATTCGAATGTCATGGGTTCACCAAGTGAACCTGGTGAATAATGAAAACCCAACTGGAATACAAACTGACTGCAGAGTAAAGAATGTTATAGTACTTTTCAGAAAAATCTTAAGAAACAAAAAAAGAATTCTGATGAATCAAAATACATCAGTTTATTTTTGCATCACATCAGGCAGTTTCTTTTGGATACATGGATCCATTTCAGAAAAATACTTTACAGGGTTCCCACCTCTGAACACAAAATGCAAAGAGGAGTCCCCTTGTTTCTTTTAATCAACAGTTTAATTACATCCCTTAAAAGGGAGTAAAAATAAACTTTTTGATGAGTAATTGAGGTTTAAATGGTGAGAACATGTTTCGGTAGCACGAAGAGAACAATTTCTGTTAAACTATACAACGGAAATAAATTACTTATGTTACAACATAAATGAAATTTGTTCGAATGTCCTAGTTCTCATTAAACCACGTGCAAATGTTATAAGAGATGGCTACAGATGCAGCAACTCTTTTCCATATAGGACATTTCTCATTGGACATGATATACAATAGCTTTACTAATTTACTAAAGATTTAAAGAGCTTAAGATCTCCTTTCACATAATGACAGAAGCCAATTCGTGCACTTCAATTCTTGCACAATTGTAGCACGCTCCACAGGGAACTGTAACGAGAACTGTGAGTGCAGCGACAATGAATTATACTTTTACATCTGGAAACAAAGCACTCACCACACTTACAAAATACAAAAGGAAGATGCTCACAGAGAAAAGGTTAAAAGTCAGGAAAACCTACAACCTTTGGGCATATTACAACACTGCGTCACTACGTCAACTGCAAGCGAATGAATATCCTACTCTTGGAAATAAAGCTATGGACATTATGGAAGTCAGAAAAACATCATACTTCTGGCTTTTGTAGTAAATCAATTTTAATATTCTCCTAGCAAGAAAATGTAGTAGATACTTTTGCTTTCATACAGGAACGTAGTAAACATGTAAGGGGTTTAATACATAGATACTTTTATACAATGAGGGAAAAAAGTATTTGATCTTGAGATTTTGAATGTTTGCCCACTGACAAAGAAATGATCAGTCTATAATTTTAATAGTAGGTGTATTTTAACAGCGAGTAAAAAAATCCATAAAAACGCATGTCAAAAAAAAAGTTATACATTGATTTGTATGTCAATAAGTGAAATAAGTATGTGATCCCTTCAACTTGGTACTTGGTGGCAAAACCCTTGTTGGCAATTATGTTCTGTAACATACTGAAACAGAGCATGATCTCCTCCCTTCAGAGACTGGGTTGCAGGGCAGTATTCCAACATGATAACGACCTATAACACACCAAGACTACCACTGCCTTGCTAAACAAGCTGACGGTAAAGATGATGGACTGGCCAAGTATGTCTCCAGACCTAAACCCTATTGAGCATCTGTGGGGCATCCTCAAACGGAAGGTGGGGGAGCGCAACGTCTCTAACATCCACCAGCTCTGTGATGTCGTCATGGAGGAGTGGAAGAGGACTCCAGTGGCAACCTGTGAAGCTCTGGTGAACTCTGTGCCGAGGAGGGTTAAGGCATTGCTGGAAAATAATGGTGGCCACACAAAATATTGACACGGTTATACAGGCTGTACACTTACTACTTTACATTGTAGCAGAGTGTCATCTTTTCAGTGTTGTCACATGAAAAGATGTAATAAAATATTTACAAAAATGTGAGGGGTGTTCTCACGTTTGTGAGATACTGTATACGGCATTTGTCCTTTAACATTGTCAGGGGAGTCGTAACCCACACGCAGGAAAGTGGAAACCACAAAAGGTGGATCCGAAAGGAGTATTACCGAATCTTATAATGGCCGGACTTAACGTAACTATACAACAAGAAACAGGGTCAAGAATAAATCAAGGACAGGAATACTCAGAGTCAAGACAAAGCCAAGGTCAGGATACCAGAAATCACGAGTCAAATACGAAACCGGGATCAGGATACCAAAAATCACAAGTCAAATACGAAGTCGGGGTCAAACACAGGAAATCACAAGGGAATCACTAGGAGCACTAAACGAGGTACTAACAGACACCACAATAGAGAAATAAATGGGGGCTAAAACAAGCCTTAAATAGGCTTACCTATGTTCTGATAGGTCCACGTCATCACTGCAGTCCAAAACATACATCACGTCTACACACACACACACATATATATATATATATATATATATATACACACATACATACACATATATTATATATATATATTATATATATATTATATATATATTATATATATTATATATATATATATATATATATATATATATACACACACACACACACACACACACACAAACACACACACTGTTCAAAAAAATAGAGGGAACACAAAAATAGCACATCCTAGATCTGAATGAATTAAATATTCTTCTGAAATACTTTGTTCTTTATATAGTTGAATGTGCTGACAACAAAATCACACAAAAATTAAAAAATGGAAATCAAATTTTTCAACCCATGGAGGTCTGGATTTGGAGTCACACTCAAAATTAAAGTGGAAAAACACACTACAGGCTGATCCAACTTTGATGTAATGTCCTTAAAACAAGTCAAAATGAGGCTCAGTAGTGTGTGTGGCCTCCACGTGCCTGTATGACCTCCCTACAATGCCTGTGCATGCTCCTGATGAGGTGGCAGATGGTCTCCTGAGGGATCTCCTCCCAGACCTGTACTAAAGCATCTGCCAACTCCTGGACAGTCTGTGGTGCAACGTGACGTTGGTGGATGGAGCGAGACATGATGTCCCAGATGTGCTCAATTGGATTCAGGTCTGGGGAACGAGCGGGCCAGTCCATAGCATCAATGCCTTCGTCTTGCAGGAACCGCTGACACACTCCATCCACATGAGGTCTAGCATTGTCTTGCATTAGGAGGAACCCAGGGCCAATCGCACCAGCATATAGTCTCACAAGGGGTCTGAGGATCTCATCTCGGTACCTAATGGAAGTCAGGCTGCCTCTGGCGAGCACATGGAGGGCTGTGCGGCCCACCAAAGAAATGCCACCCCACACCATTACTGACCCACTGCCAAACCAGTCATGCTGGAGGATGTTGCAGGCAGCAGAACGTTCTCCACGACGTCTCCAGACTCTGTCACGTCTGTCACATGTGCTCAGTGTGAACCTACTTTCATCTGTGAAGAGCACAGGGCGCCAGTGGCGAATTTGCCAATCTTGGTGTTCTCTGGCAAATGCCAAACGTCCTGGACGGTGTTGGGCTGTAAGCACAAACCCCACCTGTGGACGTTGGGCCCTCATACCACCCTCATGGAGTCTGTTTCTGACCATTTGATCAGACACATGCACATTAGTGGCCTGCTGGAGGTCATTTTGCAGGGCTCTGGCAGTGCTCCTACTGTTCCTCCTTGCACAAAGGCGGAGGTAGCGGTCCTGCTGCTGGGTTGTTGCCCTCCTACGGCCTCCTCCACGTCTCCTGATGTACTGGCCTGTCTCCTGGTAGTGCCTCCATGCTCTGGACACTACGCTGACAGACACAGCAAACCTTCTTGCCACAGCTCGCATTGATGTGCCATCCTGGATGAGCTGCACTACCTGAGCCACTTGTGTGGGTTGTAGACTCCGTCTCATGCTACCACTAGAGTGAAAGCACCGCCAGCATTCAAAAGTGACCAAAACATCAGCCAGGAAGCATAGGAACTAAGAAGTGGTCTGTGGTCACCACCTGCAGAACCACTCCTTTATTAGGGGTGTCTTGCCAATTGCCTATAATTTCCACCTGTTGTCTATCCTATTTGCACAACAGCATGTGAAATTGATTGTCACTCAGTGTTGCTTCCTAAGTGGACAGTTTGATTTCACAGAAGTGTGATTGACTTGGAGTTACATTGTGTTGTTTAAGTGTTCCCTTTATTTTTTGAGCAGTGTATGTATATATATATATATATATACACACACACATATATACACCCTGCCGCGTAGTTCAGTCAGACCGCGCGGCTGGAAGAGGTCTGCTAGGATTGAGGGAGGTGAGTCTCCCTCAGTGTGCCGAGCAGACACAGAGTGGTTGGATCGCGCGGCAGGGGTCTGCGCGGCTCAGCGGAGGTAAGTAATGTCACAAACGTGACACTTTTTCTACTACCCCAAGTAATGGAAGGGTTTATTTTTCTTTAACATTTGCTCGAAATGTTGATCTGACATGTCTCACCAACGGTAAGTACCATGGATAGTTACCAAGTAGTTTTATATTTCAAACCAATTACCAAATTATTTGTCATATTTAAGCAATGTCCAGAAACAATCAGAAATTTAAAAATGATAAGCATATAGATGCCAACAGTTCAAGTTATTTCCAAGGAGTCTTTGTATATTTAAAATACACCACTAGGTGTCTACAACATTTTGAAAATCTAGATCTGTTTTCAAGAATTTCATATCACGTTTCATCTGGTATTAAAATAAAAGATGTCATTAACAAATGTATAAACAAAACATGCTGCATCAAAATGTGTTAGGCAAATATATTTAGGCCTTTACAATGTTAATATAAGATAGTGAGACCAACATTTAAAAACTAAGAAGGTTTTCTTATTAATGAAGGTGGGTATGTCATATAGGGACACATATTTAACACATTAATTATAAAATTTTTGGTCTTGGCTGTTATTTTGTAAATTGTGATAGGGCATACTGGCATGCAATAATCTGATATTAATGTTTTAATCTTTAGTTTTAATTATCTTCAATTTTATGTGCATTCTGATTTATCGAATTTTTCTGTTTCAAAACTTCAATGTTACCATTAAGACAGTCATTCTATACCCCATGTTGCAGTGCTTCCCCCCTCCCCAAGTTTAACCCCTTAAGGACCAAACCTCTGGAATAAAAGGGAATCTTGACATGTCATGTGTCCTTAAGGGGTTAATCTACTTCTGGAATCGGTCAGTTTACTGACTTCTTTTTATCTTAAATGGTTTGTCAATTAGATTTTATATACTCATTGCACTGGTCTGCAGAATAGGTCATTGCGATATAATTAATGACAATCCGGGTATGTTGGTATTGTAAAACACATTAATATATGGAGCAATATATTTTTACATAAGAGGCATTGTGAGATTTGCCCCACCATCAGCAGAAAGCAATTATATGTTCAAATTGTTTTGGTCTGATTCTTTCAAATAAAGTCTTTTTGGTTGAGGTGGGAAAAAAAGTCACTTTTTAAGTTAAACGTTAAAAAATAAATCCTTTCTCTTCTGTACCCCTCCCCCCCTTAAGTCTTAAAACTTAATAAAATATTGAAACATAAATAAATAAAAAGATATACATTAAAAAAAGATGTATAGTGCACACACAGAAATACAAACACTTCTGTCTAAATTTCTTTTTTTATGTATCTATATTAAAGAAAGTCCTTCATAAGCTACCATGAAAGCCATGCACCAGTAGCCAGAGAACCAATGCATGCTGAATCTTATAAAAAGAAGGCAAATTTAGATTTATACCCTTTACCTACAGGAAAGAAAGACATTCAGTTTTGTCATCACAATCATATTAACGCTAGGCAAGCATTGCATCTTTTGTGGGGGGAGGTTATGTAAACGAAGTACTGAGAATCATTCCTTTCTAGTTTATAAATTATTGGCCCAGAATGTAAACGGTCCATAAAAGATTAAACTAAATTAAAACGTGTATAAAGTCTAGTGTTGGAGAGAACAAGCGCTCACCTTGTATTCTAGGTTTTCTCTCTAACACTGTGAAAACACACACAAACCCCCCCCGCCCCCACAAAAAAAAAACCACATTTGTTTCTCTTTTGAAGATAATCATTAGTGGATTTGCACGAATAATTAAATTCTGAAAGATTGTAGTAATTTTATAACATTAATAAAGACAAATAAGCACAGTCCAGTTAATTGCATAATAATGTTTACAGTTATCATATTCTAAATACTGACTGGGTAGATAGTCAAATGACATATACACAATATATAAATTATTTGAAAACTTAAAACACAACGTGGAGTGCTAGAGGGTTAATCGGAGATTCATTCGTTGGTTTCAGGGAGTTAAATCAGTAAGTGGATAATCCTAAAACTTATTTGGGCCTCTATCAATTCAGATGTTTGCGTAGAGTGTATTACACCCAGCCTTTTGAATTTCTGATTGCATCTAATGTAAACAGAAGCCTTATTTAGGGCCTCTCTGTTATGCCTATTTTTTTATTTTTATCAAAGTTGTGTTTGTTTAAAGAACTCCACACCTGCCTCCCACCTGCCTGTTGTGTCCCGTGTTAGCCGTCTGTGTTATCGTACATCTTTTGTTCCTTGTGGTTTTGCAATTAAAAAGAGATTTACTTTGTCCACTAGCAGTACAACCTCCGCTGGCAGAGTGATACAACGAGTAAAAGAATTAGGGTCTTCCCAGTATATCATTTGCAAATTAGCCCACCCTGTAACCCCAGTGTAGTATCTTTTCATTGCAAGGGAATTCCCAATTAATGGTCTGGACAATGCATGCTATTCAGAGTCAAATCCAAACCCTGATACATAATATCTTCATAGACATAAATAAGATCAAATATGGAAAAACTCACTTTACTGTAAACTCAAAATGTTTTTTTTATTATTATTATTATTATACAGGCACAGTTACTGAACCCTGATTTAACCCAGCATTTAATATAGCAGCCAAAATTAGCTTTTCCCAGAACATTAAATTCCATAATGTAAAATTTGCTTTAGCTGTTTGAATGCAAAATTTTGTGTTTTCAACCCCTGTTCCATTCTGCACAGAAATTCCGCATGGAATGTCATTTAATGCATTCTGGCAAATGTTGAGATGTGTCCCAAGAGCAAATTTCAGTACAGACCATCTTTATTAAAGGGACACTATAGTCACCAGAACAATTTAGCTTAAGGACGCTATTTTGCTGTATAGTTCATGTCCCTGCAGTCTCACTGCTCAATTCTTGGCCATTTAGGAGTTAAAACACTTTGTTTATACAACCCTAGAAACCCCTCTTTGCATGCGACTTGCACAGCCTTCCTAAACACTTCCTGTAAAGATTCAGCTAATGTTTACACTTCCTTTATTTTAAATTCTGCTTAACTTAGAATTTCTCATCTCTTGCTCTGTTAATAGCTTGCTAGTTCCAGCAGGAGCCTCTCTTGTATGTAATTAAAGTTAAATTTAAAATCAGGAGATAAAAGTTAGTTACATCAGATTGAAAATGAAACTATTTTGCTTTCATTCAGGTTTTGTCAATCACAGCCAAGGGAGGTGTGACTAGGGCTGCATAAACAGAAGGAAAAGTGATTTAACTCCTAAATGGCAGTGAATTGAGCAGTAAAACTGCAGGGGTATGATCTATACACCCAAACTGCTTCATTAAGCAAAAGTGGTTTTGGTCATTAAGCAAAACTTGGCAGTTGTGTACATAAGGTATAAACTTTATTTTAAAAGTTTATGCCAATCCTTATATTTGCTCAATACACAGAACTGGCAGTGGCCTTTGCACCCACCCAAAGGATTTTTCTTCAGTAACCAGTTTGTTTGAGAAATCCATACGGTCTTGTTTATTACAAAATTACATAATTCTAATTAAGGTTGTAATCCCAAACCTCTCTTTTACTTATATGTGTCAGTCTGTAGGTTGTACAGCGTGTCTCTGCCACTTCCAACAATAAACATACATTTAATGCATACCGCAGGCTTCCATTAAATTTGTTACTGTCTAGTCAGACCAATATATATTGTGGTAACATGGTAGAAGGTAAATATACTTTGTTCATGAGTTCTTTATTTTGTCTATACCTCATTTGTAGTATAACTAGGAGGCACAGTATGCAATGACATCCCAAATCTAAATACATTTGCATGCGATGTCAGATGATATCATAAAGATGTCAAAACCCATTAAATACCTCTGCTTTTGTTTCTAAAAGTGAAATGTTTAGCTGGGCTTTAGCACACTTTTTGTTAATGCATTAGGCATACAAACCGACCTGTGTATGTGTTTTGTTTATTTCCATTCCTAGGGACCTGTTTGGTCTTCTGATCCCTCAATGTCATATCCTGAAAATGGATGGGCTACAGAGATGATGATTAGGTCATACACAGGCTTGTGCTTTACATGACTGTAGGGGCATCTTAATATACAAGTTCGCCCAAAGTTCTAGTAACACAGAAGATTGCTTCCTACGTTCTACTTTTCACTGTGAACACGATGTACTGGTAAAGTCACTTTAATTGTCATTGGCAGGAAACCCCAAAATCACCAAGGGATTGTTTCAGTAACCTAGAAAGAATCATTGAATGTTCTTTTGGAAATCTGTTTCAGCGTGAAATCCCAGGTGGACATTTATCCTTTACTGTTGGAAGTTGGAGAATAGGTTGTTTATCATCCAGGTACACAACTAGACCATGCAGCGCCTGTTTTATCAGAGAAATTGGTTTTATTTTTCATACGTCATTCTACTAAAGCAAAACGTTTTAGAGGAAAAACAATTAAACTGCCAGTTTTCCTTAAAATCTACCCTTGCCTATTCTCGATTACAGTAAATGTAGATAGAGCAGTCAAAAATTACACTCTACAGTCACCCTCAAAGCACAAATAGGGTTATTTACTAAAACGAGAATTTAAATGCATTAATCACTAACCTGCCCATTTCGTTTAACCTGTTAGAGCAGGGTTGTCACTTTGTCTGGAATCATTCATTCCAGCCCATCTCCTCACTAATTTATTTACCGGAACTTCTATACGCTCCATAAAATTGTACAGCCATCAAACTTAAATTCACCCTTGCTACGTTTTTTCTCCTTGCTCAGTTTGGGTTACCGATTCAATTATGTTGTCGCAATTATTACGGTTTTAATGTATTATGTGTCAAATGTTTCCGAAGAGCTGCATTGTGTTAACAGTAAGTGTTTCACAGACTATAGTATAGGCAAACTAACAAAAAAAGTAAGGAGAGCTCTGCACAGGAAACCTAAATCTGGCACATTTAACGCTTATATAAAGTATATAGCAAGATGGCCTGCGAGTTTACAATATAAAGGAGGTTTTGGGAAACAAGACAAAATGCAGCAGATTTAAATCAGTAAAGTTCTTAATGAGTATGTAGATCAGGTTTGATTTAATTTTTTCCTTTATCTGTGTTCGCACTAGCACCATATTAGCCAAATAATATGTGATCATATGCAGTGTTTTTCTGCATTTACTGTATTGAATATAATATGGTAAATTTAAATTGCAGCAAAGAACTAGATTTTTTAAATTCTTGGATTAAGATTTTTTTTGTTGAATACACAGATGGAAAGGCAGCATGGTTTGCTATGTGGACAAAGTAACCATTTGCCTAAAACTGTGTTGACTCTCTTTATCCAATTCATACCCGAATATAGGATTTTAACCTGGATATTTTGCAGACAGGGCGCCAAAAATCACAGTTTGCACATGCTTCCAAGTTCTTTTACCCACGATGGGTGGGTTGTGCACACCTGGGATACATCCCAGGGATAGGTAGTAGTGGTAAAATTGACATTTTAAAATAATAAAGTTAACAATGAAGGATAAACATTGCCAACATGTTAACACCAACCAATTCTCTTTTTTCACATGTTGCGTTTGTACAAATAAGTCTTCATCAGTTAAATAGTATATTATATTGAATTATCCCAGTGTCCCTTAAAGCGATAAATATATATATATATATATATAATAAAACACCAGAATTTGTTTTGTTAATGATGTATTTATTATAAAGTTATAGATAACTATTGGAGTACTCCATGAGGCATCATTTAAACTGCAATATAACAAAATGATACAAGTTGTGTCACAGTTTCATTGGCAGGAAACAATGAAGGCGGGGGGGGGGGAGAGAAAACATTTCATTGAAGATGGTTGGTGTTGGCAGATGACATTCTTTTGGGCTTTTAAAGTCAACATTTCCCTTTTGAGTTAAAATGCAGAGAGCTTAATTGAAGTTATTCACTTAACTGAGGGCAGTGAAGAATTAACAGGGGAATTGAAAAGTCTAGGTTAAATTAGCAAACATGAAAAGAATCTCCAACTGGCTATTTTGCCTATAATTTGAAATTTCCAGGTCAATTATTTACAATTCCTGGTTCAGTTTGATAGACCCCAGATAAATGAACACTGTGATTTTAAAACACATTTTATATATGGTAGCAATACGGCATTTATTAAAAAAATAACACTCAAACGTGCTAGTGGAAATTTGTGAACATAGCAGCACTCGACACACTAAAAGTGACACAATGACATTTTAACCCCTGTATTCCAGAAGTTTGGTCCTTAAGGGGTTAAAGAACTGTAGAAAAACATTTTTTTGTTTTTAAACACAAACACATATAATATGTATATTTTTATTGGATGATGGAGTCTGGATGTTTTCCATACAAATGAATAAAATGATTTGCAAGTTCCAGAAGAAAGAGTGGAACAAGATAGTGTATACATATATAAAAGCCTACTGTGTAACATTTTAATGAAAATGTACTGTTGTTATTCGGTGTGTCTGGGGAAGTACAATGAATGTAAAAGTTCAACAGACCCAGTACTGGTTATGGGATTCCAATAACTCATAATGACATAATGTAGTAGTCGCATTGAAAGCAATGGAAATCAGGACTGGCTAAGAATTAACAGCAAGTTCCTGGTTTTCCGCAGAATCAGTAGATGTGGTTAATTTGGTAGGAAATGTTTTTAGTGGGCAGTGGGGAGGTTGCATTTCTGTATTTTATGAGAATACATTTTCAAAACAAAAAAGGGGGGGGGGAATGGGGAGTGGGGAGGTGTCCATTTACATTCATTACTGAGTTATTAGCACTTCTTATTCCCACTGAACGGATATTGTGGGTATAAAAATGACCTTTTGTTAAGGCGGCTCATCATGTCCAGTAACATGCATCACACCCTAGAACGTAATGAGTGCACGTGATACAACACAGTAACTACCCTAATAAATGCCTTCTAATTTCCCATGTGATGTCAAACAGCAGCTTGACATTGCTAAGATCACACATTAACTACATTTGGCAAGGTCAAATCATTGCATCTTTGCCTCAGGCAGACAGAATATGTATCAATTGCAACATGGTAAAAAGAGAATACAGTGCACACACACAGTCATTGGACAAGCACACAAATAGACAAATACAATCATTACCATGTAATAAATCAATGGTCATTAACAATGCCATTTAAATGAAGCAGCACCAGATTCCTCTTCTACAGAGTGGACTGGGATTAGTTTAGCTTGGGGGAGGATGATGTCTTAAAGGGGCACTGTCATTTTCCAGGGTATTTAATATTATGTTTACTTATCCATATATTTAAGAAATATGTATATGTGCGATATGAAAAATTCAATGTAGAAAATAGAAATAGACATCTCTTTAACCTGCAGTTGGGCGCCTCCATCTTAGCGCTCTATCAGACATGGTTAGAAGCTTTGTTGTTATTTGCACCTGATAGCATACAGGGAATAGGAAAAATTAAACAACGCTTCTGTTTCGCCTCTTCTTTTACAATATTTCCCCTGGTCTTGCCTTGTTTAAACTGGACTGAGGCTTCATTTGTTAAATCTTTAATATAAATTTAAGAGAACACGCATCACATGACCGTTAACACACAATAAAGGGGACGTTCAATATTGTATTCAGTGTTGTAACATTCTAAAAGTAGTGACGTTGCCCTTTAACAACCAAACACATAACTAGGAGTCATACTGAACAAAATATACTTTAGGGGAGTTCAAGTCAAAAAGTTTGGCACAAGCATTAATACTTCTCAAAGTCACGACTCTTGTCCAGCGGATTTTTCTGACCCAAGTACCATGCATTAAGTTATACTTAATTAACCCTTTCAGTGCATGAAACACTTTGTTATGTCTATGAAATTCAGGGTTTCTTTGTCAGTGCTTGTAATGTAATAACTAACTCACACGTTATTTACATTACGTCCTGCAAACAGTAAGAACAGTTCAATCATTTGGAAAGAGAGGTGATAACTTTAGGTCTTGTTTTTGGAGTAATGTATTCTGAATCTCAATGTTTGTACTTAGCTAATTTTGTGTTTGCATACTTTTTAATCTATAGGAAGTGGAGGGATTGCTTTTGTAGGTAAAATAATAAAACCAGTTTAAATAATGATCTGTTCATTCCCTGACTTCTGTTAGGAAATTTTACAATTTTCTAATAAGCACCTTAGCCATTTTTCTAAGGGGCAAACATCAGGAAAAGCTATGAGACATTTTTTCTTTGTTTCAAAGGTTCCTAGATTAGATTGCTACAGGAGGGATGCAAAGGTGTATTAGAAAAGATCTGAATTGTGTTATAACTTCCAGTCCAACATTCAGTATTGATGAAAATGTAAAGAACAGATCTGCTTTTATATAATGTTACCTTTATATTTAAAGGGTTTGATTGCCAAAAAGAGAGCTGCTTTGTATGTTACATTTTATTAAACCAATGTTTCTAAATTGTGAGTAGGATTGTTTTGGCCAATTCAACCAAGAATATTGTCACTTTATTAGCCATTATTATTGGTAAATTCATGCAATATGTAATGTAAACTGTTAAGCAAATTCTCAACTAATTATGTGTATATGTTTAATATGTAGCCATGCATACTTGTAACCAAATTCTTACACTATTTTAATAGTGTAGCTCTTTAAATAATGGAATACAAATGTACAGTAACAAGTATTTGGCATGGCAACATATGTGTAATAATATTAACATTTATAACAGGTAAAGGGGCAGATCACAATTTGTAAACAACATCGACTACAAAAAAAAAAAAAAAAAAGTATAAAAATGAATTCTGGTCTGAGTATATTATACATACATAGAATTTGTTTTTACACCAACCATATGCAGTTCAAGGTTCACGTACTGAAAGATTCACTTGTGTTAGACAAAACAGGTCTCACAGAATGTAGTTTCCAAATAATGATAATGCAATGTATGATACACTGTCTTGTATTGATAATGTTGAAAAGTATATGCAAGCAAATGCATATAAATAAATTGCTCATGCTAAAGCATTAGCCACATTGATATGTCATTAGCCACGTTAATACACGAATTGGCAACAGAGAGGAGTATTAATGAATCACTGGTGTTAATGACTGTGCACAGGGGGGAGAAAAGAGGGCGCTTTCCATAAAATTCATTTCAAGCCATAAAATCTCTAATGACACAGGATAAAACGGAAATGGCAAGTTGGAGATCACAGAGTAACCTGGGGTGTTTTTTGTTTTTTTTTGCAAAACTTCCATTAAAAAAAAAATAAAAAAATTATATATATATATTATAGTCCAGATTATTTTAACAGGGATTAGGCGTTAACCCTGTAATTGCCAGTTTAAAAAAAAAAATCAAACAAAATAACTTTAGCAAGTGTCTGGCAGGGGATGGGTTAAATGAATAGGCGTTAAGCATGTGCTAAAGTTTTGCATCTTGCTGAATCCATGGTTTAATAGGTTGTCATAAAGGCTGTACAGGAGGATCCAGCTCTGATTTATACACCTGTATGCATGCTTTTAGCAAACACTGGCATATGGTGATAATGACACAGCAAGCCTGGTGTGTTTACATTGTTAAAACGAGCAGCTGCTCTGGGCTTTTATCTGAGATCCAGCTAACTGGCCTCTCCATCTATGGATGTACAGGTAAAGAAACAAACAAAGTTACAGTGTGATTAAATCTGCAACATGACACGCAGTATCCTGACAGTCAGTTACTCATCAGAGCTGGTACAACATCTAAACAGCATCTTCACAAATCACTCAGGTCCATCTTTAAAACACAGAAAAAAAAAAGCCAACACATCATGCTCTTAGTGTTGAGGTGGACACATAAAAGGCATTAGCTTGGCAGCCAAGTGGTTAACACTACTCTCTTGCCAAAAAACACATATTGGCAGGAGAAGCAAAATGGAAATAGATATGAGCAGCTCAATTAAGAAACCAGGAGACAATGCTATAACATCATACTTGATTATTTTATTTTTTTACTACCTTTCTACTGCAGCGGTGTTTAGTTCATGTTTTTTCATTTTTTTATTTGTTATATATATATATATATATATATATATATATATATATATATATATATATATATATATATATATATATATATATATATATTTTTTTTTTTTTTAAGTGAGGGCTGCAGGTTTTGAAAAGCCCAACCGCAAAATAATTGAATTGCATAAAATGGGATATTTTGTAAATCACCAAAGCTCAATGTCAAAATACATGATTGCATGGCACTCGCCCCATTACCTAAGCATCCCCAGCCTACCTTGAGATAAACAGAGCACGCAGAGTGCCAACGTTCCGACCAACATCCTGGTTCACTGCAGGTGGTTGAAAGTTGACCAGCAGTAAGTAATAGTCCACTTCTGGTGTGTCCAGGGCGTGTCTGCTACCAGTCTGAGCAGTATTCTAGAGGGTCTAGAATTGGATTTGGGTGTTGTAATTCCTCAGCTAGACTGACCCATGCTGTCCAAGAGCATCCAGCCCCTTCCCCAGAACAAGGGATGGGATGCCAAGAGCAGAAGAAGGTGTGGATGCGCCCAGACCAAAGCTGAGCTCTGGATGTATCTATCTCATCACAATCAGCACACTGGACAGGATTCAGCATGCACCAAGGAGCTGTACTGTGTATTGGCATTGAACAGGCTGCATGTCCCTTCCTTGGATTTAATTGGAGGACAAGGAGACAGACAACTTGAGGTGTGCAGAAGCAGCAGGTTAGATGTCACAAGACAGGACCACAAATCAAAGCACCAAAACTAAAGTTGCTACAATGTAGCTGTAATGCACACTCCCCTGATCAGTAGCAATCTTCCAAAGATGCTGCAAGACACCAGCTTAACCCTCAAGAGGCTGGATCATGGCTTGTCTTGGGTTCTATAGCTGTACACACAGTCTGATGCTCTTACAAGGATGATAAAAAAACAACAAACAAAAAAAAACCCCAAAACAAACAGCTTGTTGCTAGTTTTCTTGCAGTTTAAACTGAGACTGGCTGCTTCTTATATACTAGTTAGGATGTTCAGGGAATAGTGAGAATGGGAGGTATTGGGTTTCAGGGTTAAATAAGGCTCTGAGAAACCTACCAAAGGTCCTGAGAGCACATTTAGCAGAGATGCTGTACTCAGTGCTCACTACTGATGATAAAGAAGGCTGCTGATGCTTCTGGGATGATCATTCAGTTGAAGTGAAGCAGAGAGCAAATGGGTATCCAGCTACACCCAGTCTAATTAATAAACTGCAGCCAGGAGCAAGCAGGGGAGGGGACAGGCACAGGGGAAAAACACTCACATACGTACTATACTGAAGTGAAAAGGGCAGAAGGAAGGAGCAGCCAGAACAATCAAAATCTATCAGGCAGAAAACGCACTGCCAAACCCGCAGGCTGCCTGGACTGAGCTGGGATTAACCCATTCGGTGCCAAAACACCTGCAGAACAGATTTCAGAAAAAAACCCATCAAATACAAAAAACAACAGAAAAAACAGGCTTAACGGGTATATAAGGTTTTAGAAGTTAAAAAAAAAAAAAAAGGCATTTTCAAAACTTTTTTTTTTTTTTTTTAAATGAAAAACAATATATATTTTATCAGGTTTTAAGATACAGATTATGTTGCTAACAATCACTTTAAAACTGGACTTTTAGAACTCATGTTTATAAGGAGTCCTCTTCAGGATCATGAAACATAAGGGGATCCAGGTTTTCAGTGCATGGGGCACACATCATTATTTTTATTGATCTAAATGTGCCATTCTTTGCTACAGTTTCTACACTTAGAAAAGATTTACACTGTATTTTTCTGGAGTGCTAATTTTAATTTATAGCTGTGGCTTGGATACAGCAAGTCATTGAAATAATTTGCGAATGGAATTGAATCAGCAGTTCCAGTAACTCTGAGGACTAGAATCATGCATCACCTGAGGTCCTCAGGAAGTCCCCATGACTTTGAAGTGGGACCTGCTAATCATCTCCTTTTTTCTATAGCAGTTTTCTGCTTTTCCATGACAACAAATAGCAAATATTAGTTTTATATTATTGGAAATGATCTTCTATCTTAGAGGGATGCCAGTCAATACTGGTTGCGCAATGACACCAGGCCTATTTATGTAGATAAGAACAGACCTTTACCCCACTTAAATAATGATAATGCAGCATTTAAACCTTTATAAATGTATAAGAGACAGTACTATTAGTTCCGTATTAAACCTAGCAAAGTAAAGAGAGTTTATTTACGAGTTTGAAATCTGTGCTAATGATAAATGACTAGTACAGGAAGAGGTATCTTTCGACCCCTGCAGTGGATGTAGTTAGCTTTTGACTTACCTGGGTCCAGTAGAAAAACGTTGACAAGGATCTACCTGAGTGACATTGCAGTCTAAGGATTAGAATATACGTTTAGGCCGGGCGATACCCAACAAAAAGTGTATATCTGGAATATAGGATCTTTCTATAAAAGACAATTATGAGTATTAAGACATGGGATCGATTGATGTGTCTATACATATGCTGTGCCACAATGTGATTTATTATTGAAACACTATGATTAAGAATGTAATGTTTACTTCTTACTGCTCTTCTCTTTAAGAACTCTTCAAGTCAACTTATTTTAAAATGGTTTACAATAAAAATATATTTTTAAAATGTATAGAATATAAACAATACTAATTTATGACATTTAAGGTTATACTTACCAATAAGGTGTGAATTTATTTCTATTTTTAAGAATAAATCACTTTTACATTAAGATTAAGGTATGTAGTATGTAATGCTGGATTTAAGGCTTAAAGGCCTGCAGCTGAAAATTTTGATTGGCCTAATGACGGAAGATAATTTAAGGTTTGATTGTCATAGATGTATGCACTATGTGTGTGACATGTTGCAAGGCTACTGCTGGAGGCCTGACCTCTGGACTCCCCTCCCCCCATTTGATTGTGATGTATTTGTGTGATTGTGATGGCTTTGAAACTGTGCACACAATATAAAACCAAGTTACTGTGCATAGGTGAGTGCTGGGGAACCATTAGACCCTTCACCCCAGCACTCGTGTATATAACATTTACAGGTTGTGCAGTCATACCCAGAGGCATAACTAGAAACCACGGGCCCCGGTGTAAAAAGTGCCCTGGGGCCCCCCCATACATCCACGCCCCCTCACACATGCAGACAAACAGATACACATGCAGACACACAGCTAGACACACACACACACACACATATACATACATGTAGACAAACACATATAGTATCTCACAAAAGTGAGTACACCCCTCACATTTTTGTAAATATTTTATTATATATTTTCATGTGACAACACTGACGAAATGACACTCTACTACAATGTAAAGTAGTAAGTGTACAGCCTGTACAACAGTGTAAATTTGCTGTACCCTCAAAATAATGTTTAAACCATGGGTTGTCAACCTGGTCCCTACCGCCCACTAGTGGGCGTTTCAGGATTCCAGGTGGGCAGTAGGGATTTCTTCATTTGGAGAGATTGGGTGGGTGGACGGGTGGGTGCGAGCTGGCGGTACCCCTGCGACCGGGTACCACCATCACCATTTGTGGCCCCGGTCCGGGCGGTAAACCGCCGGGGCCGCCGTCCAAGGGATCCATCGGGGGGCCCATGCTGTCAGGGCCACCCGATGGATGTGGATTGTGAGGGGGCCCGGTCAGCGCTGGGCGCTTTAACAGCATGACCGGGCCCCCTGTGATTACACAGAGCTGGGAGGAAGTGACTGCACGTCACTCCTCCCAGCTAACACTGAGAGCCACGCGGGAGGAAGACCAGGGAGTCAGAGTAGGAACTCTGACTCCCATCCACGTGAGCCACCACTGGACCCCAGGGAAAGTCACCCTCCTGCACCTTAAAGGTAGGATTTGTTTTTGTGTATGTGTCTTTGTATGTATGTCTTGTCTTTGTGTCTTTGTATGTATGTCTTGTGTGTGTATGTGTCTTTGTATGTATGTGTGTGTGTTATGTATGTGTCTTTGTATGTATGTCTTGTGTGTATGTATGTCTTGTCTTTGTATGTATGTGTTGTGTGTATGTGTTTTTATATGTATGTGTGTCGTATGTATGTGTGTCTTGTGTCTGTCTGTATGTGTGTGTCTTTGTATGTATGTCTTATGTGTGTGTCTGTGTGTGTGTCTGTATGTTTGTATGTATCTGTCGTGTGTGTGTATGTGTGTCTGTCTGTATGTGTGTATGTCTGTGTTTGTGTCTGTATGTGTGTCTGTATGTTTGTATGTATCTGTCATGTGTGTGTGTATGTGTGTCTGTCTGTATGTATGTGTGTGCCTGTCTGTTTGTATGTATGTGCCTTTGTATGTGTCTGTATGTGTGTATATGTGTCTTGTGTATGTGTCTGTATGTATGAGTGCCTGCCTGTTATAGTGGGCTATAGTAAGTGGGCTACCTAGCTCAGCCTTCCTACTGGGCATTGCTATAAGTAAGGTTAAAAAATAGAAAAAAGGGAAAAAAAAGGTGGGAAGGGGAATTGAGGAGGGAGAGGAGGGGAGCTGACAAACAGATGAGAAATCATATTATGCGCAAACAGAGAAGTCGTCTGAATATCACCGAAAGAGGAGACCTTTGTTTGTTCCTTACGAAAATCGAACCAGATATAAAATATTTAGTCTCGCAGCATCAATCTCAAGAATCTCATTAATCACTAGTAAAGGTAATTTCAATTTACTTTATTGTTTTCTCATTAAACTTTATAAAGTTAAAAAACATTATAAACATGCATTAAGTAGAAATAAATGTAATAAATAAATAAGTACATTTATTTTTTTTTTAAATGCCTTCCTTTCTAAAAAATATTCTGCACTTGCGCGGTAAGGACATTTTTCCATCAAGAAAGATGCATTAGTGGGCGGTAGGAAGAAAAAGGTTGACTACCACTGGTTTAAACTGTTAGCAACAAAAGTGAGTACACCCCTTAGTGGAAATTTCCAAACTCATTAGGGTTACAAGGTCTCAGGTGTGAATAGGGAGCAGGTGTGTTAAACTTGGTGTTATCGCTCTCACACTCTCTCATAATGGTCACTGGAAGTTCAACATAGCACCTCATGGCAAAGAACTCTCCGAGGATCTGAAAAAAAGAATTGTTGCTCTACATAAAGATAGCTTAGGCTATAAGAAGATTGCCAAGACCTTGAAATGGAGACCATACAGCGGTTTCACAGGACAGGTTCCAATCAGAAGAGGCCTTGCCATGGTCGACCAAAGAAGTTGAGTGCAGTGCTCAGCATTATATCCAGAGGTTTTCCTTGGGAAATAGACAAATGAGTGCTGCCAGCATTGCTGCAGAGGTTGAAGGGGTAGGGGATTAACCTGTCAGTGCTCAGACCATACGCGGCACACTGCATCAGATTGGTCTGTATGGCTGTCGTCCCAGAAGGAAGCCTCTTCTAAAGATGATGCACAAGAAAACCTGCAAACAGTTTGCTTAAAACAAGCAGACTAAGGACATGGATTACTGGAACCATGTCCTGTGGTCCCATGAGACGAAGATAAACTTATTTGGTTCAGATGTTGTCAAGCATGTGTGGTTGCAACTAGGTGAGAAGTACAAAGACAAGTGTGTCTTGCCTACAGTCAAGCATGGTGGTGGGAGTGTCATGGTCTGGGCCTGCATGAGTGCTGTTGGCATTGGAGAGCTACAGTTCATTGAAGGAACCATGAATGCCAACATGTACTGTGACATACTGAAGCAGAGCATGATCCCCTCCCTTCAGGGACAGGGCCACAGGGCAGTATTCCAACATGATAACGACCCCAAACACACCTCAAAGACAACCACTGCCTTGCTAAAGAACCTAAAGGTAAAGGTGATGGACTGGCCATGCATGTCTCCAGACCTTAACCCTATTGAGCATCTGTGGGGCATCCTCAAATGGAAGGTGGGGGAGTGCAAGGTCTCTAACATCCACCAGCTTCGTGATGTCATCATGGAGGAGGGGAAGAGGACTCCAGTGGCAAATGGTGAAGCTCTGGTGAACTCCATGCCCATGAGGATTAAGGCAGTGCTGAAAAATAATGGTGGCCACACAAAATATTGACACTTTGAGCCCAATTTGGACATTTCCACTTAGGGGTGTACTCACTTTTGTTGCCAACAGTTTAACCATTAATGGCTGTGTGTTGAGTTATTTTGAGGGGATAGCAAATTTACACTGTTATACAGTCTGTACACTTTACATTGTAGCAGAGTGTAATTTCTTCAGTGTTGTCACATGAAAAGATATAATAAAATATTTACAAAAATGTCACTTTTGTGAGATACTGTACATAAAGACACACACACATACACACAGAGATCCATAAATATAGACATACATACAGACACACATAGATACACACACACTCACTCAGAGATGTAGAGACACACATACAGACACACAGACATACAGACACACACACACCCATGCACTAACAGACACACACATACATACACTTATATACACACACTCACAGACACACACAGGCACACACGCATACACTCACAGACACACACACACTTACAGACACACACACACTCACGGATACACACAAATTATTCATATTTTTTAAATTAAAAAATGTCCACCCAGCTTCCCTACCTGGAGAGCAGGCGTGGATCTGTCCCTGGAGTCCAGTGGGGCTTCAGTGCGGTGGGCGTCTGTGTTCTCCTTACTCTGCTCCCTCATGCCGTGCGGGCTGTCTACTGATACCGGAAGCCGGAATATGACGTCATATTCTGGCTCCTGGCATCAGCAAACGGCGTGTGACGGAGCAGAGAAGGGAGAACACAGCTCCCTCGCCGTCTCTGCTGGAACACAGCCACCCGCCGGGGAATCCATTAGGTGGCCAGCAGGTCACCTCTTGGGCCCCCTTATGACAGGGGGAATATGGGGGACCGCATCCCGGTCTGACAGGAAGTGCTCTCTTAGTGAGTACTTCCTGACAGACCACTCAGCCACGCTACGCAAAGGCAGGAGGGGAGCAGCACAGCTCTCCCCTCCTGTCAGATACCCGCGGACCTTGGCCGGTGCAGCTGTGCACCTGCCCAGAAGGAATCCAAGCGGCCCATGGTTGCAGGGGTCGTGGTTGCGGCCAGGCACCCAGGAGTCAGGGGCCAGGTCGCAGCTGCGACCCCTGCGACCATGGTAGGTATGCCACTGGTCATACCCTACTATCGTGTATACACAATTTTCATAACTGCAAATAAAAAATGTTATTGCAAAATAATTTTGTTTGGAGTAAGAGGTGAGTGTAGAACTGTGTGGGTATCTGACAGAGAGATGGGAAAGTCCCTGAGGTCTATGGAGGGGTGAGAGGTTACAAAATGATATAATGGGTTCTTTGCATCTATCAGTGTGTGTGTTCGTGTAACTGTGTGTATTTTCCTGTCAAGATGTGTGCGTGTGCGCATGTATGTTTGTCTCTGTGTGCATGTCTTTGCACTACAGGAACATATACGACGATTAGGGACGATATGAGTATATACAGAAAGGATACAGATTATAAATGGGACCAGTGTGAGAGGATTTTTAGAATATGTTGGAAAAATGTCAAATGTCAATATATGTTCAGAAACTTTATTTAGTTAAGCTACTGCTTTCTTATTTGTAACTTCATTTTTTTGGCAAAGGATAACAATAATAGATTGGATAGAATAAACATATTGCCAGTCCTTAGAGTGGTCATGCTTAATGTACAACAGAGAGGTAACATAGTCAAATACAAGCCTGGGTCAGGATAACAGAGAGACAGAATTAACCAAAACTAGTCTGAGTCAGGTAAACAGCATAACAATAGAATAGATAAATTAGTCAGGAAAGGGTTACAGAGAAAGTCAGATTCAAGAACTATGCCAAGGTCAATACTGGGATTCAGCCCGCACAGACTCTTATTTTGTTGGGCACATGCAGCCCGTTCCGAGGTTCCTGATCAGCGTGAGGACCAGGTATGTATTGTTACATAGTATTAGTGACACCTCCGAAGTCTCTGTGTTCCAGAAATGTACAGACAGTCAAACTGACCATTTTATTTGGGCACATTTAAAGAAATTTAGAACATTTACGTTGTTGATGGGTTCAGTGAACTTATGGATGGAGTAATCCAGATATTATGCAAACTTAAAGAATAAATTACTATTATATTTTTATCTGCATAACAGAGTTAATGATATCTGTGCCTCAAGGTAAAGCAGTTTGAAAAGAAATTTGAAGTAGAATCAGATTTGCCATAATAAAGGGGAAACCCTTGAAATGAGCCAAAGTCAAAAGCTCTGAATGTAGAGATTGCTGAGAAATTAAGTAAGCGGTAAACCACAGGAGGAAATGAGCACACAAGGAAAACAATCTGATAAGAAGATTGATAGAAGAAACTAGCCGGTCGGCTGAGTGACATAATAGAGTTCTAAAGGAACCAGGTAAAGACCAGGGAGCAGGAAGACAGGGAAATTGACTCATTTTATCACAAAAACGTGACGTCAGCTGTGCAAAAACCCATTCCATTAAGGAGAGTGGGGAATGTAAGCACTCCACTCATTAAGCAGTATGGTTGACTAGGCCTGGGCTTTTCTTGTGGTCATACTGATGAAGCCCTCTGCCATCTAAAAACTAAATCATAATATAGTGCACTAAAGTGAACTTACTGGTAACTAAGATGTCAGTGACAAAGATATCTTTGTATGAATATAAAATAAGAGATTGTGCATTAATCACTCTTTAAAAAAAATGTTTGATCTTATACATTATCCCATTTTTCAAAAGACATTGTATGAGGCCTGGAGATATATCAGGACCTGGCAGTCCAACTTATAAAATGTCACAGCCTATTCTTCTAATATTGTCTGTTTCTACTGCAGGTTTTTGATTTAAAAAACAAACATACGCACAAAATAATTCTACAGATAAAATTGTTTTAGTGTTTAGCAAAATATTTTTCTTGAAGATAAATTTTTTTTCTGAGTTCTAAAAAGTAAAGGAAGAGAAGGACTAATTAACACATGCCAATTCAAAGATATGGACTTGTGGCTGCGCTTATTAAATTAATACAGGGTTATTCACGAAAGTGAGACTTCTAGGTGAATTCAAAGTGAATTTTAACTTTATGATCAAAGTATCTAAACTGGAAAATATATAAGTCAACTATGTTCGCGGTGAACTCCGGTCAGCTGACACATCCCGGCCAATCTCCAGCAGACTCTCCCTCCCAGACCCTCCCAACTCCTGGACAGCATCCATGTTGAAGTTGCCTTCAACATGGATGCTGTCCAGGAGGTGGGAGGGTCTGGGAGGGAGAGTCTGCTGGAGATTGGCCGGGATGTGTCAGCTGACCGGAGTTCGTCACGAACGGTTCGTGGCGAACCGTGGCGAGCCATTCGCGGGAAGTTCGCGACATCCCTATTTAGCGACAATGGCCTTATAGGGATACCATAGGCTTCAAAACAACTTTAGCGTAATTAAACAGTGTTGGTTTATAGATCATGCCTATGGGGTCTCCCTGGTCAATTCTCTGCCATTTAGGAGTTAAATCACTTTTGTTTCTGTTCAAATTTAATGTAATGTAAGTTAAATTAATTTTAAATCAGATCTTACAATATATAAATAATTGAGAATACAATATAAAATAGGGATTGTCTTAGAAGCAATAAAGTTTTGTCTTTTTAAATATTTTATTAAATAAAAATATAAATCTAGACATTTAAAATCCATTACAATAATTTTTAGCAGAGTTTATAAGATTAAAGTATATGCTTGCAATATCAGTAAAATAGAATAACATACCCTCCTGAACATGTCAACCTCTCAGTCATGGTAAAATGGAGCAGCATCTCTGTCTCCAAAATCTCTCCTCTGTATATTAATAAGTACACATATTTATACCTTAGATATTCAATTAGATCATTTTAGGACCTACCTTAACTTGGCAAAGATACAAGGCCATAACTTGGTCATTTCACATGGGAACATCTTATGTTTAGACTAAAACGTAAGGGTAAACATAAAGTGGAAAATTCACTGACTTGGGGAATTAAACTAACCTAGGACAAGATGGCGTCCTAAAGTCTAAACATCATTGTATGAAAAACCAAATCTCTTAAAGACAAAATACACAGTTTAAAAAATCCAACTTTTCATTCTAAAACTTGTAATATTTGCATATGCTCATAACACCATAGGACAGAGAGCGCAATAGAGTGCCAACACTTGGCTACTATGTGTGACTATAATATCATTATGGCCTCTAGTTAATATTTTTGTATAATCTTATCATCTTGATTTAATATTTTTGGGTAGTTTTTTTTAAATTATTTAATATTTTAAAAATATTTGTGTATATATATATATATATATATATATATTTTTTTTTTATATATGATATATTTTACATCATATATTTATGATTCATATATCTTGGCATTCAAAAAGTTAAATACCAGGAGTTAGGTAAATGCCTGCTTAATGTGTATTTATGAAGTATAAAACAGTATACACCCAATGTGAATACACACTAAATATACTTATGCGTGTGGAAGCAGCACAAGTTCAATACATCTGAAAATACAGAAAAAAATAAAAACATAGTGCTTTCTGTATAATAACAATAAACATACGAACAGAGTATTTTCAGATGTATTGAACTTGTGCTGCTTCAACACACATAAGTATATTTAGTGTGTATTCACATTGGGTGTATACTGTTTTATACTTTATGATTTCTATATAAAGGTGATAAGGGAGTACACTTTTTTTTACTCCCAATTGTACTATTATTATTATACTCTCTTTCTTGAAGCGCCTACACAAACCATCCTTTTATCTTAATGTATATTTAGTGCTCAATTGGTAAAAAAAAAATGGGTACGTCAGTCTAAAACCATGAAATGCAACTGATGTGGAAAAACTGCACATATCTTAGAATCCACCAATTTATCTAAGTGGCAACATAGAAATTAAGGGCTCAAACATGCAACTTTCAGGAATTAGCTCCAGTACTACCAGTGTAGTAATGTGGGGAGGAATACAGGTAAAAAGGTATAACACACAAGACTGTACAGGACCGCCATCAGGGGGGTAAAGCTGAACAGGGCCCAGGACGCCCGTGGAGCCAAGGCCCTATACCGCCAATGTACATATATATATATATATATATATATATATATATATATGTGTGTGTGTGTATACATACACACATACACAGTTGCTTGCCTGGCAATTTGTGGCTTGCAAGGGGACCTGTTGCTGGAGGTAGAAGTTGAGACCCCTGAACCCCCTTATCCATCACCACAAACACACACACCGAATGGAGTACACAAACACATCCACTACACATATACTGCAACCACTACACACACTTCATCCACTTCGCAAACACAGACAATGCATGTACTAAAAAAACACACACACACTGCATCCACTGCACAAGCATAAGTTGCATCCATAGCACAGACTACATCCACTATACAAACACAGACATTGCATCCACTACACACACTACATCCATTACACACACACACCCACTGCATCCACTATAAACACACACTGCATCAACTTTATTTATCTTTGTGGGTGGACTTGGGGTCAAGCTCCAGGCAGTGGCGGATCCAGAGCCTGATCTCGGGAGGGGCACTTGTAGATTATTTAAAGAAATAATCCAGGCACAATAACCACTACAGCTCAGTGTAGTAGTTATGGTGCCAGTAGTGCCAGGCCATCTCCTTGTAGATATCAGTGCACTTTCTTTCCTCCTTCCTTCCTTCTGAAATACTCGAAATGTTGCTCTTCCAACCTGTCTTCCACATTTGCCCTGGAAATCACTCTAATCTCTTTTTTTGCTGTGATTTCTTCAGTTTAATTTTGCCTGGTGCTGAATGCCAGTTACGAATCTCTTAATTAATCCCATGGTTTCCACCAATTAATTTTTGCTGCTGCCACATTGACTCAAGAAAGTTCACCGGCATCTGATTGTAGTCTTTCATGGTGTAAGGAAAACTCTTGTTTTGAGAGAACTTCATAGTGCACTGCAGCTCACCTTTAGACAAAGGCTGAGCTGACATATGCGCTGTAATTTTGTTTTCTCTTATGAAAGTTTGCTTTTTCCATCTTAGATTTTACCAGTAATGGACAGTAGAATTATGTTGCTTTTCACGAGAGACAA